ACTTGTTTTCCTACAATTTCGAACGTTTTTGTTTGGGTTACTGTAGTCTTATTGAAAGGCTACATTGAGTTGAATCGAAAAAGTTTGAAAAAATAGCAGAAACTTTGTTTACAAAACAAAAATGACCAGAAATCGAAAAACAAAGGTAAAACACGATTTAAAGATTTAAAAAAAAGTGATTTTTGCAAAAAATGGCCAGAACTTTCTTTACAAAACAAGAAATAGCAAGAACTTTCTTTACAAAACAAAAAATGGCAAGAACTTCCTTTACAAAACTAAAAATGGCATGAGCTTTCTTTACATACCAAAAATGGTAAAAACTTTCTTTACAAAGCAAAAAATGGCAAGAATTTTCTTTACAAAACAAAGAATGACAAGAACTATTTTAATAAATTCATAAAAAGCAAAAACTTTCCTTACAAGCTAAAAAAAGTCAAGTTTTAGGTGGTCGACATAAAGAACCCGCCACTTTTTACAGGAAATTACACGAAAAGCATGGCGGGTTCTTTATGTCGGCACCTAATCTTGACTTTTTTCACCTCATAGTTTCTTTGCAAATTTAAAAATCCAAAAATAGTTTAAGTATCGTATAACTTGTCCCTCAAAATTTGAAAAATTTTTGAAATTTTAAAATTTAAGATTAAACTTTCGAATCAAGTCCAATAAAACGAGAAAAAGCCCTCGAAAACCCACAAACAATCGAAAATCCAAACAAATTGGAGTATTTTGTTTTATCGTGCAGTGAATTGATTCAGTAAAGAATAGGGAAAAAGCGGAACGAAAAAAAAACCAAAGGGAACGGAACGCCCGAACGCCCACAAACAATCACCGTTCCGTTCTTCTCATATCTTATTCTTTATCATCGTTAACCACGAAAATTGGACTAAACGTAGAATGGAATCTAAATATAGATATAGAACAGAATATAAAGATAGATCTATTGATCGAAAGTAGGCTTGGATTTATAGCAGGGCGAAGCAGGGTAAAGATAAAGGATAACACGGTAGTAAGAATGGCAAGGTAAAGAACAGAACTCATAAAGTTAAAATTGTAGAGTAGAGGTACGGCCATGATAAGTGTAAAGAACTACATTAAAGTAACAACAAAGCTAGAACTATGGCTAGGGAAAAAGGTAGAGCCAAGGCTGAGGTTAACGCTAAGGCTGAAGCTAAGGCTATGGCTAAGGCAAGAGCTAGATCTAAACCTGGGGCTATGGCTAAAGCAAGACCCAGAGTTATAGATAAGGCTAGAGCTAAGGCTAGAGCTAAGGCTAGAGCTAAGGCTAGAGCTAGAGCTAAGGCTAGAGCTAAGGCTAGAGCTGAAGCTAGAGCTAAGGCTAGAGCTAAGGCTAGAGCTAAAACTAAGGCTAAAACTAGCTTAAAACTAAAGCTAAAGCTAAAACTAAAGCTAAAACTAAAGCTAAGGCTAAAGCTAAGACTAGAGTTAAGGCTAGGGCTAAAGCTAAAGCTAGGGCTAGAGCTATGGCGGAATCTAGAGTTAGAGCCAAGACTAGAGCTAAGGCAAGAGCTAAAACTAAAGCTGGGGCTACGACTAGGGCTAGTGCTAAAGATAGGGCTACGACAAAGCCACAAGTCATTTAACCCTACAAAAATTGTAAGACAAACCTAATTTAAAAACATTTCAAAATTTTAAACGCAAAAATTCAAAGAAAACCCTATTTTTTGATACAATTTGCTTCTACATGGCGACCTTGACAATCGGCTGTCTTCAACAGCAAATGTATTATTTTATAGGTTAACAATACTTTTTGTAGTTTTTGCTTTCAATAACAACAAAAGACTACTTCAAAGAGGTTTTCTCGACCATCTGCTGGGTCTTTTTGGACTCGAAAACGTTGGAATCTTTTTATTGGAAAACAAAAAAATGATTTTGTTAAGAAAGTTTTTGCCGTTTTAGGCGTGTAGAAAAGTTCTTATTTATATTTTAGGTATTGACATAAAGAACCCGCCATACTTTTCCTGTAATTCACTGTAAAAAATGGCGGGTTCTTTATGTCGGCACCTGATACTTGACCTTTTTTAGCTTGTAAAGAAAATTGTTGCCATTTTTAGTTTCGTAAAGGAAGTTGTTGCCATTTTCAGCTTGTAAAGAAAGTTTTTGTCATTTTTTTGTTTTGTAAACCTAATACAACAAAGAATAAACTTTTTAAGCTTAAAATCAGTTTTAAATTTGGTTTTTTAAGCCTAAAATATGAAATATAAGCTTAATTTTTAAAATACAGATATAACTTTCAAGTCTCTTAAGCCTAAGGTCAAAACATGACTGTTAACGCAATAAAAACGCTTAAAACTCTTAATTTCTAAACCTAAAACCCAATTTAAGCCAGTTTTTAATAACCCTAAAGGCCTAAATAAAGAAAATCAAAGTTAAGGTTAACTATAAATCAAACCTAAGCTTAATTTAATCCACAACCTAAGCCTAAATTTTACTAAAAATAAAGCTTAACTTCAATCAAAATCTAAACCTAACTTTAACTAAAATCCAAGCCTAAATTTCACCAAAACCCAACCATAATTTTACCTAAAAAGTACAAATATAAGCCTAATATACCTCAAAATCCAAGCCCAACATAAGCCTACTCCCCTAATTATCAACCCAAGCCCAACATAAGCCCATTCCCCCTCAAAACAGGACGAAGAACGTCGAAACTCTTTGCTCGTTTTGGAAATAAAATATTTTCCGCCACGAACGGCCAGCTTCAGAAAAAAAGACTTATCGGAGAGAAAGGAGAAAGGGACTTGTTGTTCACTCGGACCTGAACACAGAACGTCGTTCCGTGGCTTGTTTATTGCTGAAAATAGCGCATGAAATGAGGAGAGAGACAGAGAAGAAAAGGGAACAGAACGGACAGAGAATAGAGAGTGTTCTAGTGAAAGAGAGTAGGTAGAGAAAGAGAGGAAGGACAAGATTCAGAATAAAAAATGAAAAAATAGTTAGAAAATAGGAGAGTGGTAGTGAAAAAAATTTGAATTTAAAAACGGTCAAAAATTAATAAAATATTGCGATTTTATATGAAATATATAACATATATGAATATATAATAAAGACAAAAAATTTTTCAATGTGGGTTCAAAATAAAAAAAATTAAAGTTTTGGTCATTTTATGCACAGTAAAGAAAGTTCTTGCCATTTTTTTTTGTAAAGAAAGCTCTTGCCATTTTTAGTTTTGTAAAGAAAGTTCTTGCCATTTATGTATTGGAAAAAAAGTTTTTGTCATTTTTTGTTTTGTAAAGAAAGTTATTGCCATTTTTTGTTTTGTAAAGAAAGTTTTGCCGTTTTTTAATTTGTAAAGAAAGCTCTTGCCATTTTTAGTTATGTAAAGAAAGTTCTTGCCATTTATGTATTGGAAAGAATGTTCTTGTCATTTTTGTTTTGTAAAGAAAGTTCTTGCCATTTTTTGATTTGTAAAGAAAGTTATTGCCATTATTTGCTTTTTAAAAAAATCTCTTGATATTTAATTCACTGTAAAAAAAGTTTTAGCTATTTATTATGAATAATGGCAATAAAACATTTTTTAAAATTAATCTTTAACATAACTTTTCCACAAAAACATAGCACATCATCAAAATCACGTTCTAATTCCCATTCTGACCAACCAAAAAAGCCTCTTAAGCCAATATTTACACCAAAAAATTAAAAACTCAAACCCAAAACCGAGGTTACAAAGCAAACAAACATATATTGTGATAGACAACACCAACCGCTGAGTTCACAGACAAAAAATTGAATTCTGGATTCGAAAAGAGAAGGGAGAACACTTTCCGAGCACAGAGGAAACGTTCAAAATTTAAATGCTTGTTTTTTTCGTTGTAAACAAAGTTTTGGGCGTTGACTTCAAAAACTAACTGTTTAAGTGTAATATGTTTAAGTTTAATTTAGTCATTAATATATCTTGACAAGTGTGAATAGTGAAGAGCGAAAGAACATCAATTTATCATGCAAAAGTAAACAAAACTTTAAATTACTTACGGCAATTTAAAAATTTTTATAATAATCTTCATGGATAATATCAGACAAAGCATTAGTTTGTTAAAAAAATAAAAAAACACAAATTTGGTTTTTTATATTTAAAAAAAGTAAATTTACTTTTTAACTTTTAAAATTTTGCGAATTTCCTTTCATTTTGTTCTCATATCGCGCATCCATCTAGGTCCCACCACGAAAAGCCCTGTTGTTTGACGTTTCTTTCGGAAAACGTTTTTTTGCGAAATCTTTTTTCGCAGGAAACTCTCGAGCGAGATTCCCGCCAAAACAGTTCGGCGATGTAAAATTATAAAATTTCTGCATTACAATTTTTAAAAATAGCAAAAATTTATTTTTGAAAACTAAGAAATGTTGTTTTTTTGACGCTTTTTGTTTATATCACGAGTTTTATTTTTTTTATTAGCTTTATTACTTTTTTGCGTGTTATTAACAAGTAATTGGATTAAAAAAAGTAATGCTGTTCGCTTCTTCCTACTTTTATATTCAATTTGTTATAAACTTAATTTCTTGCTTGAGGAAAGAGTCTGAAATTATTTTCTTTATTGATTTTTTTTGAAAAATGGATATTATAAAGGAAGAAGGGGCTTGTAACTTGATATTGCGTAGTAAATGGCTTGGTATGGATATATAATATACCTGAAAACAATAATTTTGTTTTTGTTTATTGAAATTTGTTTAATGTTACTGAAGATAATTTTAATTGTTTGATTTTTAAAAGTATTTATTGATTTTTTAGATTGGAAAACCTTTTTGTTAGCTAAACTTTGCGTTTTCTTATGTTTAAAGGGTATAAGGTTTAAAGATGGCTATATTTAAGTTTCTCTGATGATCTGGTGTAATTTAGGCTAAAACAACGTTTTTTCGTTAAAATTGCACTGTTTTGCACCTTATTTTAGAGTTTGATATTACGCGAATGTCTTAACATTAAAATATTAAGCGAACTATTGTATGAAAATTACTGGTTCTTTCATTTAACGAACGATGTTTTAGCTTTAATGCAAGAAAATGAGGGATCTATATTGTCGCCGATGGAAGCGACAGAAGGGATGTTAAAGATGGTTCATGGCATTTCAGTAACACAGGAATTACCGTTCCGACCGGCCGTGCCGGTATTTAAAAGTCGTTTTGATACAGATGTCACGCCGATATCGCCAAACGGTAGGAAGCTGGGTATGTTAGGTAGATTAACAAGTTGTTGTTGTGTGCACGGGTGAATTGAGGTTGTGGTAGTTGTACATTGTTCTAGTGGGTTTTTATAAGGTCTTTAAAAGTTTGCAAGGTTTTGTTTTAGTTGTAGATATTATTTATGGCTATTTTAGTCTTTTAATGACATGGGTAATATGTTTATTGAAAAATCGTTAGATTCTATGGTTATTGTAGTTTTTGGCACAGAAATCACTTTTTTCTATATTGCACACAAGCACCGTTTAACATATAAATGATATTTACCGTTACAGCAGCTGAAGCGGCAAAACGCGCCAACAAACTTATGTCATCACCAAATAACATTTCCCTGTATGATCACGACGGTCAAGAAAACAAATTTCCGTTGAGTGTACAAGAAGAAAAAGCGAAGAAACATTTGGCCAAAGATCCAAAAACCGGTCTTACTATTGAAACTGTTAAACGACGAGATTTACGGCACAGATTCGAGCGCATGTTATCATCAGATGGTTTAGAGTATAGAATTAATCAAGTAAGTCTTTAAAATTGGTTTTTCTGTGTTTAGGTAGGAAAGATGTTTAACATCAACTATATTGGAACGTATATATGGGTGTATTGGCGTAGCCTTTCGTAAATGGTTTGGTTATGTTGAGTATGGTCGATATTTTTCACGTTTGTTGTTAAACATGATGATTTGAGCCATAGTGGTGTTATAATCTTTATTTTTAACACCACATGTTTCTCTTGATCATGTTTAACATAAAATACGTTTATATTAATCATACTCAACATATCATGGTTGGTTTTATCGTGCTGTACTACGACATGACTATTATAATCATGGTTAATAAGCTGTAACTGTTATAATCATGTTCAACATGCCATAACTCTACTATAGCTTCAGCTATAACTTATATCAACTATAACTTGAGTTCTCTTTACCCATTTCTTTCTAATGCTCTTAATAATCATGTTATTTTAGTATTTTCAGCTACCTCACCTCACGAATATACAATTAGCGGGTCTAATGCGACGAAGCCGGAACAGATCGGAGTTTACCGACATGTCAGATGAAGTTTGGTCTCATATCTTTGATGAGAAGCGGCGCTACGAAGATCGGACAGGAGAATTCGACACAGTAATGACCAGAGACTTTGCCAAACGACTGTCGATAATGCAAAACGATGATAGGAGCGAGAAGACGGATTCAGAGCCCGACATGGATCCTGACGATGACGTAAGGCTGGACCATTCGGGTAGCCCGGTGTTTGAAGAGATTGAGAATCTAGAGGAGGAAACGTGGGTTTTAACTATGATTATTTTTATGTTATATTGAAAAGTTTATTAGTTACATTTTTGGAATATATCCTATATATTAATACTAACATTTAAACTTACAGTCTTTCTTTGCAATCTATAATTTTAGTAAAGACGCACATGAACAACTATATAGGTTTTTTGAATATCTTGAAACGAGACGACAACTAATGGAAGAAGAGAAATGGTTGGCGTTACAGATCAAAATGTTGTCGGAAAAACGGGAACTGCTTAAAGGTTCTGGTGTTCTTGTAAGTATTTTCATTAGTTTTTAATTTTTAGGTAACAAATATAATAATTAGCCATGTTTATAATAATGGGTATAGGTTATCAATGATGTTAAAGAAAATTAGTGGTTAACGAAATTTTGCTACTAAAAGACGCATTTTATCTTAATGTTCATATGTTGGTTTTAAAAAGATTTTACTTTAACTTTTGATAAAATACCTCGATTATTGCAGAACAACGAACCACATATCGTTTTTGGAAGACCTCAAATTGATAATGATGTGACACAACGTTGTGCACGATGCGTACCGCTTATCGCATATAAGAAACGTCCTATTATCCGAGTGCCTTTGGTCAAAGATGTCGAACATGATATTAAAATAATGAGCCAATATTGTAGGTTTTTTGCTGTTTTTATAGCTTTTTCTCTATAACTTGTTGGTTATTTTTAAAATGCTGTTTGTAGGTTTTCTGTTTTTAAATATTGAATTTTTCAGTGGGCCAAGATTGCTCAATAGTAGATGATTTCCTATACAATATAGCGACAGGATTAGATGATGAACTAGACGAGTGAGTTTTAAATTTGTTAAATAAGTCTAAATGATTCAAACGAAGATGCTATACTCCATGTTTTAGATTCCACATGCCCCTAGGCGAACGCAGCCGTGACAGACCTAGAAAACCTGGCACAAAATCGACAGAAAAAACCCTAGCCCGTGCTCGAGCACGCTATCATGCTAAACGAGCACTAGAAGTCCTAACTGGTAGCGACAAACGGAATGTAGGTAGACCAAAGAAACTGAGTGAAGCTAAACCAGCACGAAACTCGAAGAATAACACACCGGTGGCGAGGAAAAAGACTAGTCAAGTGGAGGGAAGAACGGAAACGCAGAAGAAGATGAGCATGATCATGAACCCGGTGCTGGCGGCGGTAAGGTTTGGGATTTTTGGGAAATATTCGATTTTTTTGAAACTTCCAGTACGATTCTTATTAATAACTAAGTTTTGTAATTTATTTAATACTTATAATGTAACTTTCAGGAGATTGAAAAAGAGACCCGTCAACTAGAAGAGAAGCTAAGTCGCCACAGCTACAATTATCAAGAAATCACCATCCCCTTATTCAAACACTATGACGATTCAGTGGAGAAAGAAAGACAGACCGAACGATCATCTCGACGAAATTCAATAGACGAGCGTTGTTTAACGGTAGAAGATGTCCTCGAGCCAAACGAAGCCATTTTCTTTGCCAAAATCCATCACGGTATCGAATACCCACGTTTAACAGACGAAGAGATCAAACGACGGAAGAAGGAGAAGATCATGCTCATACCTGAATATCGACCCTTTATTCCAGAACTATATGAACATGAAAACCCGTTATGTGACGCGTTTAATCCGCGGAAACCGGTGGTGAAGGTCGAGATTGACGTGGAAAAGCTGGATCTGAATGATAAAGAGGAAGTGGAGGATAAAACGGAGAGTAAAGAGGAGAAGATTATCATAGACGGTGATAGCCAAGATAGCGCGGGTTCTGATCCGAATATAGAGCTGGATGTGATCGGCAAAGAAGACAACTTTAACTTGTTCAAAGTCCCTCAAGTATTACCTCTTCCGACCAGTACGACATGAATCAGTATTTGTATAGTATAGTGTGGGCATGGTAGGAGTGTCATCTGTAATAACACTGAGTTTATGGTAATAATATCATCAGTTTATGGTGATATTACTATGAACTCATGGTAACAGAGTTATAAATGCGCTATATTACAGTGCGCAATGTTTGTGTGCCAAAATCATCAACAACATGTCCAAAGACTACAGCACAATCCGGACGATCTGTTTCTTGTTTGTTTTTGTATTTGTTAACTTGTACATACTTTTGAATTGTTTCATTGAGCTTCATAAAACGAGTGTAATATTCTGATATTGGCATGTTTTTCATTAAAAATGGTTTTGCGTTGAAATATATATTGAATATTATATTATAGTAGATGAGATTGGTATTTTGAGGATTTTTGCTTGTTGTTTGAACTTTTTTGATCGATATTTATTAAAATCTTTGATTGACGAAGTTTACTACAGATATTTATCTTAGCGAGTGAATTTTTGCTTGAAAAAGTTTATTTTGACCATTTTTACAGACAAAATTTTGTAAAACTCTGGATCGGCAGGCATTAATATCCTGGAGCTAGACGAGCTGGTGGACAGTGGTCGCAGGTTCCGGGAGCACCTAAAACAATATTTATTAATCAACTTATACAATACGTTGACTACAAAAAATTTTTTTAAATTTCGAAAATACCTACCAACATCTCCAGGACGTCCAGGGCTTCCAGGCTGACCATTGGGACCAGGCTGACCGGGTGGGCCAGGTGGTCCGGGCGGGCCTTGTTTGCCACTTGGACCATCAGGACCAGGCTTTCCAGGTGGACCGGGTTGTCCAGGGGCTCCAGGACGACCAGAAACTCCAGGACGACCAGGTGGACCAATCTCTGTTCGGTACACTCCAGGTTCTCCGGGTGGTCCAGGTCGACCGGACTGACCGGGTTGGCCTGGCAATCCAGGTGGTCCGCGTGGTCCTTGTTCTCCGGGTTTTCCGTCTTCGCCGTTTGGTCCCGGTGGGCCTGGTGGTCCGTCCGGGCCTGGTGGTCCTTTTGGTCCGATGTCTCCTTGTGGTGCTTCACATGGACATTGAGGTGGGAACAGAGAAAGTGGGTCTGGACCTGGTGGTGCTGGAGGTCCGGGTGGACCCAGTGGTCCTGGTTCTCCGTCCAGACCTGGGATTCCGTCACGGCCAGCTGGTCCTGGGGGTCCAGGACGTCCGCGTTGGCAGGTACAACAACCGGTCGATGGAGTTTCAACGAATTGGTCGTATGGCCGAGACGTGGTGGGGGCTGGGGTTGGTGCATAAGTTGACTCTGGCTGTTCATAAGTGTTGGGGGTGGGGGCATGGGCGTAGTCACGTTGGGGTTGTTCTACTGGTTCGTCGCGTAGCTGCATGTCATGAAGGCGACGGTTCCAGAAGTCGGCGATCGTGTCACGCTTCTGGAGTCGTTTTTGGTTCAGTACTAGTCTAGCGAGGCGACCAGAGTCTTTGGTGTTACCAGTACGAATTTCGAACATTTCTTTCCACATGTCGCGAGATCGGGACTGGAATATAAAGGTAAAATACGGAGTATTAATATTTTATATTAGTTGTGTAAAAATATGACAAAAACTTCCCTTAAAAGCCATAAAACGGCAAAAACTTTCTTTACAATCAATAAAATTGCAAAAACTTTCTTTACAAACAATAAAATTGCAACAATTTTCTTTACAGCCGAAAATACAGCAAAAACTTACTTTACAAAAGTCCAGATCAAGCTGAACATGACTTTCCAAGGTTTGAATGTAATGCAAAATCAGTGGGAACGTGATTAAGCACGCTGTGATGGCGACTGTGCTAAATACAGTCGCTGCGAATGCGACTGGTCGCAACGACTGAGGTTTCTGTTTCACGTCCATGACGTGATATTTGGGTTTAAACCTGAAAGCAAAGCATTTTTACTGTGTCATTTATTTTTCAAGCGGTATACTGTATTATTACGCTTGGTATACGGTATTTTACATATAATAAGTTATACGGTAATATATATATACTGGTATACTGTATTATGTGGGTAATGTATAACATATGGTATTATGTGGATACAGCGTACGATTCTGTAAGATATAGTACACTATAACATCCATTACTGTAAGATATTACTACGAAGATACTGTAAAGCACACAGTATGAAATAAACTCAATACTAAGACAAAGATACCGTATCTATCAATACATTACTGCAAATCACACAAAAAACAAAAAAACTCCGTAAATGACATATCGGACGACAAAAACCGCCTTCAGAAGTGGTCGGAAAGACAAAAATGAAGACGACAATCGACCATTATGCCTCCGGCTTTATATCGCCCTCGTTTTTTCGTCGCAAAAGGCGGAGAAAGGAGAGAAGGGAACTGTAATTAAACAACCTTTCCCATCCATCCGAAAACGGTTTCAGATGCGTTCGACAAAAAATAACACTGTTTTGTACAAGTTGAAATGGTAACAGTTACACGTTATACAACTAAATAGATATGTAAGCCTAAATTTCAATAAATTTGAAAAAAAAGTAAACTGATGAGCAAAAGCTCCGTTTATGCTTAAATTTTTTTTAGGCTTACACTAGTAATTGGCTTAAGACTATTTTAGGCTGAAGCTTATCTTAGGCGTAACCTTATATTAGGCTTAAGCTTATTTTAGGCTTAAGCTTTTGTTTTAGGCTTAAGCGTGTCTTAAACTTAAGACCATTTTAGGCTTAAGCTATTATCTTAGAACTGGCATGAGTTAGGCTTAAGCTTATTCTATGTTAAGCTTATCTTAGGTTCAAACGTATCTTAGGCTTAAGCTATTATATAAGGCTTAAGCTTATTTTATGTTAAGCTTATCTTAGGCTCAAACGTATCTTAGGCTTAAGCTATTATATAAGGCTTAAGCTTATTTTATGTTAAGCTTATCTTAGGCTCAAACGTATCTTAGGCTTAAGCTATTATATAAGGCTTAAGCTTACTTTAGGTCTAAATTTATCTTATTCTTAAGCTTATTTTAGGCTTAAACTTATTTTAGACTTAAGCAACCCTTAGACTTAAGAATATTTTAACTTTCAGTTCGTTTAGGCTTAAACTATTATTTTAGGCTTAAGCTCATCTTTGGCGTAAGCTATTACTTAAAGCTTAAGTTTAGTTTAGGCTTAAACCGATTTTTAATTAATATTATTTTAGGCTTGATTCAATGGTATGTTACAATAAAACATTTCTGTATTCGAAACAAAAGAATTAAAAACAGAATGCAACAAAGAAGGAAGTATTCGAATAAGACACCAAAGTAAAAGTAATTGCCGCAATTAGTTATTGTTGCGTCAACGCAGGGGTAAATGGTAATTTACAGTCGACGACAAAGATTAAGGAAATTCTGGAGGTGAATGACGCATTTTTTGGAATTTTTTGTGTTGTAAAGAAAGTTCTTGCCATTTTTTGTTTTGTAAAGAAAGTTCTTGCCATTTTTTGTTTTGTAAAGAAAGTTTTTGCAATTTTATAGTAAAAAATAGTTTTTTTCAGATTAAAAAAAGCGTTAAACGACAGGAAGTGACAGAAAGAAAGGGGATCAGAACCGGATTCCGTCGTCTTTCTCTACAATAATATCAGCGGTTACGCTGGCAGAAAGTCACCAAAGTCAATAACATTATATACAACCATTAGGGAGTAGGGATAGAAGTATGGCAGTGTCAGGATAGAGTTCAGGTAGTGTAGGGGTAAAGGTAGGATACCGCATGGCCAGAGGGCTCAAACGTTTTTTCCAAAATTTATTCAAAACCAGCTATTTAAAATCGACCAGTCGAGAAAGTAGATTCATCGCCGACGACGCATTTCCTTGCCATTCGCGTTGACTTGGGCTGGTTCAAAGTTCTGAAGGCAGGAGACAATGTTATGATGATGTAGGTTGTTTTCCTTATCAAACACATCCGCCGCTAGGTTGATTACTGCTCCATCTGAGGTCTTGATTACCTTAAAATAAAGGCTTTAGTCATTTTTAGGCTTAAGCTTATTTAGGCTTAAGCTTAATTTAGGCTTAATCTTATTTTAGGCTTAAGCTTATTTTAGGCTTAAGCTTATTTTAGGCTTAAGCTTATTTTAGGCTTAAGCTTATGCTAGGCTTAAGCTTATTTTAGGCTTAAACTTATTTTAGGCTTAAGGTTATTTTAGAGCTAAGCCCACTTAAAAATTAATCAGAAAAACTAAGCCTAAAACACAAATGCAAGCCTAAAAGTACCAAAACAAAACCCGCTTACCGTAGCCCTGGGCATTACAGTATAATCCACCGTGTTCTTTTTAGGCCTAGCGTGACGTCCCGACGGCTCATCCAAGCTCATGGTTCTTGACTTTGGGCTCCCGCCAGCACCAAATCGGTCCTCGGGTCGACCGGTCGGTCTTCTCGAGCTGCAACAAGGCATTTTCATTTCAAAACTGGGCTTCGGTTTAGGCTTAGCATCCTCCATTTTCTCGTACTCCAAAACCCGTCGCTCTTTGCGCTGCTTATCGACCCGTTTGCGTTGAGAAGTCTTTGGTGCTTTAGGCTTCACGGCTTCGTCACTTTCTTCACGCTACAAAACTTGATGTTAACATGTTAAATTAAAAAATTTAATATTAAAATTACTATTTAAACTTATCATTTTTTGTTTTAAAATTAAAAAAAATCCAAAAGTACAAATTTCACGTCGCTATACAGGTATCGTACCATTCGTCGATATACCTTATTGCGAAGATCCGGCGAATGAATGGCCGAGAGTTCCTGGCTGTACGATTGTGGGTCCCACTGTGAGTTACCGTCCGATGACGTGTGTCGAGTTCGCGAGCTGTGACTGCAGCTCAAGTCTAGGATTGGCAGTTCGAAAAACTCCTGAACTCTTTTGTTGTTCGCCTTGACTACCGTGTGCTAAAGCAAGAATTTTGTTTACAAAATCTTAAAAAGAAAATAACGTTTTTTACAAAAAATGAAAATGCAACAACTTTCTTTACAAAGCAAAAAATGGCAAGAATTTTCTTTACAAAACCAGAAATTGCAAGAACTTTCTTTACAAAGCAAGAAATTGCAAGAACTTTCTTTACAAAGCAAGACATTGCAAAAACTTTCTTTACAAAACACAAAATAGCAAAAACTTTCTTTACAAAGCAAAAAATCCAAAATTTTCTTTACAAAATAAAACTTACCATAGGCTGTCCCTCATGCCCAAACAAGAAACTGTCGACCTTTTGCGTGTATCCGTAGCGCGGTTCCACGTAGATCTTGTGAACTTGTACTTGACCCGGTTTGACTCTTTTTGGCTCAATAGCAACGTACGCCGGTGCTACAACACTCGGCGGTTGTGACGGTGAAATAGTAATGGAAATGGAGTCGTGATGCTTGTCTTGAGGCGATATTTCACGCTAAAATTTTTAAATTCGAAAATCTCGCCAGAAATTAAAATTTTTAAAAATTTCGAAAAACTTCAAAAATTTTAAATAAAAAAATTAAATTTCGAAAAAACCTCAAAAAAATCAAACTACAGTACCTGAGTAACATCCAGCTTCAGTTCAAAGTTCTTGCTGTTCTTTTTACTCTTCTTTTCCGGTTTCTCTTCTTCTTTCTTCGATTTCTGTTCTTTCTTCTCTTCTACTTTCTTTTCCAACTTTTCTTCTTTTTTCTTTTCCGGTGATTTACTCTGTGACTTCTTTTCTACCGCCGGTTTCTTCTCCGGTGACTTTGTGGAGCTGGTGATACTGTACTGGTTCTTTAGCTTGTCCCAGTTCTGTCTTTGGTCTAAAGCATGTAATACTGTAATAGTATTATAATTACCGTATTTTTTGTTACTGTGATACTAGTATTACTGTAGCTTAAAGTAATATTACTAGTATTACAGTAGCTTACAGTAATCCAACTAGTATTATTGTAGCTTACAGTAATCCTACTAGTATTACCCTAACACACAGTAACCCATTTAGGACTACTATAAACCAAAAACAGCAAACCTACCATGTGGAATCTCACTAATCCGACCAGCGTACGACTCTTCATTACAAATACTGGCTTTTTGCTGCCCAAATTGCTTGATTTTTTCGTCAAGTACGTTGGTGTTAGCCAAGGCCGCCACTCCGGCCGCGATACCGTGCCCAATCACGTCCATCATTTTGTCTTGAATCAACTTCATGAACAACAGCTCATCCGTGCCTTTATCCAGCACGTCCAACTCGATTTCGTCCGAATATTGGGGCAAGGATGGGACGTCCGAGGTGGTTAGTTCCTGAAATTTGTAAACTTATATAACATAGTTAAAAAAAAGTGCTGTAAAGAAAGTTTTTGCCATTTTTTTATTTGTAAAGTAAGTTTTTGAAATTTTTACATACCCAAAATAAAAATTTACATATTTTAAAAAAATTAACCCATTTTTAAATCAAAAAAGACGTACAAGAATAGTGCTTGAACTAGTAGTACTAACAAGTTCGTTGTTTTTGTACTGGTCTTTGTTCATCTTGATCCTATGTTTCCTGTCCTCCCTGTGTGCCTTTTCGTCAGTTCCCGACTCGTCTTCACCAGAATTATTGTCCCTTCTTTCTTGTTGTTCTCGCTCTTTTCTAGCCAAGAACGGGTCTCGGCGAGGTTCGGCCAAACGAATGATAGGCGAATTATCGGTCGTTGACGCGGACGTGCTCAGGTAGGACTTTCCACTCGGTTGGCCTAAAAATTAATATTTTTAAAAGATTTTTACATTTTTCAGGTAAAGAAAGTTTTTGCCATTATATGTTTTGCAAATAAAGTTCTTGCCATTTTTTACTGTTCAAAGAAAGTTCTTGCCATTTTTTGTTTTGTAAAGAAAGTTCTTGCCATTTTTTGTTTTTTAAGAAATTTCTTGCCATTTTTTGTTTTGTAAAGAAAGTTCTTGCCATTTTTTACTGTTCAAAGAAAGTTCTTGCCATTTTTTGTTTTGTAAAGAAAGTTCTTACGTTGTTTCTCATTTCCAGAAGAATCCGCATAAAAATCGCTGTTGGCCGTGGTGCTGTTGCTACGACTCTCCTTGAGCAACATCTTCTTTTGTCTCAAAATTCTCTCGTATTTTTCAGGGTCATTGCACCTCTAAAAAGAATGTCATAAAAGTTAAAAAAGCATGATATTATACAAAAATATAAAATAATACAATTTTAAGTAAGAAATCAAAATATCAAACAAAAACCTGTAAAAGAGGCCAAAAAGGTAACATAAAGTAAAGTTATTTACCTTGTAATAGACCAGAAGACCGTTTAAAGCATCGACCATATTCGCCGATTGTTATTGACCAAAATGAGCAAATATTGCCATAAAATTTTAGAAGTTTATTTTTTTCCTAATTTTCATCTTTATTTCGAAAAATTTACATAATGTTTTTAAAAACAAAAAAAAGAAGTCTATGTCAAAAAAAACTTATAAAGTGTAAAACTCAATTATTAACAACAAAACATCAAAAAATAACAAAATATACATAAAAATTCGCCATCAAGTATTTATTTGATTCTTCATGTAGTTTTTAAAATTTTCACATACTTTATTTTACAGTTCACGAATCTATCTCATTGTGTTCAAAATTCAATGGAAACATGCTCATAATCCCGTTATTAACAATTTGTTACCTAAACTTAGAAAACAAAAAAGAAAGATCGTTACCTCAAAATCTGTTGAACCAGAGTCAGAACAGCTTAATCCACTTCAGTTACTTTCGTTACTTTGCCCTCATTGGACGAATTTGAAGCTTTTACACAAGGCATCGTTCTCAAGAACCTAAAACAATATAACTGAACACTTAACGGTTTAGATTGCCCTATAACAAACTAAAAAGATCACAAACAGAACAACGAATACAAGGATGAAACAAAAACAATATTCATAAAAGTAAAAACATGTAATACACAAATGTTTCCTCAAAAGGACCTTGTTATAGATAAACCCGCAAGAAAATCAAGAAACAATATCGAATCATCAAACAAATTTAAAATCTTGCATAGCTATAATATTGGACAAGCTATAGCAATCACTTATTCGCCATTACATAAAAATAATTTACCTCCGCAAAGACCTTTTCAGTCGAGTTTATTGTTCAGAAAACAATATTTGTTCCGGACAGGTTTCTTCGTATAAAAAGTTTCTTCCTGAACTTTATAGTTTTTTCCCATTCCCAAATTTGCATATTTCGATTTCAGACTTCGTAAGCCAAAATCGGCCAAAAAAGGGTCATTCAATCATTGACTCGTCTCGGAGATGGTTGCCACGTACTTTCCGGCTCTCTTCCCCAAGATCGCCGCTCTGGGGCTGCTCTCGCTGTCCCCTGATCAGGAACTGTGTGTGACCTACACACAGTTCACGGATTCTACCAATGAACTAGAGGCTGTACGGTATACGCAATGCAAAAGTACGGAACTCACGTCCGGCAAGCCGGCAGGGTAAGTTTTTCGAGTTTTTGAAGGTTTATTTTTTATTTTAGGAGTTTAGTTGGTGTTTACAAAGAGTTTGGTATATTTTTCAATGTTTTTGTTATGCCACGTTTTTATTTTTGTTTTATGACATTTTAGAGTATTCAAAAAGGACTCCCCTAAGTACAAATTGCTGCAGCTATACCCGGTGAACACGGCACTCGACTCGATCGTCTATAGTGGTTTGTGGATTGCTGATGAGTAAGTTACTTTTTCTCCGATGATAGTGTTCCATCTTTTGTTATGAATATTGAGCGTTAAACTAGAAATACATATTTTGTTTTTAGTAAAGATCAGTTATCTGGGCTGTGGCTGTTAAAAGTGGCACCAGGTGAACCCAAGGAATTGAAAAAATATACGGATGTTAAGGAACGTCAATTCGGTGTCGGTAATGGTCATGTCTTTTATCAAGATTGCCAAAAAACCGAGGTGAGAAAGCACTTTGACATGGCCAATGCAGGCGAAGCAGTCAATATGACCCATGAAGGTTTGACCATCTGTGGTAAACCAGAATTCGGCCTGACTAATGATGGACTTGTGTGGACGAAGCCAGAGGGCTGTTGGAAATTGGATGGGAACGACCTGAAACCTTCGGGTTGTTCAGATGTCGCTGAGCTGGTCTTCACTATTGTAGGTTTTTACTTTGTATTTTTAAGCTTTTTTATATTCTTCAACAGGTTTTGTGGGTTTTAGTTGCTTTTTCATTTAAAAATTTAATTTTTACTTTAAACTTTGAAATTTAGTATAAATTTTATTGAAATCTAATTGAAATTTTGATTGTTAATGTTCCAGGAAGCCTTGGTGAACATGGATCCCACGATCTCCCAAGATGTGGACCAGTCCGACTTGAAGACGCTCCTTGTCTTGGTTCACAGCCAGTAAGTTGAAGTTTGATTTTTGAAAAATTATTTTTTGTCATTTTTACTCATTTTCTTATTTTTACCTTAATTTTTGAAAACTACACTTATTTTTCAGGCTCGCTCCACAGACCACCACCACCATCACCACCACCCCGACGGATGACACTGATAGTTTGGATGATACTGAAAGTGAATTCAGTGGAAATACGACCAGGCCTCCTTACACGGGCGAGTAAGTTGATTTTTTAATTTTTGTGTTTTTTGAAGATTTTGTTAAAAATTTTGATTTTTGAAGTTTTTGAAAATTAAAAAATTGAAACGATCAAAATTTGCATAGACTTTAGGCGTCAAACATAGTTTTGTATTTTAATTTATTTTTTAAATTTTTTGATTTCAGCCTGCTCGACAAGGTTGGCTGGGCCGTCAGTTGGATAACGATCATCGTTATCACTTTCTTAACGTTTGTTTTCGGTTTCTATCTTACCGACTGTTGCAAACACTTGCCGAGGCGACTCCCACTGCCTGATGAATACCGCAAGAGACACTCGTCTACTTCCTCAAACAGCAGCACTTCCTCATACACCGGCAATTCCTCAGGCACCAGCACTCCCTCAGGCACCAACACTCCCTCAGGCACCAGCAAAGACCCCGTCTCCAAGATCAGCAACCCCAGCAATTCCAAGTCTGGCACGGGAAAGAGCAGAAAGTCGTCTGGATCTTCCGGAACATCGACCAATTCCAAGAAGCGCGGCAAGTCCAAGAAGTCCACAGGAAAAGAGGATGACACAGAATTTCCGGGAGAATATGTCGCAATTGAGGAGTTCCAAGTGGCAACCCCGTCTGGAAAACACACCAGAACCGAGACGCGTGAACACACAATCCCCCGTGGCTAACTGAATCTATTTATAAGGGCCCATATCTGAAATAATCAATTTCGATTGTAGCCCCCTTGTTGTTTTTATAATATATTATTAATAAATATTTTGGTTGTTGTAAATGTTTGTAGAAGTGTCCAGTCTATCTTGAGAAAATCGACGTCGAATGATAAAGTTTTGAACTTCCCGCCAAGTTGAGATTGTGTTTCAAACTTATAATTCATCGACGTTACTCTGCTTCAGAGGCTGGTTTTTCCGTTGTTTGGGTAAAACAAGCTGTAACTCTACAAAACGGTACGAAAAGTTTTCCTACTGCTTTATATTGTGATAGGACATAGAATGAGGATTGTTATGATACTATAATTGACGAAAATGAATGAGTACCTTTTGGGATAACCCCCGAGTTTCGATATTGTTGTAGGTACTGAAGGTGGTTTTTGAAAGAAAACTGAAATAATTAACGTATTTCTTTGTTTTTATCTAGTTTAAGCATAGGACAGGGATCAATTTGATAGTAAAATTGGGAGAAAATATCGAGTAGTTTTTGCGATATGGGCTTTAGCTTTCCGATATTATAGTAGATAATCAAAGTGTTTTGCAGTGTTTAAACTGATATTTTTACTGTGTTTTGATCTCTTTAAAGCAGGATTAACACTATTTTTACTGTTTTTTGTTAAAGTTTTCATCTGAATGACTTCTTGAGCAACATCTTCTTTAGTCTCAAAATTCTCTCATATTTTTCAGTGTCATTGCACCTCTAAAAAGAATGTCATAAAAGTTGAAAAGCATGATATTATACAAAAATATATAAAATACCACAAATTACAATAAAAACTCTTAATATCAAACAAAAACCTGTAAACGAGGCTAAAAAAGTAGCATAAATTAAAGTTAGCTACCTTGTAATAGACCAGAAGACCGTTCAAAGCATCGACCATATTCGCCGATGGTTATTGACCAAAATGAGAAAATAATTTGAAAGTTTATTTTTTTTTACGAATTTTCATTTTTATTTTGAAAAATTTACATAATGTTTTTTAAAAACAAAAATATGATTTTTTTTTGTAAAAAACCATAAAAAGTGTAAAACTCAATTATTAACAAGAAAACATCAAAAAATGACAAAATATACATCAAAAACCAATAAAACCATGATCAATATAAAGGTTGAGGTATATTATTCTTGATCCAAAATTCTGCCAGATTGCAACGAATCCACTGGGCCAAAGTTTCGTCGTTTTTGCGACCCACATACGCTCTCAAACATATGAGCAGCATATACGTTGTCAATGTACGCCATTACAGCTGGGAAATTGTAAAAGTCAGCGGCCTTTCTTATACTAGGCAGAAGTTGAAGAGTTTGTTGAGTTTTGAAAAGTCCAGTCAAGAAACGAGCTCGGTAGTTGAACTAAAACAAGATTTATGTCTTTAATTGACAAGTTTACATCTTCTAAAATACAAAAATCGTAAAAATTTCGTGAAATAACTTACAATATGAACATTCCACTCTTTTTGATCCAACTGGTCAATATTTTCAATGTGACATTTCTCCGCGACAAATATAATATACTGAAACATATGATCCAACAATCTCATCTCAAAAGCTGTCCATTCACACGGCAAGATAACGCAATTAGTTTTCTCATTTCCAAGATTCACGGCCTTCTGAATAACAAAACATTTCTCCACAAATATATCACTCATGGGTACTAGGACAGGTTCTTCTCTGAAAATTCACATTTAAAAGTGTGATAAAGTTGGCAAAACAGATATCAAACAAACAACACGAAATTGCCGCATCTTTTGACACCAAAATCAATGTAAAATTCGAAGGCTAACAGATGGAAAAATTATGTTAACCATCAACTAATGATATATTATTTATGTCATTGAAAAACCAAATAAATTCAAACTTACTCATAGGTTTTACATTCAAAATAAAGAGTAAACCTTGTTTCTTCTGGCTTCGCTTCTTTTGCTCCATCGTTGGCAACATTTTCGGAAGACATCTAAAATAAGATGAAATGGTAATTCAGTAATTTAAAAAAACTTTTGAAATAACTGTTAAAATTAAGTCTACAAACATATCGCAAAAAATCTATCAACCATGGCAGTAATTTTTTTAAGTTTGGCCGATTTTTTTGCGGCAAAACGCCAAGATGTGGTTTTCGTGGTGGTGCTAAATTAAGTTTGTGGTGTCATGGACAAAATGACAAAGTATAAGTTTTACTGCACTTTAATTTTTGTGTTTAACTTTATTAGTATGACACCTTTCTTATACAGTGTTTTGCCGGACCGGGTCCGGTCCGGTCCGTATTTTCAAAAATTGCAAAATTCAAAATAACTTTTACGCTTATGGTCTCATACAAGTTCCTCGCTAAACATTTGTACCGGCCGGACCGAATCGGTCTTGCCGGTCCGGGCGGTCCATTTCGGTAATAACTTGATAGCCAAAAACGGACCTTCACAAAAGTTATTTATTTTTTAAAACTTCAAACCATAAGCTAAAAAGTTATTTTCAATTTTGCAATTTTTGAAAATCCGGACCGGACCGGTCCGGCAAAACACTGTTCTTATACTTTACTTTGTCTTCTCAAAAGTGACAAACATTGTTTGATAACCATTCATCATGCTGATGATACGAACTCTTCAATTCGTCAAATTAGCCGCACGTAACGTATCAAACCACGTGGCGCTCGAAATAAACCTCCGTTTATAGCGTTATGAAATTGACTTATCATCGCCGATGATCAGTGATAAGTGATGTTGTTGTAAATTAGTGGTTGATGCTTATCATTCGCCGGTTTCGCTGAAACATGGAATGATGCAACGTGCTGGTGAGAAAATGGTTTCAATGATGTTGGGTTCGAATGCATTGAAAACTATTGAAATTTGTGAAAAATTTTGTTAAAATGACCTTGTTTTGGGTGTTCGAGTCTCGGAAAGTGCTTGTATTCACGTATTTTTTAAATGTACGAGATTAGTGTTATTTATGGTTGGTGGAGAAGATTCTGGAGAGTTTTTTTATAAAGTTTCAGTAAATTTGAAAAAGTTTAGACATGCTTTTTTAGTCTTCAAAGTGGTTGATTACCTTATTTTAGGGCTTCAAGACCATATCAACTTTGATTGCCATTTTCAACATAACCTAATACTCAAATCTGATATTTCAAAGTTTTGTTAGTTAGAAAAAAGCCTAAAATACTATTTTTTAATTTAATTTGTCACTTTTTCTTATTGCATAAGTTTAAAAATGTCATTTTATGTAATAAAGTCACCCCAAAAACTTAAAAATTAAAAAAAAATTTAAATATTAAAAAAATTTAAAATAAATAGAAGATAAACAAAATTTTTAAAGTTATAGTTAGAAAACAGCTTCAACTCTACTCTGCTTTTGTCAAAAATAATTTTTGATCTTTTTCGATTGACGGAATTTTGCTGATTGATGGTTTCCTTTCGTGGACACAAACATTAATAACTTTAAAACTGGGTCGTTGTAGGTGCTGATGTTCTTGAAAATAATTGTGAACTTAGAAACTTATCTCCCCCTTCTTTCCTACCAATAATTTTTTTTTAAATTTTAAATTGATTCATTTTAAAAAATAAAAAAAAATTTTTTTTACCTGCCCGTCCTCCGTAAAAAAAATCCTTCTCCTTGCCTACTTCTCCAAAAAAAGAATTTTGATACCCCCCCCCCACCCCCTTCCTACTCTCTCTCACCCCCCTCCCTTCCCAAAAAAAAAGCTTATCTAGACCATTTTTAAATTTCACAATCCAAGTCGGATATGTCATCATTCTACGACATGCACGTTCGACTCGTTGTAAATCAGACTTTAATCGCCATATTCGTCGATGATTGATGAAAGGCGGGCGATGAAAAACAACCCGCCCACTATATTTAAGACCGTCAAACCGCAGCGTCACAAGTTGTTTTAGATAACAGTTCGAGACTGTTTTTGTTATTGCCGTTCATTTTTGGGAATTTTTTTTAACAATGGTAAGATTAAGAAAAATTTAGAAAACTCAGGCATGGGGGGTGGGAAGATTAAAAATCAAAGCGGGTGAAAACAGAAAAAGGGGAAGGAGAAAAATTAAAATTTTTTTCTGATTGTGATATGCAATTTTAGACCACATACGAAAAAGGAGCTAAGCCAGAAAACGGTCAATTTTACGCCTTCGACCATGTACGGTTCTACGTCGGTAATGCTAAACAAGTAAGTTTTTTAGCAAGAACTTTCTTTACAAAAGCCAAAATAGCAAGAACTTTCATTATAAAACAAAAAGTAGCAAGAAATTTCTTTACACAAGCCAAAGTGACAAGAACTTTCTTTACAAAATAAAATATAGCAAAAACTTTTTTTACAAACCAAGAAATGGCAACAACTTTCTTTACAAAACCAGACAAGGCAAAACTTTCTTTACAAAACAAAAAATTGCAAGAACTTTCTTTACAAAACGTAAACTACAAGAACTTTCTTTACAAACCACTTTTAGGCCGCCTACTGGTACTGTGCCAATTTCGGCTTCAAGCCCTTTGCTTACAAAGGCCTAGAAACTGGCAGCCGGCTAGTAACAGCTCATGCCATAAAACAAGACAAAATTGTATTTGTATTCGAATCCGCTTTACTACCCGGTAACAAAGAGCTAGGTGATCACCTAGTACAACATGGAGATGGCGTTAGAGATGTAGCCTTCACGGTGGATAATATCGACTGGATTGTGGATTATGCCAAGAAACAAGGCGCTAAAGTTTTACAAGACGTTACTGAAGAGAAGGATGAAGATGGAAGTGTAAAGATTGCTAGGCTTCAGACGGTAGGTCTTTCATATTATAGATACAGTAAAGCTAGGCAGAGTAAAATAAGATACAGTGCGGTAGAATAGACTTTTAGGCTTAACTGCAGGAATTCTAAGCTTAGCAGCAAAAATTCTTAGGCTTAGCAGCACACATTTTAGGCTTAGCATTACATATTTTAGTCTTAGCAGCACACATTTTAAGCTTAACAGCACATATTTTAGGCTTAGCAGAAGACATTTTAGGCTTAGCAGCACACATTTTAGGCTTATCAGTACAAATTTTAGGCTTAGCAGCACAAATTTTAGGCTTAGAAGAACACAGCTTAGCAGTACGCATTTTAGGCTTAGCAGCACACATTTTAGGCTTAGCAGCGCACATTTTAGGCTTATCAGTACAATTTTTAAACTTAGCAGCACAAACTTCAGGCTTAGCAGCACACATTTTAGGCTTAACAATGGTAAGATAAAATTTTTATATTATCTATCATAATGACATTTTTTACAGTACGGTGACACAATTCACACCCTAGTGGAACGTCACAACTACAAAGGTCTATTCCTACCCGGATTCAAAACCCATCAAGGATCAACGGCTCTGTTCGATGCCCTACCTCCAGTCAATCTCAACTTCATGGACCATTGCGTAGGTAACCAGCCCAATAACGAAATGGAGCCGGCTGCCACTTGGTACGAGAAGTGTCTTTTGTTCCACAGATTCTGGAGCGTAGATGACAGTATTATCCACACTGATTACTCGGCTTTGTCATCAATTGTTGTCACGAATTATGAAGAGACGATCAAGATGCCTATTAATGAACCTGCCCAAGGCAAAAAGGCCGTTTCTCAAATTCAGGTGGGTTTTAGGGTCAGAAAATGCAGCAACTACCAAAAAATGGCAAAAACTTTCTTTGCAAAGCAAAAAATATAAATTTTGCACCTAAAAATAACATTTCATACCTAAAACACCATTTTATACCTAAAATTCTCTTTCCAGGAGTACGTAGACTACTATGGTGGAGCAGGTGTCCAACATATCGCCCTGAACACAACAGACATCATTTCCGCCATCACAGCGCTTCGTGCCCGAGGAATGGAATTCCTCCGTATTCCAGATTCCTACTACACAAACCTCAAAGAAAGATTGGCACAAAGTCAAACAAAAGTGGCCGAGGACATGGACAAATTGCAAAAACTTCAGATTTTGGTCGATTTTGATGAAAATGGATACTTACTGCAAATCTTCTCAAAACCATGCCAAGATCGACCAACCTTGTTCATCGAGATCATTCAGCGACAAAACCATCAAGGCTTTGGAGCCGGCAACTTCAAGGCGTTGTTCGAATCCATTGAACTGGAGCAGAATGAACGAGGAAACTTGTTTTACAAGGACATCAAGACTGGTGGCGAGAGGCTATAACGGCTTGGCACGGAGGGAGTTTGTGAAGATCTGACAGAAAAAAGCTGAAAATAAAAAAATTTTTAAAAAGTTCAAAATTAAAAAAAAATCATTTTTAGAAGCATAGTATAATATATTTTGTATTTTAATAGCATATTTTATGTTGTAAATAAAAAATCTGACATATTTAAACGAAGTTTGAGCCGGATTTGGTTGATAACAGCAAAAATCAGAAAATGTTTGACACTTGACTCATTTCTACTTTTTGAGTCAAGTTTTTCTCTGGATGAAAATTTTGTTTTCATTGATAATATTGGCCAATATTAGGTTATATTAGGCTTGTAAATATGTATTTTTATCGGTTTTGTTGATATTTTATATGAATCGGGCTTATACTTGATAATTGATGTTGTTTTAGATGTTATACTTGATTCAAAACTTGAATTTTCGCTCATATTGATGTAGTTTTAGCCAAAAAAAAAGAATTTTTAGGTAAAAATTCAGAAACATGTAATTTCCACGATTGTCTGCCATAAAATGTTGGTCATTTCAAATCTGTTACAATGGGTGCGGGTGGGTCGAAAAGATATCGACAAATTGAAGAAGAATATGACAAGTATATATTACGATGGGATTACTATCCACGGCATCCTGCGTTCTTTCAAGGGCCAGCTGGTACTGTGGTGTATGCTTTTAAGTTTTATCCAAAGTAAGTTTTTAAGCCTAAGATTACTTTTCAAGCCTAAAATTCATTTTTAAGCCTAAAATTTAGTTTATAAGCCTAAAACTTCTTTATAAGCTTAAAATTTACTTTATAAGCCTAAACTTCATTTTATAAGCCAAAAATTTAAGTATAATCGAAAAATTCATGTTATAAGCCTAAATTTTAGTTTATAAGCCTAAAATATGTTTTATAAGCCTAAAATTTACTTTTAAGCTTAAACTTTATTTTATAAATCTAAAATTCATTGCTATATTGTCTTAGAGTCCACTATGTAGCTCATGACACAAAAGAAGCCAAGTTCATGGAAGACATGGTGTATGTTATGGCCGTTAACGGTTGCAAAGGTTTGATTCCAGTCGTATTTTTGCAAATCTACAATGACATTGGAAAACCGTACACATTTCTTGGCAATGTTCTACAACAACACATGTTCAAGCAGAATCTGATTGAATCTAAGTGAGTTTTAAAAATTTTTGATGAATTGCACTAGTAGTACCAGTAGTACCAAAAGGTAAAAGTACTAAGTGTAATGAAAATCATGTTTGTTATAGAATAATAGCTGAAAATATCTTTCAGATGGCATGTACCATACGTACCATTTCACAATATATCAGTTTACATGAGCGAAAATGTGGTGGAAGCTGGCTCATGGTTAATATGCAATCCACAAGAGACTCAGCCAACTTCCGATCGATGGCCCGATTACTGGCTGGCTATAAAGACTTGCAATGGCTATGTCCAAAAACATATTCAAATCTTCAAGGAAACATACGATCATAACAAAGCGTTGGCTACTAGGGTTTATTTGGAGGCCTTTAGGGTGGGTTATTATTGGATTAAAATTTTTAGGGTGGGATAGTACTAATTATGATAAGTTAATGTTGGTTCAAAAATATTATTCTAGAAAGACGACTCAGCACCAAAAGAGTCAGCCCCAAAGGAACCTGTATCAAAAAAGACGGGACAAAAGGAATCAACCCCAAAAGAACCAAAAGGACCAACACAAAAAGACTCAGTACCAAAAGAACCAGCAAAGAAGCCTGAAGCAACGCCAAAAGCAGCTCAAAAAGAAGAAAAAGCACCAAAATTAGAGCAAAAAGAAAAGAACGCACCAAAAGCAGACCAAAAAGAAGCCAAAAAAGATGAAAAATTAGCTGAGAAAGAACAAAAAGTAGAAGAAAAGCAACAAAAAGGAAAAGCTGAAGGAAAAAAGGTAAAAATATTGGTTTTTGATGGTGTAAACAAAGTTTTTGCGATTTTTTGTTTAGTAAAGAAAGTTCTTGCCATTTTCTGTTTTACAAAGAGTTTTTGCGACTTTATCTTCTGTAAAGAAAGTTTTTGCGATTTTCTTTTATGTAATGAAAGTTCTTGCTGTTTTCATTTATGTAAAGAAAGTTTTTGCAATTTGTTGTTTTGTAAAAAAAGGTTTTTGTATTTTTCATTTGTGTAAAGAAAGTTTTTGCGATTAATATTTATGTAAAGAAAGTCTTTGCGATTAAAAAAAAATTTTTAGCCAGATGAATCTTCGAAGAATGAAACTTTCTTGGATGAAGCAAGTTATCCATGGATTCAATTATACCCAAAGAAGCTCATAACCGACACATTCCCGGGTGTAGCCGAACCTTCTCCACCTGTTCTATTCTTGAGAATTCGGAGAACAACGTAGGTTTTGTCTAAATAGTGGTATATTAGGGTAGAATATGATATAAGACAGGGTATATTGTAGGGGTATACGGTATGTTTTGCGATACAGTGTGTAGCATAAGGAAGGGTAGGATATGATAGAGTAGGGAAGAGTAGAGTAGGTTTGAATACAGTAGAATACTCTTCAAAACTAAAAATTTTCAGCACCGGTCGATACTACCTATTCCGGCAGCACGAAGAGACCTTCTCCACTATATATCACTTGTTAGACGCATACTATGGCCATGTTTTACCATTGGACACGAGTTATTCACTAATTTTGGGCGATCCAGTACTCCTTCATAGCGATCCACAACCAGGCATTCGACCGGTCGACATGCCCGTTCCAGCCCCCTTACGGCCAATGATTCGATGTATTGGTATAGCTAGGACATTGTTGCCGGTATGGAAGGAGAAAAACGAATATGCAAATTACGGGCCAGTGGAAGTGGCTAGTTATGCGAATTTACCGGGATTATATACGTTTGGGTATGCCATGGCGGAGACGAAGAAGTTGAGTGGTATTTCACCGGTCGGGCAGTGCAGTTTGGGTAGGTTAATGTCATAATCTTAAAAGAATAAACATTAGTTTGGGTAGGTTTTTTGATTGTGGGTTGCGAAAAAAGATGTTTGATCGTATAACATGGACCTCGCATCCTGCAACACTTAGGGCGCGTCTAATTTTTGCAATTTTTTTCATTTTTAAGTTGAAAAATATTAAAATTTACATTTAGGAATCGTGACGATGTATGGTAAGAAGCGAAAATCGGTTATTAAATTCATAAAAAGCAATGACTTCATTTATCATGAACAATTTTTGAAAGACATTATGAAGTTGCACATTCACACGAGGAAACGACAGGACTTCACCAAGTAAGAACTTTGTTCAAAATACATAAAATGGAAATAACTTTCTTTACAAAACCAGAAAATGGCAAGAACTTTATTTTCAAAACAAAAAATGGCAAGAACTTTCTTTACAAAGCATAAAATGACAAGAAATTTGCTTACAAACAAGAAATGGCAAGGACTTTCTTTACAAAACAAAAAATGGCAAGTACTTTCTTTACAGACATAAAATGGCAAGAGCTTTCTTTACAAAACGAAAAATGCCAAAAATTTTTATGAAAACACTAATATATGATAAAGTATGGTTCTAGTTAACTCTTTATCACTATTTTCAGAAAAGAAGGCCACTATTACAAACCAACCGGTATGAACTTTTTGGCCAAATTTCATGGATGTGACATAACATCGGAACGGAAATGGATTGGGTATGAACGTGTAGGCTTGTACTCGCTGTCAGAGATGATGAAGTTGTGGACGGAGCAAAAGAAATCATTGTTTTTGAGGGCAAAACTGGAAATCATTTATCAGGTAAGTTAAAATTAAAATTTTTTTTAATTTTAAAAAATTGCAAAATTTTTTTTAACGAATTGGCTTCGTAAGTCCAGTAAGCCTAACACTACTGAGCATAAAATTCATAAACCTAGGCTTCCTAAGGCTACTAAGCGTAAGCCTATTAAGTCTTAACTACTGTGCCTAAGCCTACAAAATTTAAGATTGGTAAGCTTAAGTTTACTAAGTTTAAGCCTAATTCTATTGAACTTAAGCCTACAAAATCCTAAGACCTTTAAGCTTAAAACTAATCGAAATCGGAATCTCAGCTGACCTATAAGCATGACTTTAAATATAAAGCTTTAACGTAATAAATGATGGATAAAAAGTTGTGCGGCATTACCTAATATTGGTGACATAACTATTTTTATAACATAGCCTTAGAGAAATTGTCAGAAATCGTGTTGCGCAACTTTTTCTTATGTAATATTGATTACTTTTGTAATATTTGCCTCGATGTAAAACGACCCAACAAATTACTGCGAGTGCTGGGATCTTATTCTATGTTACTGCGAGGTGCTATTTAATTTTTACCTGCCGTATTTTGTGAGTATATAAATCTACTCTGCTGCTTAAAAACGTCATTATTCATTTTAGTCATCCTAGGGGTAAGCCTAGGCTAAGCCTAAGCTAAGCCTAAGTTAAGCCTAAGCTAAGCCTAAACCAAGCCTAAGCTAAACCTAAGCTAAGCCTACGCTATGCCTAAGCTAAGCCTACGCTATACCAAAAAACGACACAACAAATGACTGCGAGTGTTGAGCTCTTACTTTATATTACCACGAGGAATCAGTTTTTATCTGCCATACTTATGAGTATATAAACCTAGGTTTTAGCCATAAAGCGTCATTAGTATTATACCTATTAAGTGTGATTTTACTAAACCTAAGATTATTAAGCCTAAGCCTACTAAGCTTAAGCCTATTAAGCCTAAGCCTGCAAATCTCAAGCCTACTAAGCTTTAGCCTATTAAGCCTAAGCTTACTAAGTTTAAGCTTACTAAGTTTAAGCTTACTAAGCTTAAGCTTGTTAAACCTAGGCTTAATAGGGCTAAGCTTAATAAGTTTACTTAGGCTTATCGTTTCCAATTAATCAATGTTCTTTAGATAGTCTGCGGAATGAGACATCTGGAGCAAAATGGTTTGTGTCATCGGAACCTGAAGGCATCGAATGTGATAGTAAAAGAAGATTATGATTACAATTGGAGTGTCGTCATCACTGACTATATGTTGCCTTACAGCTTCTTGTTGGTAAGAACTTTTTTATAAGCTAAAAATGGCAAGAACGTTCTTTACAAAACAAAAAATGGCAAAAACTTTCTTTACAATCTAAACAAATAATTTTTCTTTATCGACCGATATTTCTAGAACAAATCGACCAAGCCCATTCCCTACGAACGGCTGCATTGGCGTTGGATGGCTCCAGAAAGCCTTACGAAAGGCCAATTTGATATTGTCTCAGATGTCTGGGCCTTTGGATGTACGGTGTTTGAGTTGATGACGTGGGGAAAAGTACCGTGGTACTATGACAAGGACATCACAGTACCAGCGGATATTATTCAAAAAACCAATAAAGGATTTTTGATGACAAATGACCCAAAAGTACCGGATTATACCGTGAGGTTGAGTGAGATTTGCATGGAGACTGATACAAAGGTAAGTTATTTGGGGGTTTCAGGGTGGAAAGAAAGTTTTTTGCGATTTTTTGGTTTGTAAAGAAAGTTCTTGCTATTTTTTGATATGTAAAGAAAGTTTTTGCATTTTTTTTGTTTTGTAAAGAAAGTTCTTGCTGTTTTTAATTTTTAAACTATTTTTTGTCGTTTTTTCTTCTGTAAAGAAAGTTCTTGCAATTTTTTTACGATTTATGAACTTTTGCAGGCTGCGAGTTTTATGTTATACGAAAGGAAAGATACTAATTCCGTATTTTTTAGCTACGCCCATCTTTTCACAAACTGCTGAACTTTCTTGGTGTTTTGTTATACGATGCGACGAAGCCGGTAGAACGAACACTGTACGACAATGCTATGAGTAAATGCAAGGGATCTGTCACTACTGGTAACGCCAAAACCTTGCGGTGATACTACAGTAAATTTCATTTTCTGTTGGCTAGTATACCGTATTATATATTACACTACACATGGTATCAATATATTGTTTTTGGTGGAAGAGTGAGGGTTGTTCTTGGTGGTAGAGTAAGGGTTGTTCTTGGTGGTAGAGCAAGGGTCGGCAGGTCGGTCAACGGAGAGAGGGACTGGGGAGGGAAAGGAGGGGTAGGTGGGGGGGGAGTTTTAACTTGATGTAAAATTATTGTAAAATACGCTTAAAGAAGGACATATTTTCAAATATTTATTCAAATTTTAACAATTCTTAGGATTTTTAGGTAACAATTTATATTTGTCATATTATCCTTGGAGATCACTTGTAATGAAGAATACCTGTTGTTTTTATGAGCGTGAAATGCTGATAAGTAGCAATTTGTTGATTATAAGTGCACTGACTGAAAATATATACTGTTTTACAATGAAATTTTTTTAATTTTCCAACTTTTTTAAATGGAAAGAAAGTTACTGCAGTTTCAAAATTTTTGTGTGGCTTTTGAATTGAAATTGTTGAAAAGTGAAATTTAGGTATATGTTAGTGTTAAAAACGTTTTTATTACCTTAAAGTGCCAGTTACGATATTTTTTTTAATGGAAAGAAAGTTATTGCGGCTTTCAAAAATTTTTCTTAAATTCAAAAAAAGTTAAAAATAGGCCGTAAAATGTCATTTTAAATTAATTATTTGCATAAAATTTTTCATTTTTTAAAACTGTAAAGAAAGTCCTTACGCTTCGTCGATTTGTCATCATTTTCTGAATGGTTGATCGTATTAATGTCGTATCTTCGTTCATAAGTTTTCGTCGATACGACGGAACCAATAACAATATAGAAAGACAATTTAGTAGTGGGAAAAGCTGCATTAGACCGTAGGCTGCATAACCAAGTTTTTCTACGTTGTAATCTTGTCGTATGCATATCATTAGTAAGGTTATTGGTAGGAAGAATACCAGAAATGGGTATAGGGCCTGAAATAGGGTTGTTTTGAAAAAGTCTTTGCTTTTTGTTGTTTTGTAAAGAAAGTTCTTGCCATTTTTTTTGTAAAGAAGGTTATTGCCATTTTACGTTTTGTAAAGAAAATTCTTGACATTTTATGTTTTGTAAAGAAAGTTCTTGCCATTTTTCGTTTTGTAAAGAAAGTTCTTGCCATTTTACGTTTTGTAAAGAAAGTTCTTGCCATTTTACGTTTTGTAAAGAAAATTCTTGACATTTTATGTTTTGTAAAGAAAGTTCTTGCCATTTTACGTTTTGTAAAGAAAGTTCTTGCCATTTTACGTTTTGTAAAGAAAATTCTTGACATTTTATGTTTTGTAAAGAAAGTTCTTGCCATTTTACGTTTTGTAAAGAAAATTCTTGACATTTTATGTTTTGTAAAGAAAGTTCTTGCCATTTTTCGTTTTGTAAAGAAAATTCTTGACATTTTATGTTTTGTAAAGAAAGTCCTTGCGATTTTATGCTTTGTAAATTAAGTTCTTGCAAAATCGACCAAAAATTCAAGTCTTACCTGAACAAACATGACCCTGATGACATATTGTTGCGCTTTCTGAGTCGATGACATGTTCAACATTCGTTTTTCTTTCATTTTCTTGATAATCTTGTAGCCATAGTACAAAATGAAGGAGTACTGTACGATAAACATCACTTGAGCATCTAGCATCAGCATCATGCCTAATGGGGTTTTCTGAAAATGGAATTGTAGAAAATGGCAAAAGCTTTCTTTACAAAACTTAATATGGCAAAAACTTTCTTTCCAAGGCATCAAATGGCAAAAACTTTCTTTACAATCCCGAAAACCCTACTAATATTCATCGTATAACATGTCCACCGCAGCCTGCACACCCCTTTCTTCATAAAAACCTACCTTTTCAAAGCCCAATATACTAGGAACTTCGTAATGATACATACGATTGACCATGATATATTTATAATGTTCGTCTTTATGAGTTACAGTAACATGATAATAAAACACGACCATGTGCACCAATACCCATATACCAAACATAGCATACTGTCTAACATACCGTCGCTTCCCGCAGGCTTGTATATTACACAGTATATTGTAGCGGTACCAGAAATGCACACTTAAATTGGCTGGTACTAGTAAAAGAGCACCAATGTTTAACGTAAAACCTAATCGGGCTACTGTAGTCGGGAGGTACTGTAGAATGTCGCTTTCTGATATGAGTACGAAGATCTCGTCGTGAAAGAATGGGGCCTGGAAAAGATGGTTTAGTAGGGTAGGGTAAGGTATGATAAGGTAAGTTAAGGGAAGGTAATGTAAGGTAAGGTAAGATTGGGTAGGGTAGGGTAGGGTAGGGTAGGGTAGAGTAGGGTAGGGTAGGGTAGGGTAGGGTAGGGTAGGGTAGGGTAGGGTAGGGTAGGGTAGGGTAGGGTAGGGTAGGGTAGGGTAGGGTAGGGTAAGGTAAGGTAAGGTAAGGTAGGGTAGGGAATGGTACGGTATGGTATGGTATGTTATGGTATGATAAAATAGAGTACATACCAAATTAACAATAGTAAAAATCAATGCATATAGGTAGTCAAAACAGGTATTAAATCCAAAGATCCAATTGTAATCCGACTGTTTCCGTCTTTTGTGTAGTTTATATGAGGTAAGTATGACTATGATACATACAAGTTGAGAAATGATTCCTATCACTTGAGAAAATATTGTATATGTGTTGCGGTAGGTCATATCTAAATTTTTAAAAATTTTTAAAATAAAAAAAATATTAAAATTTAAAAAAATTTTAAAATATTAGGCGCCGACATAAAGAACTCGCCATTTTTACAGGAAATTACAGGCAAAGTATGGCGGGTTCTTTATGTCGGCACCTAATAAAAAACAACTAAGCACGACATAATCAAAAGTCAACAAATACGTATGTCATTTCGAAAAACGAACTTTCTGGCTTCCTATTTAGCCTCATATATTCAATTTTCCAAACTCAAATGCGTGAAATATTATATTATAGTAGGCCGAACTAAAAACAAAAACACACAAAGCGAGGACTTTTGTTAATTAGAATCCAAAAATAAGGCAAAAATATGAAATTTAAAAAAATTTTTTAAATTTTGAACTTTTTGGACCAAAACTTTCTTTACAAAATGAAAGATGGCAAGAACTTTTACAAGATATAAAATGGCAAGAACTTTCTTTACAAACCAAAAATGGCAAGAACTTTCATTACAAAATTTAAAATGGCAAGAACTTTCTTTACAAAATTCAAATTGGCAAGAACTTTCTTTACAAAAATTAAAATGGCAAAAACTTTTACAAAGCAAATCAAGCCTAAGAATGGTATAATAAGCCTAAAAATACTGTTATAAGTCCAAAAAAGCATAGTAAGAAACATAATATTACTTTTAAAGAACAATTTCATCTCAAAATGGCACATTATGTTGTCAACATGACCACTATTATTTACTTGTCATAAATAATATAGAAATATAGCATTTTTAACTACAGTGTTCTAATTTAAGACCAAAACACAAAAAACGGAAATAATTTTCTTTACAAAACATAAAATGACAAGAACTTTCTTTACAAAACAAAAAATGGCAAGAACTTTCTATACAAGACAAAAAATGGCAAGAACTTTCTTTTCAGGGCATATCAGACTAAAATGACCCAAAAAGTCAACTCAAAACCCCAAAAACGTAAAGTAATTTGCCATTTGTTATACATGTCATAGTATTCAATCATACACATAATACAACAGATTATCCGTTTGTGTAAAAGTAGGAATTACCCTTACCGTTTGATAAGCCGATCCTATCCATAAACAAGTAAAAAACAGTAAAACAAAATCTTACACTAAAAAACAATATTTTAGGCTTGCAATAAATCTAAAGCTTAAAAATAAACGTTGGGTTTAATAATGACATTTTAATGTTAAAAACAAAATTTTAGGCCTAGAAAATGAAGTTGGGGCCTAAAAATAAATTTCGGGTTTAAAAACGGATTTTAGGCTTAAAAATAAAATTTTAACTTTAAAACGAATTTTAGGCTTAAAAATAAATTTTAGGCTTTTTTAAAATGAACCTTAGGCTTAAAAAAAGAATTGTAGGCTTAAGAACTAATTTTTAAGCTTAAAGATAAATTTCAGGCGATTTTTCGAATTAAACGTAAAAGTTCAGGCTTAAAATAGAATTTTAGGCTTCAACATGAAAATTTAGGCATAAAAATAAAATTTTGGATTTAAAAATGTAAGTCATATTTTGGACTGCCACAATAATCCAAACCTACACTAATTGACCTTTCAAAAGTTCTCCCCCCCTCTCCTCACCCCCCTTCCCCTCCAATTACCACTCTTTATAATACTAATACAATTTAATACTCAATTACCAAAATTGACTACAATATTGTATTGCCAGTACAACATTTACATGCCAATTTACATTAACACGTCAATTTGCATTTACATCCAACTGAGACATTACACATTAAGTTGTACTATGGAAATGTAATGTAAAGTAGTAGAAAAAGCAGTACAGGAAGTAATCGTTCTCAAAATGTAAACAAAAATAATTGGAAAAACAGGATTAATTAGTTACGTTCAAGGTAAATAGTCGTGGTAACATGTCGTGGTAAAACAGGTACAATACAACTTGGAGAGACATGTTTTGATGTCACATTACAGTAGAATATCTAATCTCTACAGGAAGTATTTTTATTCAAAGAAATGGTTTTGTCATTCTTTTGGTCTGTAAACAAAGTTTTTGCCATTTTTTGTTATGTAAAGAAAGTTATTGCCATTTTTTGCCTAAAAACCATATTTTTTAATAAGACCAACAAACCCCACAGGTTTTACCTATTTTTATAAACAACCCAAAAATACAGTACAAACTTTCATATTTACTTAATTTAATACAAAAAAAACGTTACCTACCAAATGTACACGTATGAAAAATATGCTATATATATGCATACATGGACCTACGTAACTAGACACAACAAGTATTCATTTTTCAAATTCACACAATTCGAAATTGCAAAAGATTTTTTACAATAATAAGTTATTCAGTAGTCAAGAAGATAATAGACAATGATACTACGCTTGAAAGAAAAGTGTAATTTGAAAAAAATTAACACTGACTTCCTGGAAAAAACATGTACACTACCCTACCCTACCCTACCCTACCCTACCCTACCCTACCCTACCCTACTCTACCCTACCCTACCCTACTCTACCGTATCGTACCCTACCCTTCCCTCTCTACCTAAACATAAAGAACAAGCCGGGCCTGCCTTGACTCAAATTTAGGTTATGTCAGGTTTGAAAATCAAGACCCGGCCCCCCAGAAAAGCCCGGCCCGATTGAACGAAAAAAAACGGCCGTGCCACGCCTAAGCAAAATTTAGGTCGAGTCAGGCCTAACAAAGCCCAGCCCGTTCCTCATGTCTAACCCTACTTTACTCTTCCCTACCCTACCTTAACCTAAGTTACTACCTTGCCTTGTCTTTGCCTAAACTTACCTTACCCTGCCTTCCTAAAAAAGTCCTACCCTACCTTACTCTGCTTTTGAATAATAGAAAACATTACTCCAGTATCATAAATCACTTATATATATTAAATTAACAATACCCTACCGCTACCCCCAAACAAAAAAAAATGAAGCACAAGACACAATAGCTTGGTATAAGTGCATAATATTTAACATATAAGTACGTACACATAATATTTAACATACATGTGTAAATTGTAAGTCTTCGCATTGATTATATGTGATGTCTGTAAAATTTTAAGACTTCTTGGACTCTTTACTCCCACCTTTCGTCTCTCAAATACCAAACAAGTAAAAAAGAATTTTAATCCTCTCGCCGTACCTTAGAAAGTACAGTTCGGAGATTACGTTCATTGTCCTTCAGTGCTGTTCTAATTATAAACCTTTTTATTAAAGTTGTCTGGGAACGTATTAGCAAAGAAAAAAATTTTAAGCCTAAAATTTATCTTTTAAAATTAAATTTATTTTTAAGCCTAAAAGTCATTTTTAAGCTTAAAATTTTTTTTGTAAGCCTATAATACATTTTTAGGCTTAAATTTTGCTTCAAAGTATTAAAGTCATTTTTAAGCCTAATATATATTTTATAAGCCCATATTTCATTTTATTAGTTTAAAACCTAATTTATAAGCCTAAAATTAGGTCAAAACCATTAAACTTATTTTTAAGCTTAAAGTTTGTTTTATAAGCCTAAAACTAGGTCAAAACCATTAAATTTACTTTTAAGCCTAAAGTTCATTTTATAAGTCTAAACTTATATCAAAAGCCTAAAACTCATTTTTAAGCTTAAAGTTCGTTTTGTAAGCCTAAAATTAGTTTAAAATTACAAAATTCATTTTTTAAGCCTAAAATTCATTTTTAAGCTTAATGTTAATTTAAAAGCCTAAAATTAATTTTTTAGCCTAAAATTCAAATCATAAGCCTAAACTCTAATTTATAAACCTAAAATTTAATTTATAAAGTTAAAATTCATTTTTAAGCCTAAAGTTCTTTTTTAAACCATGAATTTACTTTTTTGACCTTAATGTTTACTTTGTAAGCCTAAAGTCATTTTATAAACAAAAAATTAAATAAATAAGCCTAAAATTTATTTAAAAATAAAAAAAAAACCTAATAATCAACTAAAAAAATAAAAATGAATTTTAAAAAGCAGTTTTAGTCCCAAATCTCAAAAAAAAATACAGTACATACTCAAGAATCCAAGTTGACATCTGCTTAAGCATTAAGCTGACACTAATCTTTTTATGATACGCTAAGCTAGTGTGCTTCCTCGTAGCACCATAATACTATGTAAGCATTAACCCAACAGTTCCGAGTGATTAATCCAAGTCATTTCTGGTTGCTGATTACATCAGGAACTGGCTTTAAGATTGAAATAAACCTTGTCGTCACTTACCGCTTCTACATTCTCCTTTTTTTGCCTTACCCTTGTAACTCCTCCGTTTTCACCTTCCCCTCCCTTTCCCTGAAGACAATGTTTTAAAATTATGTCATTTTTCGAAAAAGTCCAAACATTTTTTTAAATATTAGAGTTTTGATAATGATTCAAAGATGAAGACACAAACTGGCACATCTAGAAAAGAAAACTTAGTTGCCAGAACTCATTAGTAAGATAAACAGTAAAACTTTTGTTTACTCAAGGTCTACGTGTGTATGTAGATATTCACAAATTAGCTAAAAGTTTATAGAACAGTTCAGCTTACATTTATTTTTCTTAAGCCTAAAATTGATTATTTAGCCTAAAAACCAATTTAAAAGTTTAGCTTCCCATTTTTAGTTAATAACTTCTTCTTTAAGCCTAAAATTCATTTTTTAGCCTAAAATTCATTTTGTAAGCCTAAAATTCATTTTTAAGCCTAAGATTTATTTTATAAGCCTAAAATTAATTTTTAAACCTAAAAAATTACTTTCCAAGCCTAAAATTCATTTATAAACCGAAAACTCACTTTTAAGCCTAACTTCATTTGTCATGATTAATATAACAGTAAACCTTACGCATAAAACTATAACAATAATAGAAATAAAAACAGTAAAACTAAAGACATATAACAAAATGATTAGCGAGATAAGTGTCAGATAAATGTAGAAGCCACAAAAGAGTTTTCCGGCCGTTTGTTTAACAAAACAAAAAACAAATTACCCAACGGAATTGTATTATCGTCTATCATTCTTATACCACTTTTGACTACGTAAATAATTTTAACTACATAACAACTTTAAAGTTTCAAAAAATTCTTTTCATCTTGCCTCTACACTAAACCTATAAAGGAGCCGGACCGAGCCTTGGTTTGGGCCTCGGCTTTTGTGGCTACATTTTCCGGACTTTATCACCTCAGCTGAAAGGCCTCCGTACTCCCCGATCTCAACTTGATGGATTACAGTATTTGGTCGATATTGTAGGCAAGGGTGTGTTGTAGAAGACACCAAACTTTGGAGTTTTTGAAACAAGCATTGATCGAAGAGTGGGACAAACTTTCGCCTCAGGACCTGACTTTGTGAAGCGTTTACGCCTCTGCATGGCGGCAAAGAGGGGCCACTTCGAAACCGCTTGACTATGTTATAACTAGTGCTATATGTTACTATTGTTAGTTGTTGTTTTAAGTATATTGATTGTTTTAATAAATATATGACTAAAATAATGAGTTCAGGGGCTTTTGGCACACCCTGTATAAGTGCAGGCCCGATCCGGTCTCTTTTAAAGTTGCTTTGGCCTGGCCCAGCTCATGAAAGACACGAACCTAGTGGGCCAAGTCTACTATTTATTAAATTTTTTTGTAAAATGGTCCTTTTGTTATTACAATTTTAAAAAATTGATTTTTCTATTCCCCTTATGGTATGTTAACTATCTTATGAAAAATTGGTTTTTTATTAATGCATTTTTTTGTTTTGACATGTATAAAAACCGTAATGAAAAAAACTGTTTTTAGTTTCGAAATACGCCTAAGTAGAATAACAAATAAAAAGGCTTGTGAATGTGACAATAAGCAGGATATTATAGTAGAAGGAAGTATATAAACAACCATTTACGGCATTGCTGCATTGGCACAAACTTTCTTTACAATAATGATCGGTCAAAATTTTTTTACAAAAAGTAAAAAAAACTTTTTTGAAAAAAGTTAAGCGTAAGCCTATTTAGCCTAAAATCTTTGCTTTTGTCCTCCTAAATTAAAAATTAGTTCCTCCCCTCCAAAATTAAATAAAAAGCAATTTCTTTCCGCCTTTCCTTCTGACCAAAATTACCCTCCCGCTCCCGCCCTTTAGCACTGTCTATCTCTAAAAGTCTAAGCCCTCCCCCTCCTTACCCAGTAGAAAGAACAAAGCCATTAGCTGAAAAGTTAAAGCTAACCATTAATAAAGTTACAGTAAGATCATTAGTTTATTATTAAATGCCGACATAAAGAACCCGCCATTTTTACAAGAAATTACGGAAAAAGTATGGCGGGTTTTTTATGTTGGCACCTAATACAATGTAAGTTACAAATACGATATAGCCACACATATCACAGATAGTAGAGTACTAAAGCCAACTTGTCCAGTACCATTAAAAAAGAAGACTCCCATCTCGTTCGTAGTACCTTTGTACTTGCGTATCCTAGTCGTACTTTCTGCAAATGTATAGTACTCTTCAGTAGTAGTAGTACCAGTTTCATTAGTAATTGTACTATGCTCAGTATCAGGCGTACTATCATTAGTAGCTGTAGTAATATTGTCATGACTAATAGTACTGTCTATAACAATAGTACTGTCGTCCCAATCAGTAGTACTGTCAGTAGTATCGGTACTATAGTCAGTAGTAATATCAGTACTGTCCGTATCAAAGTTAGTAGTAGTCGTGGTTGTAGTAGTTGTAGTAGAGGTCGTCGATGTTGTTGGAGTAGTTACAGTAGAAGCACCATATTTGTATCGAACTGGACTTGTGAAGAACTTATCGTCTTTGCTAATTAATGGTACCAATAGATGAATCTCGTCGATTTTTATTTTTTTACGGAAAAAATCAATAGTGTCCGGTATGTACCATGAGGTCCTAAAATAGCGAGAACTTTCTTTACAAAACAAAAAATAGCAAAAACTTTCTTTCCAAAACATAAAATGGCAAGAACTTTCTTTACAAAACAAAAAATGACTAGAACTTTATTTACACAACATAAAATAGCAAGAACTTTCTTTACAGAACAGAAAATAGCAAAAACTCTAATTACAAAACAAAAAATGGCAATAACTTTCTTTACAAAACAAAACCTCAAAAAAAAACTAAAAGCTACTATAACTCACTCAGTATGTGTGTCCTTAATCATATAAATACAACGACCATAGTAACAATCGGTGTGCACAATCAGTCCATCATACGCGTAAGTCGAATTCGTATAACCATCACGTAGCACCTTCTTCGTCAGTATATCAAACACACAGGATCGTTTTTCTGTCTACAAATTGATATATACTGTATATAGGTATGTGTATGAGTATGGGATGGGTATGGGTATAAGTATGGTTATGGGTATGGGTATGGGTATGGGTGTGGGTATGGGTATCTCCAAAAAGCTTACCATGCAATCCGAAATCTGCTCTTTGACATACGTTTTGTTCATTTCATTATCATTCAGACTGTCAATGTACTGGTCAGGATGAATTGTTTTAGTTCCAGCACAAAGAGTTTGAGATTTGACGCCTGTTACAGGTGATATGATATAGAGGTCGTAGATGAAAAAAGCAAACGAAAAACCTTCCCTATTATAGAAAATGTTTTCGTGACAAGCCGCAGGTTCATCAAATCGACTAGTCCGTGAATTGCGCTTGACTGGGTACCGGAACTCATTTTGTTCTGTTTTTCTGAAGTGGTGTTATGATTAATACAAGATTTAGATTTTTAAAACAAACTATAGGCCAAAAACCGTATTCTCGTTAAAAAATAAAGATTTAGGCTTAAAATTAAGAGTTTAGGCTTAAAATGAGTTTAAGGCTTAAAAAATGAATTTTAGGCTTAAAGATGAATTTTAGGCTTAAGAACAAATTTTAGGCTTTAAAAATGAAGATTTAGGCTTGAAAATGAACTTTAGGTTTAAGAATGAATTTTGGGCTTAAAAATACATTTTAGGCTTACAAAATAAATTTTAGGCTTAAAAAATGAATTTTAGACTTAAAAATAAATTTTAGGCTTATAAAATAAATCTTAGGATTATAAAATGAAGTATAGGCTTAAAAATGAATTTGATGTGTAAAAATGAGTTTTAGGCTTAAAAACTCAATTTTTGGCTTAAAGATAAATTTTAGGCTTAAAAATAAAATCAAATCCTCAAAATGAGTCCTTAGGCTTACAAATTAAAAAAATTAAAATTAAAACCACTCACGCTTGTATCATAGATAATACATGAAGCGTAAGGGGAGCATTAACTATGTAGTAATCGAAACCGTGATCTTTCCTGTAAACCGGATAACCATGAAACAAATAGTTATTGGTGTCAAACGCCCGTACCCCGTGTGACATATTCATCGAGTTTTGAGCTAAAATAACTTAATAACACATTTCTACAAACTATTTGAGCAAGAACAACTAGTTCTAAAGTTTTTTAAAAGCTAAATGGCTAAAGCAAGAAAAATCTTATCATTCGACCAAGAAACCCTTAACAAACCTGTTAAATACCTTATCACAAAAAAAACTTACTAATCTCAACATAAAACCCAGACGCCGGTTTCCGTCCAGATTTCATTCGATATACCAGAAAATACCGTGAGAACATGCCATCCACCATCCTTTTACAACTCGGACACACCTCCCGAGCCACATAATCTGCCGTATAGTGGGCTATGCACAAAAATAATGACAATATCATGAGAAAAGTTACAGTATGAAAATGCGACCGCATTCTTCGAAAGTAAAAAGTATAAAATATTGATGGATAAGAAAACTTTAAATTTTAAAATATTTTGAAATATGTTCTTTTAAAAAAATTTTTAAAAATTTTTTAAATTTTACAGAGAAAGTAAACGAAAATTAAATCATGAAAACCTAAATAAAAATAGTAAAAATAGTGTTGATCCTGCTTTAGAGAGATCAAAGCACAGTAAAAATGTCAGTTTAAACACTGGAAAACACTTTGATTACCTACTATAATACATATAGGAAAGCTAAAGCTCATATCGCAAAAACTACTCGGTATTTTCTCCCAATTTTACTATCAAATTGATCCCTGTTTTATGCTTAAACTAGATAAAAACAAAGAATACATTAATTATTTCAGTTTTCTTTCAAAAACTATCTTCACTACCTAAAACAATATCAAAACTCTAAGGGGGTTATCCCAAAAGCTACTCATTGATTTTCGTCAATTATAGTATCATAACCACCCTTATTCTATGTCCTATCACAATATAAAGCAGTAGGAAAACTTTTCGTACCGTTCTGTAGAGTTACAGCTTGTTTTACCCAAACCCTACCTAAAAAAACTGAAAAACCAGCCTCTGAAGCAGAGTAACGTCGATGAATTATAAGTTTGAAACACAATCTCAACTTGGCGGGAAGTTCAAAACTTTATCATTCGACGTCGATTTTCTCAAGATAGACTGGACACTTCTACAAACCTTTACAACAACCAAAATATTTATTAATAATATATTATAATAACAAGAAGGAGGCTACAATCGAATTTTTTTATTTCGGATACGGCCCTTATATTATACAAAGTCATTTAGCCACGGGAGATTTCTTGCTCATATATATATATCCATATCCATTCTGGTGTGTCTTCCGGACGGGGTTGGCACTTCGCAAGAAGTAATTGAGACATATTCTCCCGACATATGTGAGTCTTCCGATTTTCCTGTGGACTTCTTGGACTTGCCGCGCTTCTTGGAATTGGTCGATGTTCCGGAAGATCCGGACGACTTTCTGCTCTTTTCAGTGCCAGACTTGGAATTGCTGGGGTTGCTGCTCGTCTTGGAGGCGGGGTCTTTGCTGTTGGCTGAGGAATTGCTGGCGTTGCTGGTCTTGGAGGCGTGGTCTTTGCTGGTGCCTGAGGGATTGCTGGTGCCTGAGGAATTGCCGGTGTATGAAGAAGTGCTGCTGTTTGAGGAAGTAGACGAGTGTCTCTTGCGATATTCATCAGGCAGTGGGAGTCGCCTCGGCAAGTGTTTGCAACAGTCGGTAAGATAGAAACCGAAAACAACCGTTAAGAAAGTGATAACGATGATCATTATGGAACTGACGACAATGGCAGTCTTGTCGAGCAGGCTGAAATCAAAAAATTTTAAAAAAATTAAAATACAAAACTATGTTTGACGCCTAAAGTCTATGCAAATTTTGATCGTTTCAATTTTTTAATTTTCAAAAACTTCAAAAATCAAAATTTTTAACAAAATCTTCAAAAAACACAAAAATTAAAAAATCAACTTACTCGCCCGTGTAAGGAGGCCTGGTCGTATTTCCACTGAATTCACTTTCAGTATCATCCAAACTATCAGTGTCATCCGTCGGGGTGGTGGTGATGGTGGTGGTGGTCTGTGGAGCGAGCCTGAAAAATAAGTGTAAAGTTTTCGAAAATTAAGGTAAAAATAAGAAAATGAGTAAAAATGACAAAAAATAATTTTTAAAAACTCAAACAATCAACTTACTGGCTGTGAACCAAGACCAGCAGCGTCTTCAAGTCGGACTGGTCCACATCTTGGGAGATCGTGGGATCCATGTTCACCAAGGCTTCCTGGAACAAACAGTTAAAATTTCAATTAGATTTCAATAACATTTCTACTAATTTTCAAAAACTTTAAAGTAAAATTAAATTTTAAATGAAAAAACAACTAAAACCCACAAAACCTGTTGAAGAATATAAAAAAGCTTAAAAATACAAATTAAAAACCTACCACTGTAAAGACCAGCTCGGTGACATCTGAACAACCCGAAGGTTTCAGGTTGTTGCCATCCAACATCCCTTTGCCTTCGTCCACAAAAGTCCATCCTTAGTCAGACCGAATACTGGCTTGCCACAGATGGTCAAACCTTCATGAGTCGTTAGAAATGCTACATTGCCTGAACTGACCAAGTCAAAGTTCATTGTGACATTGTTTTTGCAATCTTGGTAAAAGATGTGACCATTACCGACACCGAATTGAGGTTCCATAGCCCTCACAGAACTTTCCAACTCCTTGGATTCGCCTGGTTTCAGCTTTAACAGCGACAGCCCAATGAGCTGGGTTTTACTAAAAACAAAATATGTGTCCCTAGTTTAACACACAATATTCATAACAAAAGGTGAAACACTATCATCGGAGAAAAATTAACTTACTCATTAACAATGAGCAAACCACTATAGACGATCGAGTCAAGTGCCGTGTTCACCGGGTACAGCTGCAGCAATTTGTACTCGGAAGAGACCTTTTTGAATACTCTAAAATGTCACGACATATAAAGAAATGGCATGACAAAAATATCAAAAAATCTACCAAGCTCTATGTAAACACCAACTAAACTACTAAAATTAAAAAGTAAACCTTCAAAAACTCGAAAAACTTACCCTGCCGGCGTGGCAGACGTGAGTTCCGTACTTTGGCATTGCGTATACCGTACAGCCTCTAGTTCATTGGTAGAATCCGTGAACTGTGTGTAGGTCACACACAGTTCCTGATCAGGGGACAGCGAGAGCAGCGCCAGAGCGGCGATCTTGGGGAAGAGAGCCGGAAAGTACGTGGCAACCATCTCCGAGACGAGTCGATGATTGAATGAACCTTTTTTGGCCAATTTTGGCTTACGAAGTCTTTGAAATCGAAATATGCAAATTTGGGAATGGGAAAAAAACTATAAAGTTCAGGAAGAAACTTTTTATACGAAGAAACCTGTCCGGAACAAATATTGTTTTCTGAACAATAAACTCGACTGAAAAGGTCTGTGCGGAGGTAAATTACCTTCATGTAATGGCGAATAGTGATTGCTATATCTTGTTCAATGTTATAGCAATGCAAGATTTTAAATTTGTTTGATGATTCGGTGTTGTTTCTTGATTTTTTTGCGCGATTATCTATAACAAGGTCCTTTTTGAGGAGATTTTTGTGTATTACATGTTTTTACTTTTATGGATATTGTTTTTGTTTTATTCTTGTATTCGTTGTTCTATTTGTGATCTTTTGAGTTAGTTATATTGCAAATTAAACCGTGAAATGTTCAGTTATATTGTTTTAGGTTCTCGAGAAGGATGCCTTGTGTAAAAGCTTCAAATTCGTCAAATGAGGGCGTGTGTTTGGATTTGCTACTATTTATGGACAATATTAAGTTTAAACAAAGTAAAAACGAAAGTATCTTAAGTGGATTAAGCTGTTCTGACTCTGATTCGACAGATTCTGAGGTAACGATCTTTCTTTTTTGTTTTCTAAGTTTAGGTAACAAATCGTTAATAACGGGATTATGAGCATGTTTCCATTGAATTTTGAACACAATGAGATAGATTCGTAAACTGTAAAATAAAGTATGTGAAAATTTTAAAAACTACATGAAGAATCAAATAAATACTTGATGGCGTAAGGTTAGAACGTTTTTGTTACCTAAAAAAAGGTTTTACTTGATGCATATTATATTCTTCGTGTTAAAGTTTAAAAATTTTTTTTTGATGGCTAAAACAAGGTTTTTTGTAGTGTTTTACCTTTTAAACATTGATTTTTATATTGTTGTTTCAAATTTAGGTATGAAAAATACTTATCAGATGCTGGAGAGCTTTTTATTGAGTTTTATTTCGTGTTTGTTAAGATGATGGGTTTCTCGATAATTTTAGGCAAAAACGTTTTTTTTTTGAGTTTTTGCTAGACATGAGAAACGGGCCGGGCCCGTTTCCACGTAAAAAAAATTTAGGCCCGGCCTTGAGCAAAATTCCGATCGGGCCGGGCCTGAAAAATGAGCCGGGCCCGGCCCGTTTCTCATGTCTAGTTTTTGCTTTTTAAAAATCAAAAAAAAATTGAAATTGTTGTTTTTGATGATTTTATTTGAATTTCTCAAAATTCGATAATTTCTCGAATTTTCCAAATTTGCATATTTCGAATTCAAAGTCTTCGTAAGCCGAAAACGGCGATGCTAGCTCATTTGATCACTTTCACATTCCAGGAGACGGCCGGGATCTCCGCTCTGTGTTTTGTCGACGTGGCACTTTCTTTCTGCTCCGTGCACCGTGCTCAAGCTGGTTGGGTCCAACTCTTCGGCCGCTGTCTCGAAGCTAAACCAAACCTTATTATGGCTGTCATCTGATCATGAACTGAAATCGATGACTAATGGTACCATCAGGAAAGAATTGAAGACTAATGGTACTTTAAGGGCCGAATCGAAGACTAATGGTACTATAAGGGTCGAATGAGGACTAATGGTACCATCAAGACAGAATTGAGGACTAATGGTACCATCAAGGAACCCAACTTTAAGAAGGACGTGTCAAGCCATATTAGTGCTGTCCAGGACGAATTAGAGGACGAATGGTACCATTAAATAGGAACTCGGGGTAGCGTAGAAAAGGAACTACGCCGACTCTTTGTGGTTACTTCCAAGAAAACTAATGATGTTGGGTTTGTGTGATACGACTAGGATGGCAGAGTCATAGAGAATCGAAAAAACACCAGAAGGACATCTACGTCTAGGACCAAAGGGATGATGGTACCATCAAATCAGGACTAATGGTACCAACAAGAAAGAATCAGAGGACTAATGGTACCATTCAGTAGGAGGCTAGTCGCTCTGACGTGTCGTCGGACCAAGAACTGCATGAGCTGGAGGCTACACGGTTCACTCAAGTACGGACCCTACTTCTGCTACGTCGGCTAAGTAAGTTTTTTGAATTTATGAAGGTTTACTTCATTAGTTTAGTTGGTGTTTACATACCTAGGTTGATGTATGTTTCAATATTTTTAGCTGGTTTTATGTACAAGGACGAAGATGAAGTAAAAGATGTTTGTACGATCGAATCAGAGGACTAATGGTACCATTCAGTAGGAGGCTAGCCGCTTTGTCGTATCGTCCGACCAAGAGCTGTGTGTCACCTACACCACCTTCAAGGATTCTAGCACTGAGCTGAAGGCGACACGGTGTACGCAATGCCAAAGCACGCAAGTTATGTCTGACAGGGTACGTTTTATATTGAGTTGGTATGATATGACAGACATTTCAGATTGAACTGCAAATTCAAGGACCGATGGTACCATCGAGTCAGAGGACTCATGGTACCATATAGTAGGAATAAAAAGGGTCATTTGATCACCGTCTTGCTTCGAAGATGGTTGCCACGAATTTCACGGCTTTTCACCAAGATTGCCGCCCTGATGCTTTTGTCGTTGCACCAAGAACTGTCCCACATTTGGTCGCTTCCAAATTTTTGGCCCTTTTCTCTAAGCTAGCCGCGCTGACGCTTCTTTCTTTACCGTCGGATCATGTGTGTGACGTACACCAAGTTCAAGGATTCCAGAACGCAACTATCGAATCATAGGACTAATGGTACCATTCAGTAGGAGGCTATTGTTGTGTCGTTGTACTAAGAGATTGGCCAATGACCCATGAAGGTTTGACCATTCGTGGCAACCAGAATTCGGTCAAACAAGCGATGGAAAAAGAGGAATACGGTCTGACGAAAGATGGTCTTGTGTGGAGAAGGCTGTAGGTGTTGACGTTGGATGGTGACAACAAGAAACCATTGGGTTGTTCAAATGTCAGTGAGCAATGTTCACAATTGTAAGTTTTTTGAGTTTTTGAAAGTTGTTTTAGCTTTAGTAGTTTCGTCGGTGTTAACATGGTTTGGTATATTTTTTGATTTTGTTTTTTATCTGACTTTATATTCAGGGAGAAATAAAAGAAGTTGCGTTCGTATGATCGAATCAGAGGACTAATGGTACCATTCAGTAGGAAGCTAGCTGCTTTGTCGTGTCCTCGGGTCAAGAACTGTGTGACGTTCACGACGTTCAAGGATTCCAGCACGCAACCATCGAATCAGAGGACTAATGGTACCATTCAGTAGGAATGCGAGGTAGCACGGAAACGGAACGACACGAACTCGTTGCGATTGACCTCGAAGAAGATGAAGTAAATGGTGTTGTGTTTGTATGATAACCCACCAAAAGAGGAGCCGACAGAAAAAGTGTCGGGACAATATGTCGTGATTGAGAATGTCGACGTTCTAAACTTGTCTGGAAAACACACCTCAAGAGAGATCCGAGAGAGATTAGTACCTCGTGACTGACTGTGACTATTTATAAGAGTCCATGTCTGAAATAAACAATGTCTATTGTAGCCTCCTTGTCGTTTTTATATTAATAAACAGTTTGGTCGATTTTGGTTGTTGTAAAGGTTTGCAGAAGTTTCCAGTCAAGATTGAGAAAATCCACATGGAAATATAAAGTTTTGAACTTTTGGCCAAGTTGAGTGTGTTTCAAACTTTTAATTCATCGACATTACCCTGCTTCAGCTTTAAAAATGGCAAGAACTTTCTTTACAAAGCAAAAAATGGCAAGAACTTTCTTTACAAAACAAAAAATGGCAAGAATTTTCTTTACAAACCAAAAAATGGCAAAAACTTCCTTTACAAAACGATAAATGTTTGTATGATATGACTAAAACTGGAGGAAAAGACGCCTGAAGTGATGATGGAAGGGCCTAATGGTAAATTGCAGAAGTGAGTTTTGAATTTTTGTTTTTGGATTTTTTTAATTGAAATTTTGCCATTTTTTCAAATATTTGAAATTTTTTGTGAAATTTTTTCATTTTTTGGTAAAAGATGGTCGCTCTAACTTCCCGCAAGCCTTAGAAGCTCTTGAACCTGAAAAGTTGGCTAGTAGCACCAACAAGAAGACTAGTAGCACCAAAAAGTTGATTAGTAGCACCATAAAGGGGATATCGGAAAAGGATCTACAGGTAGCTACATGGACCATGAAAGAAAAGATTTGTTTTGATTTGAAAGTTTTTCCTTTTTGTTTTGTTGTTGTTCTTGTAGATATAACACAGATGTTAGGCTTTGCACGCTATCTTAAGCTGACAAGAGAAGTTTAGGCAAGAGGAAGGTCCAGCCCTCTCTGGTTGACTTCAAACTTTTGATAGAGAAAGGTCATGTAAATGTAAGACCTTCAGCAAAATGCTAAATCGTGCTCTCCAGGAATACTCGAGAAAATCGAGATTAAAAAATTACGTTTTGAATTTCCAGCCAAATTGGCATTGCGTTTTAAGGAAGGTCCAGACCGCTCCGATTGACTTCAAACTTTTGATAGCGAAAGGTCATGTAAATATTAGGTTGTTCACTTAATTCTGCGCCTCTTCTCAAAGCAAATTTGTGGGGAATAGGGGCGCAGAATTATGTGAACAACGTTATATAAGACCTTCAGCAACTTGATAAACCTAGTCAAACTCTTTATTCCGCCTAAAATTACAAATAAAACACAGCAAGACAAGCCATGAAGAGCAAAGTGCCAAAGCCAACGTCCACGGTACCAACAGCATCCAGATACATCACGCCCAACTCGTTGACGGTCTCTCGTCTCTTATTTCGCGTAGTCTGTTCGTCACTCTCTCCTTCTTCTTCTTCGCTGGCTTCAGTGGTAGGATCTTCCTCATCCGCTTCACTAACACTTTCAGCCGTAGTAGTGTCGCTTTCAGGAGTCGTGTTAACCACAGGTTCGGCAGTACTAGTACTAGTCGTCGTTGTAACTGTAGTTGTTGTTGATGTCGTGCTAGTCGTAGTTGTTGTTGTAGTAATGTTCGTATACTTGAATCGAAGTGGACTTGAGTGGAACTCGTCGGTTTCATTCATTAATGGTACCAATTGACGGAGCGAGTGGATCTGCCTCTTCTTTTTGAAAAAGTCAACGTCATCCGGAATGTACCACAATGTCCTATAAATTTTTGACATACTTTTAGAAGCTTTTAGGCTTAAAAATGAAAATTTATACAAATTAGCAAGAACTTTCTTTACAAGACATAAAATGGCAAGAACTTTCTTTACAAAACAAAAAATGGCAAAAACTTTCTTTACAAGACATAAAATGGCAAGAACTTTCTTTCCAGAACCAGTAATTGCGAAACTTTCTTTACAAAACAAAAATGGCAAAAACTTTCTTTACAAATCAAAAAATGGCAATAACTTTCTTTACAAAACAAAAAATGTTAATAACTTTCCTTACGTAACAAAAATTGCAAAAACTTTCTTTCCAACCCTTCAAAATACATCCCTTCCAACAAAAATCAAAAAACAATTTAAAAAAGTACTATAACTTACTCAGTAAGCGTGTCGTTGATCATAAAAATACAACGGTTGAACTCACAACCAGTGTAAACCACCAGTCCATCGAACGCGTATACGGGATCCGAATAGCCACCATGTAGAATTTTCTTCGTAACAATGTCAAACACACACGAGTATGAATTGCTCTGAAAATTCAAAATTTAAAAAAAATTTTATTAAGAACACCCCCTTTTAATTTTTTTAAAGTACCCCCTCTCTTTAATTTTTTAAATTACTCCCCCCCCTCTCTTTTTTGCATCTTTTTGAAGTACCCCCTAGTTTTAACTTTTTTAAGTACCCCCCCCTTTAATTTTTTAAAAGTACCCCGCCCCCCCCCCTCCTTTAAATTTTTTTAACGTACCCTTCTCCCTTTTAATAATTTTAAAGTAGCCCCTCCCTCCACTTTTTTATTTTCTTAAAATACTCCCCCCCCCCTTTTTTTTAAATTTTTTAAAGCATCCCTCACCCTTTTCATTTTTTTTAGAAAAGTACCCCCCCCAAAAAATCAAAACCTTACAAAGCACTCCTCGATCATCTCCTTGACATAAGCCTTGTCCATCTCACTATCCTCCAATCCGTCAATGTAAGCACTAGTGTTAACCTTCTCCGTACCGCTACAGAACGTGTGGGTATTGAGGGCCTCGTCCGGAGAAAGGATAAGGTATTCATAAATCAAAAAGACACGCTTGTCATACTTGTACTTGGTATTCTCCTGACATGATGGCGGTTTTTTCCATTCCGTGTCGATTTTATCGGTTTCGTTCACCGGGTAGCGAAATGTCCCGTTTGGTAGACTACTGTAATTTGAAATTTTACAAGGAAAGTGCCCTACCTGCCTCGCTCAGAATTGGCTCAAAATTTTTATATGAATTCGTGTACTACCAATAATACCCATAAAAAATTTCAGCTCGAGGTTTTGAGTTTTAAATTTGAATTTTTTGGTTTCCCGCCAATTTGGCAACTTTGGCATTGTGTATCAAGCACTTTTTTCGATATTTCAGTCAAGCTACACTTACAAATTTAAAAATGTAGGTTCATTTAAAATTATTCTACTAGTATATCAAAGAACAATTCCTATAAGTCAGACAAAATTATAGGCTTGAAACACAATGCCAATTTGGCGGGAAATTCAAAAAATTTCTTTTTGATTTTTTTGGCATTTCCTGGAAAACACAATATAGTACTTTGCTAAAGGTCTTATATTTACATTATCTTTCTGTATAACAAGTTTGAAGTCAATCAGAGCGGGGCAAGTCGGACGCTTTCCTTGTTATTAGATGCCGACATAAAGAACCCGCCATACCTATTCTGTAATTTTCTGTAAAAAATGGCGAGTTCTTTATGTCGGCACCTAATATTTGATTTTTCTTAGCTTGTAAGGAAAGTTATTGCCATTTTGTCTTTTGTAAAGAAAGTTCTTGCCGTTTTGTTTTGTAAAGAAAGTTCTTGCCATTCTTTGTTTTGTAAAGAAAGTTTTCGCAATTTCTGATTTTGTAAATAAAGTTCTCGCTAATTTTAAAAAAATTGACAAAAAAAGCTTAAAAACATAAATTTTGGCTAGCTGAAACTGCAAAAAATTTTAAAAATTTTGAAGGAACTGTTGATCACAAGGAACGATGAACAACAAAAAGTCTAAAAACTTCAACTTACACTTGCAACATTCCGTACTTCTCAGACCTTGCCAAGTTGATCATGTAGTAATCAAAGCCAAAGCCGTAGGTGTAAACCGGGCACCCTTTAACCCAGTATTCTGTCTTGTCCCATGCCCAAACTCCATGCTTCATATCTTCACTGCTATCGCCTGAAATGGTGTTGACATTCAAATTTAACGTAACTTGTTAGTTTACAATTGTAAAGTAAGTTGTTGGTCTACAGGTGTAAACAAGGCCGGGCAGGCACTTTTGGTCATGAGAGCAAGGGTCAAAAAAATCAAGATTAGGAGCCTGTTTTGCGAAAAATTGGTTTTGTAAAGAAAGTTTTTGCAATCTCAAGCTTGTAAAGAAAGTCCTTGCCATTTTTTGTTTTGTAAAGAAAGTTCTTGCAATTTTTGGTCTTGGAAAGAAAGTTCTTGCCATTTTATTTTTTGTAAAGAAAGTTCTTGCCATTTTAAGATATGTAAAGAAAGTTCTTGCAATTTTTTGCTTTGTAAACAAAGTTCTTGTCAATTTTATCTTTTTTAAAGAAAGTTCTTGCAATTTCAGGTTTGTAAAGAAAGTTCTTGCTAATTTTGACTAAAAAAAACTAAAAACCTACAAATCTGATTATAAGTTCCATTTGCCTCTTGATTAACCGTGCTGTAGATCAAGAAATACTTGGTGAACATGCCATTTTCCATCTTTTTACAACTAGGACATAGCTTCTTAGCCACAGTAACAGCGCTAGCATTTCCGCCCAAACATAACGACAATAGGGAGAGCAGACAGACGACAAGCAGCTGCCACCGCATCGCTCACAATTTGCAAATTAGAAGGAAAGCAAAGTGTGGTCGATTTCAAACTAGTAAAGTTGGAAAAGTACAACTTGTACATACATATTATATATTCATAATTATGCAAATTTTTTTGTTTTTAAAAGGAAAAGCTAAAATATTAGGTGCCGACATAAAGAACCCGCCATTTTTTACAGGAAATTACAGGCAAAGTATGGCGGGCTCTTTATGTCGGCACCCAGGGCTTGGCGGAGAGTTTTAGTGTAGGGGCGGGGGTTGAAAAAAAACCACAGGGGGGGGAGGGACCGAGTTCAACTTTTTTCGAAAATTTTCTTTCTGGGTAGGGGGGGGGCGGGTGAAAAAAAAATCGAAATCAAAAAACCATTTTTTAAATTTCCCGCCAAATTGGCATTGTGTTTCAAGCTTATAACTTTGCCATTTTTTGACTTTTTGGCATTTTTCTTTGATAGATTAGGTGTCGACATAAAGAACCCGCCATATTTTGCCTGTAATTTTAATATAATCAACGTTTGATATTTTGAAAAGCAGCAAGTATAATATAAAATACGCGTACAATTTTTTATAGTTTATTAAAATTAGGAGTTGATAATGTGTCAACACTTCAAAATGATAGTGTCATTGATGACCGAGTCCCTTCGTACTGAGAACATCTCACCATAAGGCAAAAACCTTTGATCTCGCCGCTCCAGAACTTTGTTTACAAACGTTGAGCCATTTAGTACTTGATCATTTGCACTACTTCTCATTTTCCTCCTCTTATCATTATTTCTATCACCAACTCTACCATTCTTATCAGTACCATTTGTAACATTCTGCCAACTATCACCTATACCATCCACCCAATGATCGACCAGCCCAATTCGCAATGCTCCTTGCTCAACCGGGTCAAACAGATACTGTAAATGGATCAAGTTGAGTGCTGCTTGATCATAACGATGACAGTTAGAGCCCATTTTAGTACCGTACTGGTCGGTGACATTATGACATTTTGGTGTCGCATTAGGTGGAGATATACAGTCCTTTGTCAGAGCACATAGCAGAAACCATTTTAGTACGTAGCGAGTGTAAGGTGCATCAGAAACGAAAAGAATACATTGATATTCTGTGGCTAATAGGATATTGTAGGGTAGAGGAAGGTAGTCTAACATTCCTGAAAGTTAGCTCGTAGGTTGAAATAGATAAGTCACTACAGATTTTTTGTAGGGGAAGGGGGTAAGAAGAAGGGCACTTTTAATCTGGGGGCGGGGGTCAAAAACCTCAACAGAGGGACTAAGTTCAACATTTTTCAAATAAAATTTTTTTTTGTGGAGGGGGTGGGGTATTTCCCTGTCTCTCCTTCTTTGCCCTGGCTCTGGGATGGTAAGTAAACAAATTTTTTCCACAAGTAGTTTTTTCAAAATGAAAAAAAAAAATTTCACGTACATGTACCACCTGTGAAAACTTTTTTAATTCGGCTTTGAGGGGAGGGGGAGGAAAAGGAGAAGCGAAGTTTTTATACCAGCTCCTACTTCTGCCCTACTTCTATCTCCACCCTCCCTTACTTACTAGACATGAGGAAAGGGCCGGGCCCAATTTTCAGCCTGAATCTTAGTCCCGGCCTAATCAAAATTTAGGTCAGGCCGGGCCCGGCCCGAATTTTTTCACGTGGAAACGGGCCGGCCCGGCTCGGGTCTATGACCCGGTTCGACCTAAATTTGAGTCACGTTCGGCACTAATCGTTCCTCATGTTTACCACTTACCATCATGTAAAGTAGCATAAACACTATGATTTGGATTGTTGTAGTTCATGAAAGAAAAGGCTTGTCTTTCTTTTACTGCTTGTGGCAATAGTTTTGTCACATTTCCAACGATTCTGACACTTGGATCATAGAAGAAAAAGTTACTTTCTGTTTGTAATACTTCAGTTATTGCCACTTTGAACGCGTAATTTTTGAAATCTTGAAAATGTGATGGAAATTGCGAGAGATTGAATAGACGGTACTCAACGTTGCACCAGGTTTTCAGCTCTTTTATCTAAAAAATTAAGTATGACACAGCAAAAAGTAGGTATGGTATACGGTAGAGTAAAGTAAGATAAGTAAAGGTAGGGTAGAGTATAATAGGGTAGGTCAGTGTAGAGTAAAGTAGAGTAGAGAAAAGTAAGGTAAGTTAAGGTGGGTAGGGTAGGGTAGGGTAGGGTAGGGTAGGGTAGGGTAGGCTACGGTACGATAGGACAAGGTAGAGTAAAGATAAATAAACCCATAAAACGTACTTGCTCTTCTTCTAATCCCATATTATAAATGATAATTTTTGAGTTAATTGTCGTGTTTCGTATGTTCTTTACCATGCTTCTAACTTCAGCAAAGTGGTTTGACGATATTATTGTAGCGAAGACTGGTCTCCACTTGTCATCAATTTTGGAGATTGCTGGCTTTGTGTTTTTGATCTCATTTTCAGTCAGTTTGTAATATTTTAGGTATTTGTAAAAACTACAGGAAAATTTTTTGCCATATTTATATCGTAGGTTATTGTCAAGCCCTTTGAAGCAAAACTGAAAAAAAAGTTTTCGTTTTTAAAATTTTTTATTTTATTTTTATTTTCTGCCCTACCCTACTCTACCCTACCCTACCCTACCCTACCCTACCCTACCCTACCCTACCCTACCCTACCCTACCCTACCCTACCCTACCCTACCCTACCCTACCCCTACCCTACCCTACCCTACCCTACCCTACCCTACCCTACCCTACCCTACCCTACTCTACCCTACCCTACCCTACCCTACCCTACCCTACCCTACCCTACCCTGCCCTACCCTGCTTTATCCTACCCTATTCTATCCTACTCTGCCCTGCCTTATTATATCGTATCTTACTCTATCCTATCTTACCTTACGCTATTCTACGTTATTTTACTTTACCCTACTCTACTCTACTCTACTCTACCCTACATTACTTTACTTTGCTTTACTTTAACTCACCCTACTATAATATCTTTTTCTAACTTAACCTACCCTGCCTTTCTCTACATAACCTTTTCATTTTTAAATTTAAAAGCTAGTCGTAAACTTATTATAAAAATAATAAAAACTTATGTTTTCACCGTGACAGTTACAATCTTCTTCTGTGGTAGGCTTCAAAATATCTTCAATATCTAACTTTCGTGATATATTAAAATAGTTTCGACTAGAATACTTGATCAAGAATACGGAAAACAAACAGAAACATATCAAGAATTTGTACTTGTATAAATCATGCAGTTGACAGAACATTTTATAAATGAATGTAATAAAATCATCGCATTCAAATGGGAATAATTAATTTAAAGTGGTTATTAAGAGAAAGTTTTATGATTCTTCATATCGTATAATCTAAGTCATATTTGAGAGTAAGTGTAAAAAACACAAAGCAAGTGTTATTTTTAAAGAAAGTTCTTGCCATTTTTGGCTGTGTAAAGACTTTTTGCCATTTTAAGTTTTGTAAACAAAGTTCTTGCCATTTTTTGATTTGTAAAGAAAGTTCTTACCATTTTTTGTTTTGTAAACAAAGTTCTTGCTATTTTCTGTTTTGTAAAGAAAGTTTTTGTCATTTTATGTTTTGTAAAGAAAGTTTTTGCTATTCTATATTTTGGAAAGAAAGTTCTTGTCATTTCTTGTTTTGTAAAGAAAGTTCTTGCTATTTTTTGATTTGTAGAGAAAGTTCATGCGATTTTTTAGTTCTTAAAGAAAGTTCTTGCCATTTTTCGTTTTGTAAAGAAAGTTCTGGTTATTTTTAACACATATATCAAATACCCGTATTTATTCCTTATATCACTACACAATACATCAATATTTAACAGTCTAACTTTATCTTTCTATTGATGACATTACCCCTGGTAACATTGAACATCATCCCCAACGGTAAAAACCTCTCATCTCTTTTAGTAATTGTCTCATTAATAAACTCTGATATATCGTCAGAATTAGCAGTACCATCTATCCACTCGTGCACTAGTCCCAGTCTTAGAGCACCTTTGTAGAATGGGTCAAAAAGGTATTGTAGGTTAATCAAATTCCAGAGATTTTGGTCGAAACGATGACAATTTCGACCCATTTTACTGTAAAAACGATCTTTGGCCGATAAATCGCAAGATACTGTAGCATTCGGCGGAGATATACAGTCTTCAGTCAGCGCACATAATGAGAACCATTTGAGGAAACGACGAGTATAAGGAGAGTCAGAGATGAACAATATGCTTTGGTACTCTAGGGCTACAATAACATCATATGGCATGGGGAGGTAGTCTAGCATGCCTGAAGAAAAAAGTGATTGGATACGGTAGGGTGGGTCAAGGTAAGATCAGGTAGAACAAAGAAAGATAGGTTGGGTTCGGTAGGGCTAGAAGAGGTAAAGTATGGTGAAGTATAATAGAGTAGAGTAAAGTATGTTAAGGACAGGGGTAGGGTAAAGCAGGGTACAGTATAGTAGGTTAAAGGTAGGGTAGTGTAGGGTAGGGTGGTAGGGTAGTGTAGGGTAGGGTAGGGTGGTAGGGTAGGGTAGGGTAGGGTAGGGTAGGGTAGGGTAGGGTAGGGTAGGTAGGGCGGGTAGGGTATCAGTATGTAAGTGAAGTGGCATTTCTCACCAGGATGCAACGTAGCATAAACACTATGTTCAGCAGTGTTAAAGTTCATAAATGGTGGAGATCGACCTTCTTTAACTTCTTTAGGTACGATTTTGTGTACATCGTCTTTGAGTGTTATACTAGTGTCATAGAAAAAGAAATTCTTTTCAGTTTGCATTACTTCTACTATCACAACTTTGAAAGCGTAATTCTGTAGCTCTTTCACATGAGGCGGATAATTTGAAAAATTAAATTTTCGATACTCTACATTGCACCAGGATTTGATTTCTAATACCTAAAATTAGAAAAATTCAAAAAAATTTTTGATGATGAAAAGAGGGTTAGTGATAGACTACAGTAAGGCTATGTAACGGCTAATGTAGGGAAAGGCCAAGCAGAGTACTTCTCGGACCGGAGCCAATGCGGGAGTCCGGAATTTGAATTTTGTTTTCCCGCGTTTTTTTTCTACCGGTCGGATCGGTCTGAAACTTTTTCTACGACTCACGGCTCCCCAAAAATAGAAAATTATTTAAAAAATCGATTTTAGACATTTCGTCGGCTCAACTATTAATTCGAAAAATAAAAAATACAAAAATGTTGTAAAATATATTTCAAATTATGCTATGTATATGTGGTAATACATGGTTTTACTTTTAAATTTTGTTTAAAATATTAATCATGTTTTTCCGCTTCTTTGGGAGCAAAAACGATGAAAATCCGTCAAGTTTGGACGCTATTACAGCCGAAGACGCGACAAAAAATAAAAAAGCGGCCGCAATAACGAAAAGTCACAAATTATCGGAAAAGACGATCGATGCGAACCTATATTTTGATTGATTTTACGGTTTGGGGAGCCGTGCGACTCAAAAGACAAAATTCTAAAGCCAAGGGATAGGCTAGGGTAGAGAACAGTAAAGCTATTATAGAGTAGAGCTTTGCTTAGAACTATTGTAAGGCTATGGTAAAACAGAAATGAACCTAGTGTAAATTACAGTACAAACAATTACCTGAGGCACTTGAAATCCCAAGTCATATAAAATGATTTTGGAATTCTTCACCCTTCTCCTTATATCTTTAACCATAGTTCTCAGCTCTGTAAAATGGTTATCAGAAGCGGCCGAAACAAAAACCGGCTTCCAATTATCATCAATTTCATTTATAGCAGCAGGAGTGTCATATATAACATTATCAATCAATTGGTACTGTTTCAAAAAGTCGTAATGATCACATGGAAATTGGGTACCATTTTGACGTTGTAAAGAAGAATTTAGGCCGGGAAAGCAAAACTTAAAATTTTTATATTGTTTTAGGTCTTTCTGAAGTGTCTTGGTATGTTAGCTGCTGTAAAGAAAGGTTTTGCCATTTTATGCTCTGTAAAGAAAGTTCTTACCATTTTGTAATTTGTAGAGAAACTTAACGCTATTTCAGCAGATGTAAAGAAAGTTCTTACCATTTTATGTTTTGTAAAGAAAGTTCTTGCCATTTTGTAATTTGTAGAGAAACTTAACGCTATTTCAGCAGATGTAAAGAAATTTCTTACCATTTTATGTTTTGTAAATAAAGTTATTGCAATTTTTTGTTTTGTAAAGAAAGTTTTTGCCGTTTTGTGCTTTGTAAAGAAAGTTATCGCAATATATCGCCATTTTAGCCGCCAGTCATAAAAGTGTCAAAACAAAGCAAAAATAAAAAAAACTTACATTTTCTCCGAAACAACTGCAAGTTGGCTCTGTAAAATCATTTGAAACCACCGTAAAATTACTCAGAATATCTATTGCATGCTTTGTACTAAACGTCAAACGACATACGATTAAAACAAAGCCAAACAAAACTCCTATTAAGGTATAGCCAAGTCCTGAGAGGCCTCTCATTTTTCTTACAGTACTAATTTGAAGCACGATTTGTGAAAAACCTTATTTAATACAATCCAGATAGATAAGTCTTTGTTAATCTAAACATAGGGTATGGTCGAGGTAAAGTAAGATAATTGGACAAAGGGTAAAATACGTCATGGCGCGGAAATTAAGGGCAGGGCAAGGTAGAGCAAATTAGGGTAGAGTAGGTTAGGGTAAGGTAGGGTAGGGTAGGGTAGGGTAGGGTAGGGTAGGGTAGGGTAGGGTAAGATAGGGTAGGGTAGGATGATGTAGGGTGGGATAGTTCTGAAAAAAAAATTTGGGGGGATAAGAAAAAGTCAAAATTTTTTGGAAACTAAAAATTTAGAAGGAAGCAGATTGCTCAAAACTTTTTCTGATTCAATAAAAAACAAAATTAGATATCATATTCATCTTGATTAACGGCACAAGGAAGTAGCGCTGAATGTTTTTTATAAAACTGTTTTTGATTTCCTTATTTTAATGTTTTTTGTTCTTACAGTAATTGCTGAAAGCTAAAAAAAAATTTTTTTCTTTGCATTTAATAAGGATATATAGTAGAACATAATATAATATAATATACTATCTTCAATACCCGTATTTATTTTCACCATTATTAACAACAAAACAACCTTTAACAATCTAATGTTATCCTCTGCTTGATGACATTACCCCTGGTAACGTTGAACATCTTCCCTAACGGTACAAACCTCTCATCTCTTTTATTAATTGTACCATTAATAAAAGCCGTCATACCATTAGCACCAACAGTACCATCCACCCACTCGTTTACTAGTCCTAACCTTAAAGCACCTTTGTCTATTGGATCAAAAAGATACTGTAGGCTAATCAAATTCCATAGATTTTGGTCGAAACGATGACAATTCCGACCCATCTTGTTGTAGATACGATCTTTTACTGACAGATCGCAGGATACTGTTGCTCCACGTGGTGCTATACAGTCTTTGGTTAGTGCACACAAAGAGAACCATTTGAGGAAGCGACGAGTATAGGGAGAGTCAGAGATGAACAATATACTTTGGTACTCTCGAGCTAAGATGACATCGTGCGGTAGTGGGAGGTAGGCTAGCATACCTGAAGACAAAAGGTGTTGGAAACAGTAGGGTGTGTTAAAGTAAGATCAGGTTAGATAGGGCAAGATAAAGTAGGGTATGATAGGACCGGGTAGGGCAGGGCAGAATATGGTAAAATACGGTAAACAACGCCAGGCCAAGGCTAAAGCCAAGGCAAGGCCAAGGCTAAAGCCAAGGCAAGACCAAGGCTAAAGCCAAGGCAAGGCCAAGGCTAAAGCCAAGGCCAGGACCAAGACCAGAACCAGGACCAGGACCAGGACCAGGACCAGGACCAGGACCAGGACCAGGACCAGGACCAGGACCAGGACCAGGACCAAAACCAGGACCAGGACCAAGGCCAAGGCCAAAGCTAGAGCCGTAGGCAAAGCCAGGGCAAGGTAAGGCATTCTTACCAGTATGTAAAGTGGCATAAACACTATGTCCAGCAGTATTAAAGTTCATGAATGGTGGAGATCGACCTTCTTTCACTTCTTTTGGTATTATCTTATGCACATCATCCATAAGGGTTATACTAGTGTCATAGAAAAAGAAATTCTTTTCAGTTTGTAATACTTCTACTATCACAACTTTGAATGCGTAATTGAGTAGCTCTTTCACATGAGGCGGATAATTAGAAAAGTTAAATTTTCGATACTCTACATTGCACCAGGATTGAATTTCTGATATCTAAAATGTAAAAAAATTGCAAACTTTACATTGTACTAGGTTTGTGCTAGTTACATGTATTGCTAGTACTAGTGTCAATAATATAGTTATATACACGGTGCGCCAAAACTTCTGTTACCCGAAGAATAAGCTAAAGTATAAAATTTTAAATAACTTAACCGCAACATAGAAAAAACGACCGATAAAGTTTTGTAACAGAACTTTTAGCGCACCTTGTATACTAAACTTGAGACTAAGGCACTTCCTATAAAACTCACCTGAAGTCCAGTAAACCCCAAGTCATATAAAATGATTTTGGCATTCTTCACCCTTTTCCTAATATCTGTAACCATGGTTCTCAGTTCTGTAAAGTGGTTTCCAGAAGCAGCTGATACAAAAACCGGTTTCCAATCATCATGAATTTCATTTACAGCACTAGGAGTGTCATATATAACATCATCAGTCAATTGGTACTGTTTCAAAAAGTCGTAATGATCACATGGAAATTGGGTACCATTTTGACGTTGTAAAGAAGTGTTTAGGCCGGGGAAGCAAAACTGTTAAATTTTTTTTAAATTTTTTTTTACAAAAAAAATTTTTTGCCGTTTTGTAAAGAAAATTCTCCCCATTTCAGCTTTTGTACAGAAAGTTCTTTCTACTTTAACTTCTGTAAAGAAAGTCATTGCTGTTTAAGCTTCTGTAGGCAAAGTTCTTGCCATTTTATGCTTTTTACAGAAAGATATTGCCATTTTGTTATTTTAACTATTGTAAAGAAAGTTCTTGCCGTTTTAGCTTCTGTGCTTCTGTAAAGAAAGCTCTTGCCGTTTTAATGTTTTGTATAGAAAGTTCTTGTCATTTAATCTCTTGTAAAGAAAGTTATTGACATTTTGTGTCTTGTAAAGAAAGACTTGCCACTTTAGCTTCTGACGAAAGTTCTGGTTAGTTTAGCTCTTGTAAGGAAAATTTTTGTCATTTTAGCTTCTGTAAAGAAAGTTCTTGCCAGTTTAGCTCTTTTAAGGAAAGTTCTTGCCATTTTAGGTCTTGTAAAAAAAGTTCTTGCCATTTTAAGTTTTGTAAAGAAACTTTTTGCTATTCTTTAGCTTATAAAGAAAGTTCTTGATATGTTTTCCATGAAAAATGGAAATTTCAATCAAAACTTCAAAAAACGAGTCATAAAAGCGTCAAAACAAAGCAAACATTAAAAAAGAACTTACATTTTCGCCATAACAACTACAATTAGACTTTGTGAAAACACTCGGAACCACTTTTAAGTTTAAAATATGCTTTGTACTGAACTTTAAATGCCATGCGATTAAAATGAAACCAAACAAAACTCCAATTAAGGTGTAGCCGAGTCGGGAGAGGGCTCGCATTTCCCTTAAAATGCAATCAGTGACAAGCCATATACAACCCGAAAAAATGAGGTGTGGTTAATCCAAACACTCTTTTCGAAGACGGAACAGAAACATTGGTTTTGTGGTGTTGAAAAGTGAAAGAAAGGAGAATTTTGGTTAGGAAAGGCATGAAAGTAGCCGAAAAGTTTTAAAAATTTTAAAAAAATTTTGAAAAACAAGGAAAAATTGATAAGATAGGGCAGAATATAAGAAATGTTGCTCTTCAAACAGAAATATATTAGACCTTATACTTACCTCATTTAACGACAAAAATACAGTTAACTCTCAATACAGTAGTCTCTCTATATACAATAAAGTTTTGTAACAGAACTTTTGGCGCACCTTGTATTAGATGCCGACATAAAAAACCCGCCATACTTTCTAAAGACAACACCCCCTATAGTAAACACAAAATGTCGGTCCCTTCAGGTTGCTTATATATAAAGAGTACAGTAAAACGGGGATTTTGTTGTCACCGGACTCCTATTAGCATTTTTCACTGTAAAGTTACAAATTTATAAGAAAACTTTATCTTTTACCATCTTAATTGAAAAAAATTAGTATAAAAGGTCATTTTTCTACAATTTCAAAGCGGAATTACTTTGTTAGTCATTCTTTTTTCTTGCGACAAAGATATCGTTTGTTACATTTTGTCAGAGTCAGTCTAACTTAATAGTTGGAGAGCAAGGGTAGTAAGCTTAGGCTTGGAAGGCTTAGGCGTAGTTGAATTAGGCTTAATATTCTTAGGCTTAGTAAAGTTAGACTTACTAGGATTTGCCTTACAATTAGTAGGCTTAAGCTTACAGAGAAAGTTGAAGTCAACCAATCATGACAGTTCGGGCACTTTCCTTGTTAGTACTAGTTAGTATTAAAAAAACCATTCATACTATAATACAGGGTGCGACAAAAGTCCTTGGACTAACTTTACCGGTCGATTTCTTTATGTTGTACGCGATTTATATAATTTTTTAAAAGAGAGTCTTATTCTCCATAGTTTTTTGTTATAAATAAGTAAAAACTGAATTTTTTATGTTAACCGTCTGTCTGTAGTTAGATGCCAAACATGAGCGGAGCTATTATTAAGCTGCATAAAGAAGGAAGAAGGCAATGTGATATTGCGAAATTGTTAAATATCGCAAAATCTACAGTATCCCACGTGGTCAGACGGTATGTAGAGCTTGGACATGATGGTGACAGACCTAGAAGTGGCCGTCCAGCAACTGTAAACACCCGCGCCAACAGACAGTGGACCAAGAAGCGATTCATGCGTAACCCAAGGACTCCAGTGCGTAAAATGGCACGACAGGCCGGTCTGAAAGAAACTTCACTTTGCCGTATAGTCAGAAAGAGCTTGAAGATGAAGCCGTACAAACTCAAGAAAGTTCAGAAACTTACTGATGAAAACAAAAAAGTACGGTTTAAAAGAAGCAAAACTCCGATACACCGGGCCGCTAACGGAAATTGGGAGCGCATTTTCTTCACTGATGAGAAGATATTCACGTTGGAACAGGCACACAAACCCTCAAAATGACAGGCATTACTCTACTGAGCCTCCTAGAGGCTTGGCCATCGCCGAACACCGTCAACACCCTCGGGGCCTTATGGTTTGGGCAGGAGTATGCGCCTCGGGCAAAACTTCCTTGATTTTTGTTGATAAAAGAGTAAAAATCAATAAGGGAGTGTACCAAAAGGACATTCTGGAAGCCGTAGTACTTCTTTGGTCCCGAGAACACTTCAAGAACACCAAATGGACGTTTCAACAGGACTCTGCTCCAGCCCATAAAGCCAAAACAACACAGGAGTGGTGTCGGACCCATTTTCCGAACTTTATCACCTCAGCTGAATGGCCTCCGTACTCCCCCGATCTCAACCCGATGGATTACAGTATTTGGTCGATATTAGAGGCAAGAGTGTGTTGTATAAGACACCAAACTTTGGAGTCTTTGAAACAAGCATTGATCGAAGAGTGGAACAAACTTTCGCCTCAGGACCTGCGGCCCATCGCTGAAAACTTTGTGAAGCGTTTACGCCTCTGCGTAGCGGGAAAAGGGGGCCACTTCAAAACCGCTTGACTATGTTATAACTAGTGCTATATGTTACTATTGTTAGTTGTTCTTTTAAGTATATTGATTGTTTTAATAAATATATGACTAAAATAATGAGTCGAAGGACTTTTGTCGCACCCTGTATGTGCACATAAATTTATTTGAAATTATTAAACTTGATTGATGTATGGTTAAATATACATAAAACTCATAAATTTGACATTTAAATCATTCAATGTTATATAACCATGCTTTACATTACTACTACAGTATTACCACCCTCAACCAACAATCATTGAGTAAAGTTCTTGAAGCTCTTAGTGAATCCCTTGTGTTGCTTAGCAGAAGTCTTCTTGTTCTTCTTAACCTTCTTGACATAAAAAACGGCCGAACGACGTTTACGGCCAGCTGGCCGTTCAGTTGGAGCAGGCTTGTTACCACACAAACTGTTGAAGATATTCTTACCGATCACCCAGTCAGTACCAGGGAGTACGGTAACTTTGTATTGATTGTTAGACTTGGTACCATATGAATCCTTTGAGTCGGTGGTGATGTTCAGAAGGAGTGGGTTGCTTTGGAAGTAGGTATCAACATCTTGGTCAGTACCGACGTTTCTCTTGAAGGCATCGTTCACTTTTTGTGGTACTCCAAGAGTATTGTCAGCTTCGTCGACAGTAATCTTTTGGTCGGGAACGCTGATTTGGGTCGCTAAAATTAAAATTTTAAAATTGATAGTTGCGCCTTCATTAATATAAGGTGCCGACATAAAGAACCAGCCATTTTTTAAAACAGATTACAGGAAAAATATGGCGGGTTCTTTATGTCGGTACCTAATAACAAGGAGAGTACCCGACTTGCCCATTCTAATAGAATCAAACAACGTTTGTTATGCAAATTAAACCATCAGTACCAAATCAACTTACTGATAGTATCATCGTAAGTACCCAACTCGACAGTAGCATCAGTTGGACCGTCAAAGTTGCAAGCCTGACATCCTAAGCCTACCAAAGCAGCCACAGTTAGGAAACAAGAAAACATTTTTAGAGACAAACCAAGAATGATGATGACTTAAAACTTTAAAATCAACTTTTATACTAAAAATTGTTTGTAAAAATACACTCTTTGCTTGTGCTTTGTTTATTCAGCTGCAATTTGTATTTGTAAATATTCAAATTGCAAAAAATATAAAAAAATCTTGTGCTTTAGAGAAATTGTGTAAAAAATAAATAATTTCGCCCTACCCTACCCTATTCTACCCTACCCTACCCTACCCTACCCTACCCTACCCTAGCTTACCCTACGAGCTGTAGAGCTGAGAATCGGACCGTGTAGGTTCGGCCTTGAGCTAAACTTAGGTTGACCCGAAGCCCGGCCCGATAGAGTAAGAGTGAGAAACAGGCTTGGTCTCTTAAGTGTGGTCCCAGCTTTGAGGAAAACTTATATTGGCCGAGCCTGAAAATAAAGGCCCGGCCCGGCTCAAAAAGCCCGTCCGGTTTGCATGCAAAACAATTTGGGCCAAGCCGGCTTGAAGTAAAATGAAAACGGGCCAGAACTAAACCTTTGGCCTCCAGCCTCAAAAAGTAAGCTCGACCTATCTCTCACCCCTACCTGCCCGGTCCTCCCCTATTTTTTTCGTCAATGTCCGGTCCGTACTTTTTCATTCCGAACCGTCCGGACCGGACCAGACTGAGATTTTTCTAGTCCAGTTCAAAATTATTTTCATCCAAAGTGGACTAGTTTGGCAAACCACTAGCCCTATTTCTATTTGACATAGTTTTTACTCTAGCTATGCTTCATCTTCACTCTAGCTAGACATGAGAAACGGGCCGGGCCGGCCTTGAGAAAAATTTAGATTGGGTCGGAACAAGGCCTAACATTCAGGCTCGGCCCGTTTCTCATGTCTAACTCGAGCGCTATCTTGTAACTTAGCATGCGTAGGTGTAGACTACAAATAAAATGTGCATGTGCTCAATGATCTGCATGAAAAAATTAAATTTAAAATTCGGCTGAGCAAACAAAAACTTTGTAAATTTGAAAAAGCATGTCAAATATAAAAGGCAGGTTAAACTTTAACAATTGTTTTGAGCAATTCATTTAAAAATGTTCAAGTTGGCTCTGATTGCAGCTGTTTGTGTTGTTGGCGCTCAAGGATGTAACTTGAAGGGGAACACTAATGCTACGATTACTATTGGTGTTACCTTGGAAGACGATTCACGTATGTTATTCTTAGTATGATTAATTGTTTGTTCATTACGATATTGCGCGAAAAGTATGGCGAGTTCTTTATGTCGGCGCCTAAGAACAAGGAAAGTACCGGACCTGCCCCGCTCTGATTGACTTCAAACTTTTTTATATAGAAAGGCAATGTAAATATAAGACCTTCAGCAAAGTAATAAATCGCGCTTTCCTGGAAATCTCGAGAAAATCGTGATCAAAAAACTGCGTTTTGAATTTCGCGTCAAATTGGCATTGTGTTTCAAGCTTATAACTTTGCCATTTTTAGACTTTTAATAATTTTTCTTTGATATTCTAGTAGAATAACTTTAACTGAACCTACATTTTTTAATTTGTAAGCGTAGTTTGTCTGAAAAGTCAAAAAAAGTGCTTGACACACAATGCCAAAGTCGCCAAATTGGCGGAAAACCAAAAATAATTCAAATTTAAAACTCAAAAGCGCAGGTTACAATTTTTTATGGGTACTACTGGTAGTACAAGGAACTCGTATAAAAATTTTTGAGTTGATTCTGAGCGGGGCAGGTAGGGTACTTTCCTTGTCAAATTAATTTTATATGGTCTTCCAGAGATTTTTTAAATTTTTTTAAAATTGAAATATATCTTTTAACCATTACCACAAAACTTCAGAATACCTAGTTGCCGACCGCAAAAACGGCTTCAAAGTAGCCGACAACCCATTGGAAATCGGAATTCCAACCAAGGCCTTCAAGGAGCTACAAACAATGACACAAGACAGCAGCAATTTGGAAACCTTCTTCAACAATAACAACATTTACTTCAGTGTTAAGACCCCGGAATATAGTTCTCACGAGATCAACAGAGTTGGTCAGTTCGAATTGAAAATCGTTGATGGAAAGGAATGGGTGCTCGGCCAACAGTTCTTGTTCCGTGTTTGTGACGACGTCTTCGATGGTGATTACACTGTTAACCGTGATGATTGGGTTGTTACTTCTTCTAGTCCATTATGATGAGTGAAGATTGGCTTACAATTGACAAAATTTCGGAAAATTGTTAAATTTTTTAAAAAAATTTTAATAAATTTAATTTTGCAGGTTTTGAGCAAGCACTTTTAACTTAACTTTACTTATTTTAAATTAACATTTAAAAAAATTTTTTTAAAATTTAAAATTTTCAAAACGATTTATTTCACGCAAAAATAAACCAAAAACCCGTAACAAACATTATACATACACCGTAGAAACAAAATAATATCACAGTGAGTTGGATGACAAACACTATCACGTTCAGCACTTTGTGTCGGCCGTAAAAGAAGCCGAGAAACGACAAAACTTGGCGGAAAATCTCGGAATTCCGCAACGACGGTAGGTCGCTTCGGAAGTGCATGGCAATTGCCTGAAAATTTTAAAAAATTAGGAAAAAACAGCAGTAGTTATGCCTTCAGAAGACAAAAAATAGAAGCTATTGATACTGTGGATACGTTACAGTACTTAAAAGCCCTGTAACGAACGTTCTTGTCATTCTACGTCTTTTAAAGAAAGATATAGCAATCTTTCACTTTGTAAAGAAAGTTCTTGCCATTTTATGTTTTGTAAAGAAAGTTCCTGTCATTTGGTGCTTTGTAAAAAAAGGTTTTGCCATTCTGCCCTTTGTAAAGAAAGTTCTTGCCATTTTTTGTTTTGTAAAGAAAGTTTTTTCCACTTTTTATATTGTAAAGGAAGTTCTTGCCACTTTAAAGTTTTGTAAAGAAAATTGTATCCATTTTTTCAATCTCCAAAAAGTTCTTGCCATTTCAACCCTATCAACTATCCTAGACCCCCACCAAAACCCATATCTCCTTACCGTAGCCGATATTCCATTAGTTTCCGGCAGATATCTCCAAATACCAATAATATACACCATGTTCATGAGTAAAAATGGTCCCAAAACAAATTGTGTACCATATTTGTTAACAATAGACAAGGCTGTAGTTGTAAGTAGTCCACCAAGCACGTTTTGTAATATACCAATAATGGCCGTTCCTAAAACTCGATCTTTTTGTGCGAAAAGTTCTGGCACTACTGTATATGCACTTTCACTTGAAACGGCCGCTGCGGAAAGGTCAGCTGCGGCTAACGCTGGTACTGCTATGTATAGAGGCCATATTCCAAATAGACTTCCTGAAATTTTTTAAATTTTCAAAAATTTGAATTTTACTACCTAAAAATTTTAAAAAAATCAAAAATTTCAATTTTAATATCTAAAAATAAAAAAAATCAATTTAAAATATAATAAAATCAAAAAATCAGTAACCCCCAAACATACCAGACTTAATGCCCACAATGACAAGCACAGAACATATTATACTCATAATAGTTGGTATTACAATAAGAACTTTCCTTGAAAAATCATCAAAAATGACCAAAGCCAGTATACTAATAAACGCCTGAGGGAATGATATCATCAATGAAGCTCTGGTAGCTGCTCTGGCAGTCAAACCAATGTTTTCAAAGACCTGCGTGGAGTAGGATATCCATAACTGTAACATTATATTTTAAATATTTAAATTTCAAAAAAATTATAAATTTATCACAAAAACCATTCTCTTGTAACTTCCATTTCAATATTTTTAAAACTTCAAGACAGTAATAACCAATTTCAATTCCTATTCCAATTTTAAACCACCTTACCCAATCATCAAGATGAACAAAGGTTAATATAAACGCGCCCAACATGAAAGGTCTCACAAAATTGCCAGAACTAAATCGCTGACACATCATTGGCCATAATTTACTATTACAGTTGTCCTGTTTCACCAATTTCACTTTTTCTTCAACTGTCGTACCTGCACCAATATCATTCATGTAATCGTCTAGAGAGCTCTGCCATTCATCGGAATACTGAAAAATAACATCGATTATATTATAAAAATGTCATTAAAGCTTGACAAGCGCTAGCTTCCATCCGTTTTTCACACAAAAATAGCGAAAAAATCGTAGTAAACCTAAAAATCAAGAATAATATAACATTCCAAACATACCTGATAAAATTCCAGCGCTTTTTGAGCAGCTTCCTTGTCACCATTTAGTAACAAAGCTCGTGGAGAATCTGGAGCCCAATAAATACACAAAATAGCCGGTAAAATCGCTAAACTCGGCGCCACTAACGCCAAATTCCACAAAATTTCAGTCCCCAACAAGGTGTCAAGGCCCAAAACCATGCCCGTTAGCTCTCCTGTGCATGCCCACACTGTCTGAAACATGAATTATTATCTTTACTTCATTTTACGGGCATATTCATCAAGTTTTAGTTCAGTTTTACTCAAATTACCGTTCAGAGCAAGAGTTATAACATCTAAAACAACGAAAACAAAGAAAAATTACTTACCAAAGTCGCCAGCATTGTTCCACGTGCACTAATTGGTGATATCTCCGCTATCATAGCTGATCCAACAACTTGTATAATTCCCGAGCCAATTCCATTCAAAAATCGACCAAAACAACATAACACAACACCGTTATTGATAAGCGTCACTAAACCTGATAAACTTCCCCCAAAAAAGTTCAATGCCATAGCCGTAATCAACGGGGCTCTTCGTGACGGTTGATTTGATACCAATATTGAGAGTAATGAGCCAATGGCAAGACCGTATATGCGAGAAGACACGATCCATTCCCAGGCAATGTCTGCATCTTCAGGTAATCCGTAAACCGACTCGAGAAATGGCTTTGCTGCTGGAAGAAGATTGTCCACAACGCTGTCTAATGCTACCTAAAAGTTAGTAAAATAATTTTTTAATATTTTAAAAATGTTATTTATTCAAAAACAGACCGAGAACATCGGCTTTTCCTGATTTTAGCGAGTAAAATATTTTCGGCCGTCCTGCAGGTTGCAAAGGTAGGGCGCAGCGTTTAAAAATATTAATTGTAAAACAAATTCATTTTTCGGCCCAACCTTATTGTATGGCCAAATCTGAAGGACTATTAGTGCTAAACACCTACCAAAAACATGGATCCAGCGCCGATGCTCAACACCACCGCGAATAATCTTATCCTTGGCCAGATGGACACGTCCAAACCATCTTCATGATCGTTGACAACAAAGAAGTCCTCCAATTTCTTGACCGGATACAGCTCATCGCTGATTAGGGCTTGTTTTTGACGTCGAAGAAGTTCATCTTGTAACCGCGTCATATGGATATTGTTTTAGTGAGTCGGGAATTTAACATTCTGAAATTTTAAATTTGATTTTGAATTTTAGGGGGCGATACATTGAAAAGCGGTTGAAAAATTGAAGTTTAGGTATAAAATCGAATACAAAATTGTCAAAAAAAGACAGAGATTAGGTATACTATGTGAAAATACATGAAAAACGTGTGTTACCTACCATTTTTAACGTTTCTAACGTTAAAAATGAAAGTTTAGGTAACAAATTTTAAAAATTTCGAAAAATTTTATAAATTTAGCGCCTGAAGGTTTAAAAATAAATTTCCGTTTGTTATAATTGTTCTATGAGACAAATAAACAAAGATAAACGACTATTATTTTGCAAAATGACCATTGTGAAGGACAAATATAATAAGGCAGGTCATTAGTAAGCTTAAAGGTATAAAAGTGATTAGGTTTACTAACAATGTGTCCTGCTAAGCCTAAAATGTGTGCCGCTAAACCAAAAATGTATGCTGTTAAGCCTAAAAAGAGTGCTTCTAAGCCTAAAATGTGTGCTGTTAAGCCTAAAATTTGTGCTTTTAAGCCTAAAATGTGTACTGCTAAGCCTAAAATACGTGCTGCTAAGCCTAAAATGTGTACTGCTAAGCCTAAAATACTTGCTGCTAAGCCTAAAATGTGTACTGCTAAGCCTAACATATGCAATTCTAAGCCTAAAATGCGTACTGCTAAGCCTAAAATGCATACTGCTAAAAGTTGTTAAGCCCAAACTTTGAAAATTTAAAATGAACTTTGAACGAACGTCATATAAGCCTAAAAACAAAAGCAATAAAAAACCGAAATTTGGCCAGAACAAAGACGAAACATTGATTTCGAATTCATTAAACTGGAATAAAATTTAGGAGGCATCAGTTTTTATCATAACAAATTTAAAAAGCAATCATTGGCCAGACAATCAAAAGTTTTAACAAAGGGGCTAATAATAAACGATTATAATTAAGAATATTCATGAAATTTATAAACATTTAGTTCAATTTTTAAGCCTAGAAATAATTTATTTAAGCCTAAATTTAATTTTTAAGTTTAAGTTTGATTTTTTTAAGCTTAAAGGTGATTTTTAATCCTCAGATTCATTTTCTAAGCCTACAGTTCATTTTTAAGCCTAAACTTCATTTTCTGGGCTTAAAGTTCAATTTTTAAGCCTAAAAATAATTTTTTAAGCCTAAAGATAATTTTTAATCCTAAGATTTATTTTCTAAGCCTAAACTTCATTTTCTAAGCCTAAAGTTCATCTTCGAGCCTAGGATTTATTTTCTAAGCCTAAAATTAATTTTTTAAGCCTAAAAATGATTTTTTAAGCCTAAAGATAATTTTTAAGCCTAAGATTTATTATCTAAGCCTAAAGTTCATTTTTAAGCCTAAACTTCATCTTCTAAGCCTTAAATTCATTTTCTAAGCTTAAAGTTCATTTTCTAAGCCTAACGCTTATTTTTAAGCCGAATAATTTAAATTTTAAAATAAAAAAATAAACCCCCAATCAAAACTTATATTACGAACCCTCTCCAAAGCCTCTGTTTTATAAAAAATGCAAAAAAGTTATGGCAATTAGACATTAAACCAGCTGAAATGTTATAGACGGCAACTTGAACGGCCCTTCGAATATCATTTTACGTTTTTGTTTGTGTTATGTGTCGGGAAACGTTTGATAATATAAAAATTTATAGCTAAAGTTAAAGTTCACAAAGTTTATATCTTAAAAAAATACTAATTTGGCCGCAGGGGTAAGAAATAAAAAGGGGAGTGGAGAGCGGAGAAGAGTATGACAGAACGGGGTAGAAAAAAGGGTAGGAAACGGTTGTGTAGGGTATGGTAAAGTTGAGTAGGATAAGGTGGAGTAGGGTAAAGGGTAGAGTAAGGTAGGGTAGGGTAGGGTAGGGTAGGGTAGGGTAGGGTAGGGTAGGGTAGGGTAGGGTAGGGTAGGGTAGGGTAGGGTAGGGGTAGGGTAGAGTAGGGTAGGGTAGCGTAGGGTAGGGAAGGGTAGGGTAGGGTAGGGTAGGGTAGGGTAGGGTAGGGTAGGGTAGGGTAGGGTAGGGTAGGGTAGGGTAGGGTAGGGTAGGGTAGGGTAGGGTTGGGTAGGGTAGGATAGGGTAGGGTAAGGTAGAGTAGGGTATTGTAGGGTAGGGTAGGGTAGGGTAAGATAGAATAAAGCAAAGCAGGGTATAATGATATATGATAAAAATGTAAAAAAACCTTTTAAAACACGTATGTTTGATGAAAAATATAATAACCACACTGACAAGAGCGGTTCACAATACTGATTAATATTTAAGCCTTTAGGCGTGGCTTTTTAATCCTAAACTATTTGTAGCTTAATTTAAGTACAAAAATATGTAGGCGAATTCTATTTTTACGTCCGTAGAGTGTGCTTCTAAGCCTAAAATATGTGTTGCTAAGCCTAAAATGTGTGCCGTTAAGCCTAAAATGCGTGCTTTCACGCCTGCCCCTGATTGTAGCAGCCCAATGTGGTTAAACAATTTATCAACACGTTTATCACCTATATCCGTGAAACTATCAGCTGTGCAAACAGGATAATATTATATAATAAATTCCAAAAAATATAGTGAAAATTTACTTTTAAACTAACAAAATGGTGGTCAACCTGCCCTACCCTACCCTACCCTACCCTACCCTACCCTACCCTACCCTACCCTACCCTACCCTATCCTACCCTACCCTACCCTATTCTCCGTCTTTCCCTTCCCCACCACAAAACCCTTCCCTTCAATAGTAACATTGTACAACAATAAGTTTCAATAGTAAAACAAATCGAATTTAAGGTTTATCCGGTTTGCAAATCTTTTTTAATACTCCTCTCTACTTTTCGAAATTCTTAATTTTGAGTAAAGCCCTCCATATTATTATCTCATCTCGGGTTTACGCTGAAATTGCTTTTGAATTAAAATTTGTTTCGATTACATCGCTGCAACGTCGACAACATTGATGTCTGGGAACTTGTTGATTTCTGGATAATCTTTTTAAAAATGAGCTTCTAGTTATGAGTTATTTAAAAATGATAGTTTTTTAGGCTTATAAGTTAAGTTTGTGGGTTAGCTAAATATATTTTTAGGCTTGCAAATAAATAGGTTTAAAATTGGGATTTAAGGTTAAAAAACAGCATTTTAGGCTTAAAAATAGGATTTGATAATTATAGATAAATTTTAGGCTTATGGGCTGACTTTTTGGCTTAAAAAATGAAATTGAAGTTTAAAAAATAGTTTTTAGGCTTATAAATTGATCTTTAGGCTTAAAACCTAAATTTAGGCTTATTACTAAAATTCAAGCTTAAAAATAAATTTTAGGCTTATAAATTGATTTTTAGGCTTAAACACAAAATTTAGGCTGGAAATTGGTTTTTAGGCTTATAAAATAAGTTTTAGGCTCATAAAATAACTTTTTAGGCTTAAAAACAAAATTTAGGCTAAAAATTGATTTTTTGGCTTAAACATAAGTTTTAGGCTTATAAATTGACTTTTTAGGCTTAAAAACAAAATTTAGGCTCAAATTGATTTTTAGGTTTAATAATAAATTTAATGTCTATAGATAAATTTTAGGCCTATAAAATGACTTTTAGGCTTAAAACTGAGTTTTAAGCTTAAAAATAAGGTTTAGGCTTATAAATTAAATTATAGGTTTAAAAAAGAAATTTAGGTTTAAAAATATCGTTTCAGCTCTGAAAATTGGTATATGGCTTAAAATGAAGTTTGAGCTTATTAACGCAATTTTAGGCTAATAAAATGAATTTTAAGCTTGAAGGACAAAGTTTAGGCTTAAGGATTTCATTTTAGGTTTAGAGAACTCATTTTAGGCTTGGGAATTAGTTACTCTGAATTTTATTATGAAAAAAGATATTCTTTTGATTACAACAATGTTATAGTCACCTGCCCACCCCAACCCCTTTAGCCAAACAAAAGCATTATCAATAAACCAAGTATAACAATACAATTCTAACACGTTTCAAACTTGACATACAAGGTTTAGAGAAGTTTAATCTGGACTAAATTATGTTGATCCGTTCTGATATCGACTTGGTTTTTGCTTGCGTTGAAGCTTAACTTATCTGTATGGTATGTTAATATTGGTATGGAGTAGTGATGTATGTAAATACTTAGTAACATGATTGTTTAAGGCAAAAAACTATTGAAATTTTTACAAAATTAGGCTTACTTTGCTTTACTTTTTAAAACTAATTGATTTTTAAGCCGTTATAACTATATAGTAGGTATATAAATATAAAACTATGACATGTTAAGTCAATTCTTTACTGTACAAAGGTCATCTCTTAATGTATGACGACCAAAAACACATATTTTCTTACTGTAACATTAAACACACCATATTTTTCAAATTTTATTCAAATTTCGTTTTGGTAAAAGCAATTCTTCGATTTTCAAAGTCATGTATATGACAGTAATCTTGAATGAATCCAGCACCAATAACCCATGGACCGTCCCAGCTTTTCGTGACGGCAATTCTGATACTACATAGACCGTTATCTCCAGTACTACGGTAAAATCGCTTGGTATTCACAATATATGCAGTCTTGTTGATTGTAAAAGTAATGTAGAATGCTACGGCACAACGAATTGTATATATATTGTTGGATTTTTTAATTGAAATTGAATTGATATAACGAAGAACGTCGGGTGGTACGGTAATACCGTAGTAGCTGCTGTGGGATTTGATCTGGAATTACGGCTTTTTACTGTAGAATAGTGCTAGTATAGGCTAGTGTAGTATAGGGTAGCGTAGGGTAGGGTAGGGAAAAGTAGGGTAGAGAAGAATTAGATAGGGCATGGTAAGGTAAAGTATAGTATTGTTAATTGACCTTAAGTATCATAAGCTACAGTAACACTTACCTTAACATTCCGTTTCCAGATACTACCAATACTAACAGTGTCAGCTCTAAAGACCCACTGACTAGTCCCAGGTACAATATCAATCCACTGAGTAACAAGTTGACAATGCCTATTATCCACCCCTCCCAACATAATCTGACCAACGTTACTACAACTAAAGTAGATATTGTAATCACAGTCCTTGTGGTATACTGTAACAATCGCATTCTTCAGATCTCCAGAATCTAAAGCTTGTTTTAGCATGGATGGTTTGTCGTTTTCTGGAGGAGATAACCCAAAAGTACTGTAATATCTGTTGGTATTGAATGTTGTAGTAGCTGCTCCGAAGGTTGCTGGGTATTTTAGGTATTTTCCTATCTAAATTTGGATATATTTTAGGTTTATATTGTGGTTTTTAGGCTTATTTGGCTAATATGAAATATTTCAAAAAATTTTTTTTAAATTTCAAAAAATTACAAACTTCATTAACTTACCGTAACAACATCCGTAGCCTCTTCATAATTCACTTCAGAACCATCATACTTAACTTCACCTGTTTTAACCACAGTACCATTAGTACCACCGTCACCATCCTTCCTAATCAGACCATATGAATTAAGAGCCGAACAGAAGCGTAACTGAGTTGACGTCTCAGAATTCGTCAGGCAATTTCGTGTTGGGACCCATAAAATTGAAGACCCTGTATCAAAATTCACGTTGAAAGCTACTGGCGGAGTACCAATGAAAATACGACCAACATGAACATCATTGATCTTGGTTAGTGGGACTTTTACGTAAAATGGTTCTGAAATATTGACTTTAAAGCGTTTTTTGAAAATGATCTTTAAAGAATATACTTAAAAATAGCTTTGAAACGTAAAAATCTAATCATACTTACTGGTATAGTTGATAAATTCAGCGTGAAACCTTGAAAAATGACCAAAAACGGCCAAAAACAAGACGAATACCCTTAGCATTGGCAAAAAATAAACCTTAACTTTATTTTAAAGTAGTTTTAGGTATCAAATTGAAGAACGGAGCTTTCTGTATAAAGAAAAAGCTTTTATAAACAATTCCAACGCTAATTTTCTCAATATAACGAGAGTTATTACCTAAAGAAAGCGTTTTTACAGTGATTATTTGCGTTTTTGATCAAAGATCAAAATGTATATTTTATATATTACAAAATTTGAAAAGATGAAAGTTTACAGTACAGATTATATAACAATTATAATTTAAAAATCGGCTGCATTGCCAATAAGAACCAAAAACAATACTTTCCAAGGCATTCCGCTAAAGAAGCCGATAATTCTGTGACATTTCGCTCATTTCTCTAAAAATTAATTTCAGCCAAAAATTTGGACGAATTTAATAAAAATGGACGAAATTAAGCCATAATCACCTCTATTTAATATGTTTTCACGTAAAATATTATTAATACGTTGTAGCATACCTATTCAAAGACGTTGGGCTGCTTTGAAAATTCAATCAAAAGGCGGAGATCCGAATAAATATGTGGATTTGAGTGAATTCAAGGCTGAGAACATTCGAAACTTTAGTATTGTAGCTCATGTAGATCATGGTAAAAGCACATTAGCTGATAGATTGCTTCAACAATGTGGGGTGATTGATAAGGACGAAAGGAAACAGTTTTTGGACAAGTTACAGGCAAGTTTTTGGCTTTTTTCTTGTTGGTTTAGGTAGTTGATGGTAAAGATTGAAGACTTTTGTTGGTTTTTTGGGGAGATTGGTTTTGTTTTTGTTAAATTAAGGTAGAGAAGGTATTAATTAAGCTTTTGAATGTATATTTTAATTGTTTTCATTTCAGGTTGAGCAAGAACGAGGAATAACAGTGAAAGCACAGACCTGTTCCATGGTGTATAAGGTAAATTTATTTTTCTGGCTTTTTTAGTTAGATATATGCATAGAATCTTTGATAATAACTTTAAGATGTTTTAGGATTACCTGTTCAACTTAATTGACACTCCAGGCCATGTTGACTTTAGTTTCGAGGTATCACGAAGCTTGGCCGCCTGCGATGGAATGTTGTTGTTGGTGGCAGCTAATGCTGTAAGTTTTCCAATGTTTTGCTTTATATTTTAGGCAAGTTTGACAATATTACTTTAGGGAGTTCAAGCACAAACCGTAGCAAATTTTTGGCTTGGATTTGAGAACGATCTTGTGATACTGCCAGTAATAAACAAGATTGATCTACCTGGAGCTGAACCTGATATTGTTAATGCTCAATTATGCAGTGTATTTGACTTTAACAAGGATGATGCTATTAGGATATCAGCTAAAACTGGTTTGGGAGTGTCTGAGATACTTGATCATATAATTGAAAAGTAAGGTTTTAGGGAATTTTAGCTAAATATATTGTTTTAGACACCTATTTGTAACATTTTTAGTTTTTTGTTTATATTTTAAACGGTTTTGATTAACTACTGTAGCTTTTATCGCAAATGTTCTTTAGAGTACCACCTCCAAAATCAGACAAGTCAAAGCCATTTAGAGCTCTTATATTTGATTCATGGTATGAGCACTTTCGGGGAGCAATAGCCTTGTTATTGGTTAAAGAAGGTGAAATTAAAGTAGGACAGAAGATCAAATCATATCATAATGATAAAGAATACGATGTAGCTGAGGTTGGCATAATGTATCCGGACATGGTTAAGGCTGTGGTATGTTTTATGTTATCCTTCTTGAGCTTTTTTGATTTTAGGGTGCTGGTGGGTAGTGTAATATCGTGAATATCTTTATTATTGGTTCTTGGATGCTTTTGTTATTTTGGAGTTACATTGGGAAGATATTAAAGATACTATAGTCAAAAAATGAAGCAATTATAATAAAAAATATTGTAATAGCAATTAAAAAACCAAAAATTTCAGAGTTTAAGTGCAGGCCAAGTCGGCTACGTGGTATGTTCGATGAAAACAGTAAAAGAAGCAGCAGTTGGTGAAACATTATATGCTGGAGATGTGTCCAAAGATTCTGTGACACCATTTGCAGGCTTCAAAACTATGAAACCTACAGTATACGCTGGGTTATATCCAGTAGAACAAGCTGAGTACGAGAACCTGAAACAAGCGTTGGAAAGGCTGGCTTTGAATGATCCTTCCGTGGAGATATCTGGGGATTCTAGTGTAGCGTTAGGCTTGGGATTTAAGGTTGGATTCTTGGGAATGTTGCACATGGAGGTAGGGGTGGATTTTTGAGTTTTGTTTTTTGAGGGGGGGAGGGGAGAGAATTTTTTTTGGGGGGAGGGAGAGGGAAAGGTTTTGGTTTTTTTTTTGATTTATGTTCAAAATCAGGTATAACAACTCATTTTTCAGGTATTCGGCCAACGCCTGGATCAAGAATACGATGCCAATGTTATACTAACAGCCCCATCAGTAGAATACAAAGCTTTAGTCAAAGACAATGATACGATACGAAAGAAGCGATACGAAGGAAGAGGAGAACTGTCAATAACAGATCCGTCTAAATTCCCGGCCGAAGTACAAGATATCGACTATTTTCTGGAGCCAATGGTACAACTTACGATAATCTGTCCTAACGAGTATATGAGTCAAGTTACAGCACTATGTACTGAAGCGAGAGGAGAACGTGGAGATATTAATACGATTGACGAGTCTAGGATGATTATCAAGTACAGAGTGCCGTTGGCCGAAGTTGTTGTGAACTTTTTTGAAAAATTGAAAAGGAGCACGAGGTAAGGGATCTAATAAGCTTATTTTAAGATGTTTAGGCTGTTAATGGTAGATTTAGGCTTATAAGCGGAACTTTAATTCTATATGTTAACATATATGTTGACTACAATATCAAAACAAAGCTTTAAATTTAAAAATTCTAGTGGATATGCCTCATTTGACTACGAATACGATGGATATCAAGAGGTAGATCTGGTCAAACTGAATGTAACTATAAATCAACGTCAAATCGACGAGTTTTCTCTAATCTGCCCATCTCAATTGGTACGACAAAAGGCCAAAGACTTGATGAATAGGCTTAAGGAAGAGATTCCGCGACAGTTATATGAGGTCAATATTAAGGTAGGTTCAAAATGGGTATATTAAAGTTGGCTAAAGAGATTTTTGCTTAAGGAATTGAAAAATGGCAAGAAATTTCTTTACAAATCAAAAAATGGCAAGAACTTTCTTTACAAGGCAAAAAATAGCAAGAATTTTTTTTGCAATACCTAAGATGGCAAGAACTTTCTTTACAAGGCAAAAACTGGATATACGACCTGTTTTTAGGCCCACATAGGAACATCCCAAAAAGCAGTAAGCCAAGCGACAATAAAAGCCTACAAAAAAGATTTTACCGGCCTATTAAAGGGTAACTTTGGGGGTGGAGGTATGGAGAGGTTGAATAAGAAGCTAGCACATCAAAAGAAAGGTAAAGAACGAATGAAGAACGTTGGCAACATCAACATACCCAAAGAGGCTTTTATCAATGTTTTGAAGCATTAGAGGTTTTGGTGATAATAGGATTTTTGTTTTAGGCTTGTTATGTAAAATTTGTTTTGGTGTTTTATACTTTATTGTTAATAAAATAGTTGTTAAGTTAACGTTAATAATAAATTATGCATTCTTCATTACTAAAAGGGGGGAGGGGTGGCCATCTGAATTTTTTTTTGGAGGGGGGGGATTACGTTAAACTTCCCCAAGCTTTGCATAGCACAAGTTTAGTTTACCCCGCCTACTTTACACTACCTTACTCTTGACCCCACCTTTACCACTATTCTTACCTTTGCCTTGCCCTACTTTTACCCTACTTCTGCCTTTGCCCCTACTAGTACCTCCATTCTTTCCCTGGCTAACATATATATGTTACTTATACCTTGCCTTAGCTTATCCATCTCAACCCTTATATACCATCAGCCCTTCTCATACATTACCCAACCGTCCGGCCAAATTTCATCTATAAAACCCCGAAATTTTCAATTCCACCCCAAAATATGTTAAACAAATTCAAAAATGCGCCTCCAAAACGCAAATTGTAATCCCGAAACCATCCGCCGACTCGAGAGTGTGACAGAGAAAACGAGAAAAGCGGCAGAGACAAGGGCCGCTCGCCTTGAAGCCGTTCTTCCGGGCGGAGGCAAAAGAAAAGACCTTGACGACCGCCAGAATCTCTCGGTTTTTTCCCTTTTTCTCCTGACTTTTTTCGATTTTTTTTGGAAAAAAGTTGGCTAAATATTGCGGAATTGATAAAATAATGTGTGGGAATAATCAACGACTTATCTTTTTGATGTTTTAGTGGCTTTATTTTGTTTTATTTGCGTTTTTTTGGCTCTAAAGCTTCATTTTTTGGGGTTTTTGAAGATTTTTGGGTAATTTCAAGTTGTTTTTGGCTTTTTTTTTGTTGATATAATGTTTAAAATGGCATGGAAATTATAGTTTATATGGTTTTTTTTATGATTTGAAAGAAGTTTTTGAGAAAAATAGCGAAAACTTTGTTTACAAAACAAAAACTGGCAAGAACTTTGTTTACAAATCGTAAAATTGCAAGAACTTTCTTTACAAAACATAAAATGGCAAGAACTTTCTTTACAAAACATAAAATGGCAATAACTTTCTTTACAAACTTTAAAACGCAAGAACTTTCTTTACAAAACCGAAAATTCAAAAATTTCATAAAATTTTTAAAAATTTTAAAAAATTTCAAAAAAAAATTAAATTGACCTTAATGACCGACTTTTGTTACACAAAAATATGCCTTACTCATTTTACTGCCATTACTTAACCAATGTCCAGAAAAGCGAGAGTAAAGCAATTTCAAAACCTCGGGCTTAATCAAAATGAAATTTTGAAATTTGACTATCCGAATGGTTGTTTGGCCATATAAGTTGTCAGTTTTGAAATTTCATGTGACAGCCATTTATGTAGTTATAGGCACAGTAAGTCGGATAAGGCGATATGAATGTAGATTAAATGTTGAGTTATGTGGGTAATGGTGTCTTGTTGGGAGGGTGTAATGGTGTTTACATTATTGTCTTTTTTTTATTTTGGGGTAGGGTTTTGAGTTGGGTTATAGGGTGAGGGAAAAGTAAGGCAAACTAAAGGGTAGGGTGGGTCTACGGCAGGGTAAAAGTAAAAAAGGGAATGCTATGGTAAGGGAGGGAGGCAAGTTTGGTTAGGGTAGAATGTGGTTGGGTAGTGTAGGTCTAGGGCAGGGTAGAACAGTGTTACGACATAAAAAGGGAATGTTATGGTAGGGTCAAGGTAGATTATATTAGGGTAGGGTAGGTTAGGGTAGGGTAGTATAAGATAGAATAGACTAGGTTAGGTTACTATAGGGTAAAGTAGGGTAGAACAGGGCTACGGTAGAAAAGGAAATACTGTGGTAGGGGGACGGTTACGTAATTAGAGTAGGATACTGTAATATAAGGTAGGGTAGGGTAGGGTATGTTAATGTAATGTAGGGTAAAGTAGGGTAGGGTAGGGTAGAAATATTTTTTTTCTTAAAAGCAAATAAAATTACTCAGTAAAATAGAGTTAATTACATTACTATGTATGTACATGATACGTGTTTCGTTCGTCTTTTTTCCGTCGGGAATTTTCTGTTTTTTTTTTGTTTTAAAAGAAGAAAAAATGCATTTTTCAACTTACTCTTTGTTAGTTTATGTCGTAATAGTAACTTATTAACTTTTTCACCTTTATGTCTTACTTTGACAAAAAGCACTCGCCACTTTTTACAGGAAATTACAGGGAATGTATGGCGGGTTCTTTATGTCGGCACCTAATAACTCAATTTTTAGTACTTTTTTGGCCAAGCTCTGATGTTATTCTTAATTCTCGTGCTTTTACTTTATATTCTCCATGCTTTTATACCTAAATTTCCACTTTTCAGAGGAAAATCATAGTTTAAAATGACGTTATTACAAAGGAAAGGTTAAAAAGAAGTTTCTGGTTGACTTTTTTTCGAAAATGGGAAGTCGAACTAGGCTGAATCTCGACTTCAACTCGATAAAACAAGTTCAACAACCATTGTAAGTGACTATTTTTATTTATAATAAAAAAAACTTTCTTTACAAACCAAAAAATGGCAAGAACTTTCCTTAGAAAACAAAAAACGGCAAGAACTTTCCTTACAAAACATAGAGTGGCAAGAACTTTCTTTACAACACAAAAAACGGCAAGAACTTTCCTTACAAAACATAGAGTGGCAAGAACTTTCTTTACAACACAAAAAATGGCAAGAACTTTCTTTAGAAACCAAAAAATGGCAAGAACTTTCTTTACAAAACAAAAAATGGCAAAAACTTTCTTTACAAAACATAAAATGGCAAGAATTTTCTTTACAGAGACATATTGACCACAACACCAGGCCAACTACAGTTCTCCCCAGATGTATCATGTACAGTAACTGCCAGTGATTTGGTCGAAAGCGCAGTTATAGGACAAGGCAACTATGGTGGTATAGTGACGAGAATGATACATAAAGACACTGGGAATGTCATGGCAGTTAAGGTAGGGGTGTTTTTGAGCGGGGGGGGATGTGTTTTTGAAAATTTTAAAAAATATAAAAAAATTTAAAAAAAAATTTTTTTTTGAAATTTTAAAAAATTAATTTTTTTTAATTGCCGTTTCAGAGAGTCAGAGCCAATGGTATAAACGCAGACGAGAGAGAAAAAATGTTGAGAGAGTTGAAAATCATCATTGAAGTACAAAATTGCCCTGATATAGTACGCTTCTATGGGGCACTGTTTCAGGATGTAAGTTGTAAAGAAAGTTCTTGCTATTTTTTGTTTTGTAAAGAAAGTTCTTGCCATTTTTTGTTTTGTAAAGAAAGTTCTTGTAAATTTTTTGTTTTGTAAAGAAACTTTTTGCCATTTTTTGTTTTGTAAAGAAAGTTCTTGCTATTTCCTGTTTTGTGAAGAAAGTTCTTGTAATTTTTTGTTTTGTAAAGAAAGTTCTTACCATTTTTTGTTTTGTAAAGAAAGTTCTTGCCATTTTTTAGTTTGTAAAGAAAGTTTTTGTCATTTTTTGCTTTGTAAAGAAAGTTCTTTCCAGGGTGATTGCTGGATCTGTATGGAGCTGCTGGACTGTTCCCTCGACAAATTCTACAAAGAAGTCTACAAAAACAACGAAAAGTTGCCAGAAGACGCTGTAGGCTTCGTCACAGCGTCCGTAGTACGAGCTTTAAGGTATCTGAAGAAGGAGTTAAACATTATCCATAGGGATGTGAAGCCTTCGAACATGTTATTGGACCGAAAAGGCTATGTCAAGCTGTGTGATTTCGGTATCAGCGGGTATTTGGTGGATTCCATAGCCAAGACACAGGATGTTGGGTGTCAGATTTACATGGCGGTAAGGGATTTTGATTGTATTTGGGGCCGACAATAACCCGCCATGCTTTTTCTGTAATTTCTTGTAAAAAATGGCGGGTTCTTTATCACTCACCGTATAATAGGGGTAGGTGATATAAAAGGGGAAACATGGGTTTGGCGGACTGCGGGTGACAAGTTATACGATAAATAACATTTTGTTTTGAGTTTTGGAATTATAAGATTTGTAAAGAAAGTTTTTGCCATTAGGAGTTTGGAAAGGAAGTTTTTGCCATTTTCTGTTTTGTAAAGAAAGTTCTTGCTTTTTCTTGTTTTGTAAAGAAAGTTGTTGCTATTTTTAGCTATGTAAAGAAAGTTCTTGCTATTTTTTGTTCTGTAAACAAAGTTCTTGTCATTTTCTAGCTAATTGTTTCATTTTCAGCCGGAACGTTTATCAGAACGCCGTTATGGGATACGATCAGATATCTGGTCGTTAGGTATTTCACTTGTCGAGATTTGTATAGGCTACTTCCCTTATATTGGTTGGAAGACGGTGTTTGATCAATTACAGTCGGTTGTCAATGGTGATCCGCCCTACTTAACTGCTGGTTACTATTCAGTCGATTTATGCGATTTTGTTAATCAGTGGTAAGTTTTTTTTGTATGTAGTGTAGTAATGTAAGATTAAGTTGGGTATAAATGTTAAATGGGGGGGGGGAGGGAGGAAGCTAACGTACTGTAAAATGCAGTAATGGTACTGTAGGGTAAGGTAGGTAGGGCAGTCTTCTTACTTAAGGGCGGGACAGTATAAGATAAAGTACGGTAGGGCAAGGCTATTACTGTGGAGTAGGGTTGGTATAGGTTACGGTAAGGGTAGGGTAGGGTAGGGTAGGGTAGGGTAGGGTAGGGTAGGGTAGGGTAGGGTAGGGTAGGGTAGGGCAGGGTAGGGTAGGGTAGGGTAGGGTAGGGTAGGGTAGGGTAGGGTGGGATACAGGACGGTACAATAAGGTACGATAACGTAGTACAAGGCATGGTAAGGTAAAGCAATGTGGTTAAGGTACTGTAGGGTAAAATACAGTACAATAACATACTGTAATCTTAATTCCAAGTTAGTATTTAAAAACTTTTTTAGTTTGATCAAAGACCCTCAACATCGGCCGAACTTTGACCAGCTGACCGAACATGTCTTTTTCAAAACTCACAATCGTACTGACATAGCATCGTTAGCGCAACAACGTATTGAGTTCGGTGCATATGTGGAGAAGTTTGTAGAAAATGCACAAAAATTGTAAAATTAAACAAAAACATTGGCTTTGCTCACTTGAAGTTACAAAAGATATTCCATTTGTATGTATTAATAAAGCATGTGTAATATTGGTATTGGGGAGAAGGGTGGAGGAATTACAATTTTTTAAATATATTTTGTTGTGAGCCGTTCAGGAGATTCTGAAGCATATTTAGAAAAATTTTGGGTTAATTTGACTTAGAAATGGCAGAGTTATGGCTGATTTTTTTGTAAAAAATGATGTTTTTCGGCTATGTAGAGGGTTGCACAACTTGTTGCGGAATTACCTAATATTGATGAGATAACTATTATATTATAACATAGCCTTAGAGAAATTGTCAGAAATCGTGTTGCGCAACGTTTTATTATGCAATATTTTTAAATTTTGTAATATTTGCCTCGGTGTAAAACGACCCAACAAATTACTGCGAGTGCTGGGATCTTGCTCTATGTTACTGCGAGGTACTATTTAATTTTTATCTGCCGTATTTTATGAGTATATAAATCTACTCTGCTGCTTAAGAACGTCATTATTCATTTTAGTCATCCTAGGGGTAAGCCTAAGTTAAGCCTAAGCTATGCCTAAGCTAAGCCTAAGCTATGCCTAAGCTAAGCCTAAGCTAAGCCTAAGCTAAGCCTAAGCTAAGCCTAAGCTAAGCCTAAGCTAAGCCTAAGCTAAGCCTAAGCTTAATCCTAAGCCTAATCCTACCCTAAGCCTAAGGTAAGCCTAACCTAAGACTAAACTAAGCCTAAGCTAAGCCTAAACTAAGCCTATGCTAAGTCTAAGTTAAGCCTAATCTATGCTCCCGACCCAACAAATTACTGCGAGTGCTGGGATCTTGCTCTATGTTACTGCGAGGGATCAGTTTTTAACTGCCATACTTTATGAGTATATAAATGTGCCCTCCTGCTAAGAAACGTCATTATTCATCTCAGTCATTTCTAGAGTAAGCATAAGCTTGAGCCTAATCCTAAGCCTAAGCCTAAGCCTAAGCCTAAGCCTAAGCCTAAGCCTAAGCCTAAGCTTAAGCCTAAGCCTAAGCCATAGTCTAAGCCTAAGTCTAAGCTTAAGCCCAAGCCTATCATTTACTATGAAATAAGTCAAGTTTACTTAGAGTAAGTTTCAAAAAAGTTCAATACATTTTGTAGCGAGTAATCCTCATTGAGTAAGTTGACCAGATCATTCCCTTTGTGGCTAGCCGAAACTCCATTGACTTTGGCGCGGTCGATAAACAAGTCGACAATGATTCCGACGATCCGGTCAAAGTAGATCTGTTTGTCATCTGCTTCCTCGTACAATTTGTCATGATTATTAAGGATGTTGGTCAATTCTGCATTTAGGTATGACACATCACCAAATGCGGCCTTAAGTTCCTTTAGGCTTGTTGCCAGCTCGTATTTCTTGGCTAGTTGGGCTTGATATTCCATCTTGGGGTGAATTAAACGGAGCGCGTGTTCTACACTTGCATCGTTGAAGTCTGGAGTTAAAAATGGTGTTCAATTTGATTTTTTTGAAATATTGGAGACATTTTATACGATGAAACGTTTTTTAAAATTTTTTTAAAGAAATGGTGACGTTTTATACGATGAAACATGTTTTTTTTAAAAAGTTGACGCTTTATACGATGAAACATGTTTTTTAGGTTTTTTGAGAAAAAGGTGACAGACATTTTATACGATAAAAAATGTTTTTTAAGTTTTTTCGAGAAAAGAGGACATTGTATACGACGAAACATGTTTTTTTTAAAAATTTTTCTAAAAAATTTTAAAATTTACCGCAAGAAAGGTGTATTTTCATTTGTTTTTGAGTAGTTTGTCGACTGATGACATCACGCATAATGAAGATAGTTGAGATGTTATCACTTCTGAACACTGCTTGACCTTTCCTGAAAAATTTATATAAAATAGCAGGAACTTGGTTTACAAAACGTAAAATGACAAGAACTTTCTTTACAGAAGAAGATTTGGCGAGAATTTTCATTACAAAATAAAAAATGACAAGAACTTTCTTTCCAATGTAAAATACGGAAAACTTTTGCTTAATTAAAAATGGCAAAAAAATTTTTTAAAGCCAAAACTAGTACTTTGCTTACACATACTCGTGCAAAGACAGTAAAATCTATATAAATCTTAGATCACATTTGCTAGACTACGTCAATATATATTTTTGTATTTTATGTGTTATGTAATAGCCGCATATCAGCTAAAACCATCATTTTTATTTTTCATAGATCTACTTCAGCACGTTATACTACAATATTAAAAGCAAATAAAGTAAAGACGTATACCAAGTACTGTTTGTGTATTTAATAAAAACATACGTTTTGTAAAAAGTGTATATGTAATAGTACTGTAGTTTTGAATTTACATAACTATGTTAAATGCTAGTCCAAAGTTCTAGCCCAGAGCCTAGGGCCTTAGTTTTAGTCACAGTCCTGTTTTAGTTCCAAGACCAGTTTCTGGTTTTGGTCTTGATCTTGGTGATCCTAGTCCTAGTCTTGGTCCTGGTCCTGGTCCTGGTCCTAGTCCTGGTCTTGGTCTTGGTCTTGGTCCTGGTCCTGGTCCTGGTCCTGGTCCTGGTCCTGGTCCTGGTTCCTGTCCTGGTCCTGGTCCTAGTCCTAGTCCTAGTCCTGGTCCTGGTCCTGGCCCCGGTCCTGGTCCCAGTTTCGTTACTGGTTCGAAAATGGGTTCAGGTCTTGATTTCTTTTAGCCCCGAGTCCTAGCCCAGAGCCCTAACATAAAGCTCTAGCACAAAACCTTAGCCCAGAGCACTAGCCTAGAGTCCTAACATATCATAAAAACAATACTAATCAAAAATTCTACTATACAATTAAAAAAATGAAACAAAAAGTGCGTCAATTGGAAGTAGGCTTAAAGTATGACCATTCATTATTCAATTGGCTATTTATAAATGGCAATGAATTATTAGGGCTTGAAACCCGAATAATAACCCCCACTTTACGGCCGTGTTTCGTATTTAAAACCTAAGACAACGTGGCTGTAGTCAAAGATTAGTTTTACTAGTGTTTATTAGAAAAAATTAAAAATCTTGGCTTATCAAGGATCTAGCGGGTGGAATATGTGTATGGGACGGAGAGGGCGGGGAGGGGAGGATAATTTTTTTTTAAGTTAGGGGTGACTATGATCAACTTTTTGAAAAGCAAATCTAGGGAGTTATGAAAGGGGGGGGAGGGAGCGGGAGCGCAGTGTGGGGAGGGGGGGGAGGGAAATATCCCAATATTTTTTTTTTATTTGGGAGTGATCTACTTACAATTACGCTAATTTAAAAAAAAACTTTTTTACCCCCCCCCCACCCTTTATTCCTCAATAAAATTACCCCCCCCTCCCCCCAAATAATAAGTGAACGCTTTAATATACATGTAGATTTAAGGTTTTATATACTCAATGAGTCAGTGAATTCATCTAAACCCCCCTCTTTAATTAATTCTTTTTGGAATCCCCAAAGCATTGTGTGGTTGTATGTTTGTGGGAGATGATACGGCTTTTTGTCGCGAAGAATAAGGTTTTTTGGATAGTATATTGTTTTGAGGAAGGGTAATGTCATTGGGTATAATATGCTCATTATTTCATTTAGGAGTGGTCGAATGACTGTTGTTTTAGATGGTAATGATCATTGCTATATGATAGTATGATGACATACTTTTTGTTTTATATGTTCAGAAAGGTAAAGATAGGGACAGGGCTGAGTATGATAAAGTAGGAAAAAGGTACGGTAGAGTAAATGTAGGGTAAGGTAGGGAATGACAATATAGAGTAGGATACAGCAAGGTTGGGGTATGTACAGTAGAATATGGTATAGTAGGGTAGGGCAAGCTAGATAACAGCAAGGTATACCGGCATACAGACAGTAGGATACAGTAGAGTAGGATAAAGTATGGGACAGTAGAATAGGGTAGGGTAGGGTATGGTAGGGTAGGGTAGGGTACGGTACGGTACGGTAGGGTAAGGTATGGTAGGGTAGGGTATGTTAACATAATTTTTAACTAGGCATGACACTTACGAATAAGTAGCCTGAAGCATAGTGCCACCATTGAAAGTTGACTGAAAGTTCAATGTTACCGTATCCGTGCCAGGACATCGTTCCGGGACCTGTGAAATCGATGTAAGAAGCCAAGAGTGAGCTTCGTTGATTGAAAAGCTGCCAGTAGCTGTTAGTACGCTTAATGGTCGAGTTTCGTCAAAGTGGTGCACTCTTTCATGCAGGGCTAGAGGTTTTATTGGGTAGAAACGTAACTGAAAAAAAAATTTTAAATGAAAAATTTTTTTTCAAATTAAAAATTTTTTTGAAATTTTAGTTTAAAAGTGAAAAATGTTGCAAGAACACAAACTACAAAGTGTTTTAGCTTTATAGTCTGAGGCCTTAAATGTAGAAACAACAAACAATAAACGTTAACATAGACAATCTCTGAATCACGTGCTTTCAAATTGAGAAATTATATAAGTAAAAGGTATTTGAGTAGTTGGAACTAACTTCTGTTACCTAAAAACGTTTTTTGTATTTCATAAAAAGGGTTCTTGATTAAGGTACTCTATTAGTATCTATGCCTTCAGAAGGCAAAAAGATAGAAGTTAGTATTACTGCATTGAAGTTACAGTACTCAAATGTTTTGTAAAGAAAGTTCTTGCCATTTTATCTTTTTTTAAAGTTCTTGCCATTTTTCATTTGTAAAGAAACTTTTTTGTCATTTTATGCTTTGTAAAGAAAGTTCTTGACATTTTTTTTGATTTGTAAAGAAAGTTCCTGCTATTTTTTATTTTGTAAATAAAGTTCTTACCAATTCTTGGTTTGTAAAGAAAGTTCTTGTAATTTTTTTTGTTTTGTAAAGGAACTTATGTACAGTATCAACCGCAATAACAACTTGACGGTTGTTATGGTAAAATATTGTTCAGACAATAATATTGCATGATCAAAAGTAAGCCATAATATTTGTTGATATCATTGACGCACTCGCCATGATAACATTGTACTTTTCGGCACAGCACGGTAGCTGTCATGGCGGCACAGTACCGTGATGATATTATAGTATATAGATTGTGATTTGGTTATTTGTTTAGGAAATCGCTTTAAGTCGTATTTTAAATAGTCTAAATATGTGTGGTATTTCGTGCTGACACGATGGGTGTAGGCTGTAAGTGCAGAAGACATGGTGTATATAAAGAGATGGGTGTTAGTTAGTATGAATAAGTCTTGTAAGTAAAATATTTTGGGTATGTTATGGTATGTTCAAATCGGGTCTTAGTATAATTTTTCTACCCTACCCTACCCTACCCTACCCTACCCTACCCTACTCACCATACTTTTCCCTATACCAGCCCTACTTCACTACTAGCTTTGTCCTACTGTACTTTGTCTTATAGTGCCCCGTCATACGGTAAGAAAACTATTCTACCCTATAATACATATGATACCTACATACCGTAATACTCAAAATTACCATGCTTTATGTATTGAATCTTCTATAATAGTATATATATATATACATATAGATATACATACATATATATGTACATATATATATATCATCCTTCAAGTTCAACTTTCATTGTTATACGTGCGTGTGTCATCTAAATCTGGAACTAGACGCTGTTCCAGATTTAGAAGACGTGACCTGACATTTTACACTAGTTCCTCATGACCTTTGACGTCAATAACGTCACTAAAAAGTTGAGTTGCTATAGACAATGTAAAACGAAGATACGGGTCTTAGGGCTTAGACATCGTATAGATCATGTGTAATGAGGATACACGTGTTTAAGGGAACATAGTAAGAAGATACGATGACAGAATGACAGAACAAAAGATCGTACTAACAAGGTATAGCACAGACAAGGCATCATACAAAGACGATATAGTACTAACCTCAAAGAGACTTTCTACCCAAAGAACCTTAAGCATACATCACCTACAACTTGATATACGGTTGCTGTTTTTTATCCCCCCCCCCAACACGCGTATCACGTCACCATCTTCTGGTTTTCGTATTTGTCAACGGAAATTCGGGAACAGACCGCTTAAGGCGCCACTTAAAAGCCAAACCAAATAGTTACAATTCGAGCACAAGTACAGCACAAAAAGTCGCTGGTTTAGGTGGGTAAAGTGACGTGAGGTTTTAGATTGCCTTTTTTTAATTTTGATATTGCTTGGTCGTATTTTACCATCAGATTTGATTATAGGACCTCGTTTTACAGTAAAAAAGCAATTTTTTATTTTGTTTTTGAAACTTTTTGCTCAAAACGCATAGTTCTTTTAAGGTTTTTTAAAAATTACAGTAACCCTAGTTCACCGCAAGACTAAGGCTAACAGAAAAAGTTTATAAAACTTGCTTTACTCTGTAAAAATCCCAATATTTCCCCAGTTATTCTTCAAAAACTGCGTTTTTCTTTAAATTTTGTCTCATAAACCCCTATATTTTCAATTTAAAAACAAATTACAGTAACCTTATGACACCAAATTGTCTTCTATAATACCCAAGAGATAGATCTTCAAATTGGTTTTTAGTTTTAGTCAAACTATGTCAGTTTAGACAAGTTACAAGTTTTTAAAATTCAAAAAATTGCCAATGCATCCAAGCGGAATCGAACTTTTCTGGTTTTTTTAATCTTAAAAATCAATGTAACTTTGCCATTTTTTATGATATCAATGTCAAATTTTGTAAATATATTCTTCTTTTCATGCTTTTCAAAACGTGTGATATCACGTTATCACTAAAAAAATTTTTTAGTTTTATTATACTATAGCCTCTAGGATTCGACCTAAACTATGAGAAAAACAATGTTTATAACACCAAGAAAGCCGTAGTTAAGCTGAATCTACGTTCATAAACACTATAGTCAACAAATATTACGCGCTGACATAAAAAACCCGCCGTACTTTTTCTGTAATTTCTTGTAAAAAATGGCGGGTTCTTTATGTCGCCACTTAATAATATCTTAACAATGAATTGCTCTGACTGTCTTTAACAAATCTTCATAATCCTCCCTCATAATAAGGGTTTGGTGACTATATCTTGCGTTGATAAAGAAAATAAAGTTTAATTTTTAAATTTATATTAAGCAAAATCTACAGTAAGTTTAACAAATTTCATAAAACTTAATTTCCTCAAGGCATGAAACTTTTGAAACTGTTTTTTAGAATGAAAACACAATTTTCTGGTAAAATAAGACTATAAAATGTAATGCTTCCAACTACAATCTACTTCTCATAACTTATAAAATGTCACTTTAACCATTTTTTCACAAAATGCGCCAAAATTTCTGTTACAAAACTTTACTTTGCCTGTAACTCCTAGTAAAAAATGGCGGGTTCTTTATGTCGACGCCTAATATTTTCATGTTCAAACTCAATTCAAAACAAAAAATTTTAAAATTTCTTCTTCCACACCGGTTTTAATATTCAACCGACGTATTTTACTGTCTATAGTTTGTTTTGAACCCAAAAGTTTTGTCGTTTTGAATAATGCCATTCTCGAAAACAGTCCTTGTTTTGTAAATAAACGTGCTTGTTTGGCTTAAATTTTAATTTTTATTATGTCGTTGGTGGTACAATTTGCAAGGTTGTAATTGTAGACTGTTTGCTTTGGATAACTATGTCATGTTGGAGTTTTTTGAAAACAAATAATAATTTGTTACAGTTTCTTGAATTGGAGTACTGTGGTTTACATATTTTTTGTTATGTTAAAGTATTTACTTTGCTTTGGTCTGAGCCCTAGCCCTGCCTCTAAACCTAGCTTTAGTCTTTCCCTATAATATTAGCCCTTGTCTAGTCCTTCTACACTACTTGACCTAACCCTACTCTACCGTAACCCCTACGCTCCACCTTATCTTAACCTATTCTAACTAACTCAAATCTGCCGTAAGCCCTACTGTAATCTTCTTTATACCCTACCTTAGTCTGTACTCTATCGTAATCCTTGCTGTGGTCTTATACCCTACCTTACCCTACTCTATTGTAACCCCTACTTAACTCTATCCTATCTACCCCTGTTCTACCGTAACCCTTACTTTACCCTACTCTCCACACTGCCTTACTCTTCTCTGCCATAACTCCTACTGTAGTCTATCTTTTACTCTACTTTACCCTATCCTACTCTACCATAACCCCTACCCTACCCACCCTTTTAAAAACGTGATGACATTTCCTCTACCATGTGTATTAATAACGTTATACATTGTCAGTTCTAAATGAGTCACGAATAATATCTGAAATGTGAAGAATCCCAATCATTTCCGATTATTAATTTCAGCCTTTCCGTGATATTATTCTACACGCTTCCTCACGTCATTTCGAAAATGCTATTCGTCTGAATTTGTTTTTATATAAGGTGAACATCTAGAAGTTTTGGAATCATGTTTTTAAACCAAATTCCACTTCCTTTTTTTTTGGAGCTTTTGGAATTTTTTTTTCATTTTCAAAAATTTTTGAAGCGTTGGCTGGGATTAGGCTCAGGGCTTGGGGCTCAGGGCTCATGGCTCAGGGCTATGGCTCGGTTCTAGAGCTAAGACTAAAGCTAGGGCTAGAGATAGTGCTCTGGGCTACGGCTCTGGGCTAGGACTTAGGCTTAGGCTTAGGCTTAGGCTGTGGCTTAGGCTGTGGCTTAAGCTTAGGCTTAGGCTTAGGCTAGGGCTTAGGCTTAGGCTTAGGCTAGAGCTTAGGCTTAAGCTAGGGCTTAGGCTTGGGCTTGGGCTTAGGCTAGGGCTTAGGCTTAGGCTGAGGCTGAGACTAAGCTTAATCTTAGGCTTAGGTTTAGGTTTAGGCTTAGGCTACTGTAAACTAAATGCTTGCCAAAAATGCTCATTTATATTGTTCATAACGTGCTCTATGTGCTCTAATGTTTTACAAAAGACCAGTTTCACGCGCTTTTTTCACATTGATTCACATCCTTATGGCATATGTAAACATATTATTTTTAACTTTGAAATTTTAATTTTATGTTTTTAGTGTTTTGTCATAATTACAGTTTTTTTGGAGTTTATTTTAGTAAAAAAATTATTTTTAGTACTAGGGTTAGTATGTATGTATCATCATATCATCATATACGTCAATTTTTAAATATAATATGTGATAAAGTCGTCAAAAGTTAAAAATATGTTTTATATAAACCTACCTTAACCTTCTTTTACAAATTTTAAGCTTTTTTAAAAGTGGTGATTGTTATACGATGAAACATGTCCTGTCATAAAACATGTTTGATCGTATAACATGTCGCTTTTTAAAAAATAACTTTTTTATTTTTAACCAAAGACTATTTAGCCGATATTTTCATAATTTTAAACCTCACCGTTCTTAAAAATCGTTATCGTTCTGTCGTATAATATGTCCCTCCCCATTCGCGCCCTATATAAACCAATCATTTTCCAAACTTAAGCCTAAAATTTAATAAATCTCTAGAATTCTAGGGTGACAAAATGTTCCAGACGCATTTATCTGGATGGAGGATATATTTACTAGTGATCGTGTTCGTACTATTAGCACAATTGTCGAGTTCGGTACCATTACTGATGAACGTCCTCACCAGGCGCAACAATGCTAATGGGCCGCGGGATGACGAGAGCATGCTGGTAGGTTTTGTTATGGAATAATTTTTAAAATTTAAAAATTTTTTGTTTTGTAAAGAAAATTCTTGTCATTTTTTGGTTTTTAAAAAAAGTTTTTGCCATTTTTTGATCTGTAAAGGAAGTTCTTGCCATTTTTTGATTTGTGAAGAAAGTTCTTGCCATTTTTAGTCTTGTAAAAAAAGTTCTTGCCGTTTTTTGTTTTGCAAAGAAAGTTCTTGCCATTTTTTAAGTTGTAAAGAAAGTTCTTGCCATTTTTTGTTTTGTAAAGAAAGTTCTTGCCATTTTTTAAGTTGTAAAGAAAGTTCTTGCCATTTTTTGTTTTGTAAAGAAAGTTCTTGCCATTTTTTGTTTTGTAAAGAAAGTTCTTGCCATTTTTTTCAAAAATTTAAAATTTCAGGACTGGTTCTCAAAACGGTCCATCGACTATTGCGGCTGCAACATGGGCTGCTTCTACCAGTCGGCTTCACAGTGTGCGTCGTGCTGTGCGTTGGGTTTGTGATCTCGTTTTTGTCAGGAAATACAAAAAAACCACCCCCCAATAACGAATTAATTAAAATGCTGTATTTTATTGTTCATTCTAATAAATTTTAAATTGTATTTTTGATTGAAATTTTAAAGTTACTATGCGTTTTATAGTTTTGTAGTTAGTTTGTTTAAGTTCCTGGTCTAATTGTAGCTTGCCATAAGAAAGTGACAAGTTATACGATGAAACGTGTATGACAAAGTTATAACGTGTCACTTATAAAAACAGGTAAAAATAACTAAATTATGAAAGAAAATGACAATCTTACACATTTTATATTCTAATTTTATAAAATTAAAAAAAAGACATGTTATACGATGAAACATGTTTTAAAAATACATGTTTTATCGTATAACCTGTCACTTGTAAAAAATATGTCAAAATGTTTAAACTATGAACAAAACTGACAATATGTAAAGTTTTATTTTCTAAGCTCATAAAAATTTTTACAAACAGACATGATATACGATGAAACGTGTTTTAAAAATACTTTTTTTTTATCGTATAACATGTCACTTATAAAAATATGCAAAGAGTGGCTAAATTATGAAAGAAAATGAAATTCTTTAACGTTTTATATTCTAATGTTCGAAATTTATTACATAAAGACATTTTATACGATGAAACATGTTTGATCGTATAAAATGTCATCAAAAAATTTAAAAAAATTTTATTGTAATGCAACTATAAATTTATTTAAATTATCTAAGTTTAATTCAAAAACCAATTTACCTGACAAGTTTTGATTTGAAGTCTCGGCACGATGTAGGTTTTCAACGTTCCACACTGTCCTTCAATGCTTCGTATTCGCATTTCCATCCTGGTAATGTCGGCTTGGCATCTGTATACCGCTAGAAGTTGGTTTCCTTTCTAAAGTTGTCGGCATAAAATATTATGACATGTTTTATGGCAAAACTAAAAAAAATTTTTTGTTAAAGTTAGGCTTACAGCTGGATCCTTTTCAGTGACTGAAATGACAGCAGAGTTCTTCTCCACGTCCATTAGTTCAACATCTACATCGCTCTGTAACAAACAAAAGGTCATTTAAACAAAAAAAATTGTCAATCATTAGGCGTAAATAAGTCAAACTTACGCTTATAAATCAACTTTAGGCTTAAAAATCAATTTTAGGCTTAAAAATCAATTTTAGGCTTAAAAAAATCAACTTTAAGCTTAAAAATCAATTTTAAGCATATAAATCAAGTTTAGGCTTAAAAAATCAAGTTTAAGCTTAAAAATCAATTTTAGGCTTATAAATCAACATTAGGCTTAAAAAATCAACTTTAGGCTTAAAAATCACTTTAAGACTTAAAAATCACTTTAAGGCTTAAAAAATAAATTCTAGGCTTATATCCAAACTTCAGTTACACAACTAAAACCCAAAGCCAAAAAACATGAAACCAAATTTAAACCTACAACAACATAAATCATTCCCTTACATGTAAAAAGACATATTCAATAGGAACAGCCAACTCCAATGTCAATGTATAACAAGCCAGATACTTGTTCAATGTAAAGCGGTCATTAACGTGAAATGGTGGAGTTGTGTCTACAAATGGTCCTTCCTTATTGTCTTCAGCACCTTTCATTATCATATCATGGTACTTTTCTCTTTCTTCCTTTACTTTTAGCTCTAACTGGTCCAGTTCACTTCTGAAAAAAGTTTGTAAAGAAAGTTCTTTCATTTCGTGTTTTGTAAAGAAAGTTCTTGCAACTTTGAGCTTTGTAAAGAAAGTTCTTGCAATTTTTTGTTTTGTAAATAAAGTTCTTGCCACTTTATGTCTTGTAAAAAAAGTTCTTGCAATTTTAAGTTTTGTAAAGGAATTTCTTGCTATTTCAACAACTTACTGCATTTTCTGGACCTTAACTTGTAGAGAGGGTGTGTTATCAGTACTAATCTTCTTATCTTTAGAGGTTTTTGCATTATAATGTTCAGTACTCAAACCGAACACCCAGCCAGTATACGTACTAACGATAATTTCATCGTAGTTACCTTCATCAACATGTATGCATTCTAGGCTTGTGATTGACTCGTTACAATTCTGAAAATATTTTTTATACGTTTACTAGGCTTAAAAATCTATTTTAGGTCCAAAAATCAAGTTTAAGCTTAAAAAATCGGTTTTGGGCTGAAAAACTCAATTTTAGGCTTAAAAACCAATTTTAGGCTTAAAATCAATTTTAGGCTTAAAAACTCAATTTTAAGCTTAAAAAATCAATTTTAAGCTTATAAAATCAAATTTAGGCTTAAAAAATCAACTTTAAGCTTAAAAAATCAATTTCAGAATTAAAAATCAACTTTAGGCTTAAAAAATCAATTTTAGGCTTAAAGACCAATTTTAGGCTTAAAAAATAGATTTTAAAATTAAAAATAAATTTTAGGCTTAAGAACTCAATTTTAAGCTTAAAAAATCAATTTTAGGCTTAGAACTCCATTTTAGGCTTAAAAATCAACTTTAGGCTTATAAATTAAATTTTAAGTTAAAAAAATCAATTTTAGGCTTAAGCAATCAATATTAAGCTGAAAAACAAACTTTAAGCCTAAAAAACCTACATAACTTTGTTGATAGCTAGCAAAATCGTTTTCATTGACCGTGTAGATGTCAATAACACCATCATCTTTCCCGATAACAATGTCCGGATAGGTGTTCTCAGTCAGTTTATGACAGTATATAGCAGTGATAGCAGCAGCAGAAGAGGTTGCCATTTCCCATAATATACCACCACTCTTTTCTCCCAGGTCCAGCAGTCCTAGACGACCATTTCTAGTACCATATAGTACTTTTTGCTTCGTGAACCCACCATCATTCATGAATAGGTGCATCGTTGATGGTATGTCGCCGAGGATTACTTCGTACTGTAGCTGGAGGTTTTGGAGGACCTGAGAGATACTGTAGTATTGGGTACGGTAGAATAGTATGAGTAGGGTAGGGTAGGGTAGAGTAGGGTAGGGTAGGGTAGGGTAGGGTAGGGTAGGGTAGGGTAGGGTAGGGTAGGGTAGGGTAGGGTACGGTAGGGTAGGGTAGGGTAGGGTAGGGTACATACCTTGATAGTTTTGTCTTCGCAAGCGACGAGTGGTGTTACTCCTCGACCCACCCATCCGCCTCCAATGGTCGATAAACATATTATGTCAGTTATCTTGTCCGTGCACATGAAATTCTAGAAAAATTATTTTTTTGACTAAAATGGCAAGAACTTTCTTTACAAGGCAAAAAAATGGCAAAAACTTTCTTTACAAAACAAAAAATAGCGAAAACTTTCTTTACAGAACAAAAAATGGCAAAAACTTTCTTTACAAAACAAATAAATTACAAAATTTTGTCAAGTTTATGTTTACTATAGTACATAATTTATAACTTACAGCTTTTTCAACACAATCATGGTACTGATATACTGTATTTCTTCCCGCCAGAAACAAGTCAACGCCATAGACATACCTATAACAATATTTGGCTTTACTTATTAGGTGCCGACATAAAGAACCCGCCATTTTTTACAAGAAATTACAAGAAAAGTATGGCGGGTTCTTTATGTCGGCACCTAATATTAAAAAAATTTTTAAATTTAAAAATTTTTTAAATTTAAAATAAAAAAAAAATTAAATTTCAAAATTTTAAACCCACATTGCTGAGATCATTTCGGCCATGTTGCTTTCAAACGACAAGAATTGCTTGCCTTTCTTCGAATACCCCCGGACCGTTTCACCAGAAGCAGCAAAGATCTTGTCCTGAATTGTCTGTAAAGCACCGCCTAGTCTAACAAATGTGATGGGTGGGCCTGGATTGGTCTTGAATATTATCTAAAATCAAAATTGTAAAAGTTTGTGACTAAAAGTACTGTAATTGTGTATAAAGTACAGTAATATAAAAGTTGGCTTGATGTACTTACCTTGGTTTCATCTGTTTTCCGTTCCAATGACAGTAGTACTCCACTGTTGGCTCCGACCACTATCTGAAAGTAGCTAAGCCAAATAGAGTATGAGTTACTACGCCTAAAATGCGTCGTGCTAAGCCAAAAATATATGTAACTAAGCCTAAACTGCGTGCTGCTAAGCCTAAAATATGTTCTACTAAGCCTAAGATGTGTGCTGCTAAGCCTAAAAGAGTTAAGCCTAAAGTATTTGCTGCTAAGCCTAAAAAGTGTGCTACTAAGCCTAAAATGAGTGCTGTTAAACCTAAGATTATGTGCTGTTAAGCCTAACTTTGTGCTGCTCAGCCTAAAACGTGTGATGCTAAACCTAAAATGTGTGCTGCTAAGCCTAAAATATGTGCTGCTATGCCTAAAACGTGTGATGCTAAACCTAAAATGTGTGCTGCTAAGCCTAAAATGTGTGCTGCTAAGCCTAAAATTCTGTATTTCTAAGCCTAAAATGTGTGCTACTAAGCCTAAAATGTGTGCTGCTAAGCCTACAATGTGTGATGCCAAACCTAAAATGTGTGCTGCTAAGCCTAAAATGTGTGCTGTTAAGCCTAAAATTCTGTATTTCTAAGCCTAAAATGTGTGCTGCTAAGCCTAAAATGTGTGCTGCTAAGCCTACAATGTGTGATGCCAAACCTAAAATGTGTGCTGCTAAGCCTAAAATGTGTGCTGCTAAGCCTAAAATTCTGTATTTCTAAGCCTAAAACATGTGTAGCTAAGCCGAAAACTAACTCTGTGTCTCAAGCCTAATCTTCTATCATTAACCACAATTTTAAGCCTAACAGCACGTATAAATAAGAAAATATAATATAACATAATACTTACACGATATTTTGACTGTCCACCAGACTTCTTCTTTGGAGTGCTACTACCACTTTTGTCAGCGTGAATTATCCTCATACATCCTCGACTGGTCGTACCCACTTGAGCGTAGTCTACTCGTTGTAACTTTACGTTCACCAGCATTGTTTGTTACCTAAAATTATAATTTTTAAAACAAAATAAGACAAGCTTTATGTTTTTAAGTTAGTATACTATTCTTCATTAGTTTAGAGCAATATTAATGCAAAAAAATTATTTTTAATTGCCCGAAGGTTGAAAAACCTGCAAATCTCCTATTTTTAGGTAACAAAAGTAACAAAAAAGTTTTTCAAACCAATCAATACACTAAAAATTTATAAAAATCTTGATAAAAATGCTCTAAAATTAATTTCAAAAAAATGAAATTCTCTGTTGAAACAATCAAAAAATATTTTTCTATTACCATGGATACCACCTCAAATATCTTTTTTGCACAAAAATATTTTTTTTTAATTTTCTAAAAATTAAACATTATATATCTTTAAAAAACATAATTTGGCTGTAAAAACATTATATTAACAATTTTTATCACAATCCAAAAACTAAAAATAATTTTTTTACAATCCGCGTATAAAATGGTTCTGTCCGACCTGCGCCCTTTACTGTTGCTATTAGATGCCGACATAAAGAACCCGCCATACTTTTTCTGTGATTTACTGTAAGAAACCCTACCCTACCCTACCGTACCCTATCCTACCCTATCCTACCCTACCCTACCCTACTCTACCCTACCCTACCCTACCCTACCCTATCCTACCCGTCCCTAACCTACCCTGCCCTATTATACTCTACCCTGCTCTACTATACCCTACCCTACTCTACCCTATTCTACCCCGACTTGACCTGACTTTACCCAAGTCCTTGCTCTTACCCTTAACCATACCCATGCCCTTACATTCATCCATGCCCATACAAATACCGTTGCATGTATTTATACCTATTTTCATACTCATAGTCTACCCTACTCTACCTTACTGTTTTCTATCTTACTGTTTGTATCCTAATGTATGCTCAACAGTAACCGTAATCATGCCTTATCGTAGCCTTGATTCTTTCTTGATCTAGATGTCTCCTTGCTGTACTCTAGCCTTTATATGTTTTATTAGGTGCCGACCAGGGCCGGGCGCGAGGGGGGGGACGGGGGGGGTACCCCCCTTAGAAAAAAATTTTTGAAAAAAAAGTTGAACGTGGTCCCCTCTGTGGATTTTTGGAAAAAAAAATTTTGCAAAAAATCAGGTAGCTACCTGTGCTGAATTTGGACCCCTGCCCCCAGACCAAAAGTCCCCGCCCGGCCCTGGTGCCGACATAAAAAACCCGCCATACTTTTCCTGTAATTTCTTGTAAAAAATGACGGGTTCTTTATGTCGGCACTCATCATTTTTTGAGTTCTTACATTTTGTTACCTAAAATTTTTTAATCTGTAAACTTTTCAAATTTTCAACTTTTTTTCAAATCTTTTACTCTTCTGGCACAATGTTTGTTTTGATATATTGTGTGTAGTTAAATCTACCCCCCACACGAGGAGGAAGCGAATAATTTGAACGAAAAACAAATAATTTGTTTTTCGCACCGCCTCCTGAAAAACGTGGTGGGTGGTCTTTTCGCACTGTGCTTAATGTGCGAAGGAGGGATGGGAACTGTGTTATTAATGTACGGTTTTTTAGCTTCTTTCTGAACTTCTTAATTAATTTTTTTTCAAATTTTTTTTTTATTTTTAATTTTTTAAAATTAAAAAAATTTTTTAAAACTTTAGAATTTTTTTAATTTTTGAATTTTTTTTATTTTGCACTGTCGTGATTAATGATTAGATCTGTTTTTGCTCTTAGAGTCTAAAAAGTTCATCTTTTTTGTTTTTTATACATAATAAAGACATGTGGTTTTAATGAAAAAAATAAATGAAACAAATGAAGGGTTTGCAATAAGTAATGGGTTGGTTATGACTGTAGGTATGACTTTTAGATAACTTTTAAAAAGTAGATGCAAGCGCCTTAATTTTAAGTTTACAACGTGCAGGAAAGACGGTAAAGAGAAATGATGGGTGGTCAAACAGTTTTGTTTAGAGTAGGGTAAGGTAGGGAAGGACAAGGTAGGGAAGAATGCAGCAAAGTAGAGTCATGTACAGTAGGGTATGGTATAGTAGGTAAGGTAGGGAAGTTAGGATAATGTAGGGTAAACTAGGGAACAGCAAAGTAGACTAGGATACAGCACAGTAGGATACGGGAAAGTATGATAAAGTAAGACAAATTAGGGTAAGGCAGATTAGGGTATCGCAGATGTAGGGTAGGTTAGTTTTCTTACCGTAAAACGGGCACTATAAGATAAAGTACAGTAGGACAAGACTAGTATTGCGGATTAGGGCTGGTATAGGAAAAGGTACGGTGGATAGGGTAAGGTAGGGTAGAGTAAGGTAGAGTAGGGTAGGGTAGGGTAGGGTAGGGTAGTTTAAACCTCATTTTTCTTGAGTACGATAGCTTATCGAACCCCACTTTTGTTTACTTTTGTTCTTTATCTTTACCCTCCCCCCCCCTCCCCTCCCCCTGCCCATATACTCCTGCAATTCCAAGCTAAAAACCCTAATTTACAGTACGAAAAGCGGGGTCGAGATTTGCGGCTTCAAGACGTTTCGAAGCCGAGAGGAGATTAAGGCCGTTCATGGTGGTCTCTTCCCTGCCCACCGCATAAAAACCGAATATTATGGTTTTGGCAAGTAATTTTTATTAACGTCTTAGGGAATCAAGATATACGACGTGTTTCGTGCTGGATTCCCATTCTCTACTTTGAGGTAGGCATTATTTTATAGTAGGTGGGGTTTTTGAAAAAAAGTAAAATAAATTTTTTTAATTTTTGAAAACGTTGTAATAATCGTGGAGGAGGGGGGGGTAACTTTCAAGTTCAGCCCTGCCCGATTTGAGTTTTGTTCAAGCCCGGTCTGGCCCAAATTTTTTTTGAAACGGGCCGGGATTTTCAAGCCCGGCCTGGCTTTTCGGTATTTTCAGGCCCGGACCAACTTAAATTTTGTGTAGGCCCGGCCCGGCTTAATTTTTTTACGTGGAAACGGGCCGGGCTGGCTTTTTCAAGATTTTCAGGCCCGGACCGACCTAAACTTTGCTCAGGCTTGGCCCGTTCACGATGTCTATTTTTAGAAAGAGGTTATGAGTTTACGTAAAGTGGGACCTCCTTATAAGGAACCTCTATATAACAAAACTCCTGTGTACCGAACAACTTTGGAATCCCCGGCTATTATTACACAATGTGTTTTAAACCTTTGTACAGTAAACCTTTGTATATAAGCAAACCGCAGGGACCGACATTTTGTGTTTACTATAAGGGGTGTTGTCTTTACAGATTCACTATATAAAAAGACCCCTTTATAACAAAATCTGCTTATAACAAACAAGCTGTAATTTCAATAGCGATTTATTACACAGAAGTTCCACTGTAAATCCAAATAGTGTAAAAAATTTTGTAACAGAACTTTTGGCGCACCTTGTATTAAGAAAGCTTTTTAAATCTTAAGCCTAAAGCACCTATCACCTCAACTTCCTTCAAACCCCATAAGCCAAAAGAAATCGAATAAAATTCGAAAATTTTTTCATACGCCATTTACCGAGCACATAATAAATATACATACGTATAATTTTGCAAATCGGCGGGGGGAAAATACCTCAGAGACCGCACAGAGCGATCAGATGGGGGGTTTTGTTTTCCGACCACCCCCATCGAACTGCCGGTTGTCGCCATTCAAAATTGTTTTTTCGTCGTTCTGTTTTTCGAAAAATTTTTGATGGCAGTTTCAGATTCCTACAGTAATGCTTTTTTTTCGGGTTTTGTGGTTTGCTTTTATTTATAAAACAAGCAGGGGGGGGAGTTGTGAAGAAAAAAGATAGGGCCTACCTTACCCTACATGAATAGAAAGAAAGGCTGTAAGATATTATAGGTATAATACATTGTCTGTTAAGCCTAAAACTGTGTGCTAAGACTAAAGTTAAATTTTAAGCCTAAAAGTATCTTATAAACTCAAAAGTGTGTAACGCTAAGCCTAATATCTTGTTCTAAGCCTAAAAGCTGAGTTGCTAAGCCAAAAATGTGTGCTGCTAAGCCAAAAATGTGTGCTGCTAAGCTTAAAATGTGTACTGCTAAGCCTAAAATGTGTGCTGCTAAGCCTAAAACTATGTGCTGCTAAGCTTAAAAATGTGTGCTGCTAAGCCCAAAGTTCTGCTAAGCCTAAAAAGCGTGCTGTTAAGCTTAAAACGTGTGCTGTTAAGCCTAAAATGTGTGCTGCTAAGCCTAAAGATGTTAAATTGCATGCTAAGCCTAAACTCGTCTACTAACCCTACAATTCTCAGTTAAACCTAAAATTCTGTGTTGTTAAACTTAAAATTTTTGTTTAAGCCTAATGTGTGTTATGCTAAAACAAAAATTGTGTAAAAAAGCTAAAATTCTCTATTAAGGCTAAAATAGTGCGTTAAGCCTTAATCTTCTGTTATGCCCAGAATTTTTTGTTGTTAAGCCTAAAAGTGTGTTCTAAGCCTTCATTGTCTCTGATGCTCAAAATTTTTTGTTGCTAAGCCTGAAGTTTTGGGCTAAGGCTTAAGCTTCTATTATATCCAACTTTTTCCATTCATAAGCCTAAAATTGTTTTTCATACCTAAAAAGGTGAGTTTAGGTTTCCTACACTTTCATCTTTTCACAATTCTCGATTTAAGCCTACAAATTGCCAACGAAACACAAAGCCGGACCGATGGGGCGAATTACTTTGAGCTCATTATGTCTTTTTCTGGCTAATGACCAAAATTAAAACCCTTTGGAGGTCTTTTTTCATTTTTATTGAATCGCCGCTGATGCGCAGATGTAAAATAAGAGCGACTATTAAAAGCGATTGTGTGGTCCTACAATGCACCGGTAATAACCAAATTGATTGTTATTTAATGGGCCTTATACTGTAGATAGTTAAAGTGGGAAAAGGCTGGAAGAGGGGGGGGGGAAGTATTGGAGTTAGAGAGAAGGGGAGGAAGGGGTTTAACTTACAGTAAAAAGCTTAGAAACTAAATGTTTTAAAATTTTTTAGCCTACTGCCAACTTTCAGCTTTGTGGATTACTGTAATCAATAGGCTCTGTATGATCACCTCCACTGTAGCCCGATTCTATCCATACCCTAGCCCTACTCTCGTCCTACCCTATTCTTATACTAGCCTTACCCTAGCCCTAGTTTAGTCCTGCCCCAGCCCCACCACAGCCCTACTTCAGCCCTACTCCAGCCCTACCCTAGCCCTCCCCTAAACCTAACCTAATCTTACTATAGCCCTATTCTAGCCCTTCTGAGGCCTTAATTTATCTTTAGGTTAGCCCTAGCCTAATCGTACCATAGACCTTTCATAGACTTACCTTAGATCTATACGAACTTTACTGTAGCTTTACTCTAGCCCATCCCTATCCCTTCTTTAGCCTTACCTTAAACCTACACTGGCTCTATCTTAGCCCTACTTTAGCCAAAACTTTGCCCTACCCTAGACAAACCTTAGACCTACCCTAATCTAACTCCAAACCCTACTCTAGCCCTACCCTAGTCAAACCTTCGTCCTACTCTAACTCTACCTTAGCCCTAATCTAGTCCAACTCTAGTTATAGCTCAGCTCTACTCTAATCGTACCATAACACAATTCTTTCTTTACATAATTTTACCCTAACTTCTATTTTGACCCAACTGTATCTCCAATACCGCATCATCCCGCCACCTAAACTCAATACAGTATTCTCAGTCTACATCTTCCTAACATAAATTATTTATAAAAAATTAGAAAGTCAGCTGTTTTAATTCATTTGTTTTTCACATTTTTTTGTCTTTTTTTCGAATAATTTAAAAGTGCATGTTTATAAAAAAATTCTAAAAAAAGTTAGAAAAGGAAGAAGACATTTTAAAAATAACTTTGGACAAAGAACAAATTCATTTCGGAAAAATATGCTTTAGGGTATGTAGTTTGTTTTTAAAAGTAGCGGGGTTGAGTAAAATGGTCTGGGTAAGAGTAAGAGTAAGAGTAAGGGTAAGGGTAAGGGTAAGGCTAAAGGCTAAAGGCTAAAGGCTAAAGGCTAAAGGCTAAAGGCTAAAGGCTAAAGGCTAAAGGCTAAAGGCTAAAGGCTAAAGGCTAAAGGCTAAAGGCTAAAGGCTAAAGGCTAAAGGCTAAAGGCTAAAGGCTAAAGGCTAAAGGCTAAAGGCTAAAGGCTAAAGGCTAAAGGCTAAAGGCTAAAGGCTAAAGGCTAAAGGCTAAAGGCTAAAGGCTAAAGGCTAAAGGCTAAAGGCTAAAGGCTAAAGGCTAAAGGCTAAAGGCTAAAGGCTAAAGGCTAAAGGCTAAAGGCTAAAGGCTAAGGCTAAAAACCTTACGTGACAAGTCTACAAGCTTTGTGAATCAGCATATTTCGCGTCATTAACTAGGCTTTTTGTAGTTGAAACAGCAAGTGTGGTCATCCGAAATGTACAATAAATTTTAAAACTGATCGGTCTGCCTTATCATAAATTTTAATTTGCAGAAATGATTGTAAAACGTGTAATTAGAGAGCGCGAGTTTTAATTATCAATTTGTTTTAGTTGATCTTTGATGTTTTGGGTGGATAGTGAGGTGATTATTTAGCGAGGGTGGGTGAAAGTTTTACGTAAAAAAGCAGGGGGGACATGTTTGGGAGTGTAGAACCAATTTTTAGGTAAAATGAGGGATGAGGGAGGAGACAAATTTAGACATGAGGAACGGGTCAGGCCCAATTTTTACACCCGGCCCGATCAAAATTTAGCTCAGGCCGGCACGCCCCTCATGTCTAGTAGAATAGGATAAGGTAGAGTAGGGTATTGTAGGATAGGGTAGGATAGGTCAGGGTAGAGTAGGGTAGGGTAGGTTAGGATAGGTTAGGGTAGGGTAGGGTACTGTAGGATAAGGTTGGGTAGGGTAAAGTAGGGTATGGTAGGATACAGTAGGGTAGGGTATTAACAAAAAAGCTACTGTAGAACTAATCTTTGATAAAGAAAAATCGTCTGGCTCATTAATAATACAGAAGGTCGGGTAAAGCTTGTGTGGTATACTGAAATAGCGCAATTTGTTATGCCAGCCGTTTTACGACAAAATTTTGGTTTTTGTAGTTTCTTCTGGTAGTTTGAGGCTCCTTTTTTATCAAAATAAACCTATTTTCATTAGCTAATAAACCAGATGAATAGTTAATATCAATAAACGATAAATCAAGTGTATTTTTGCGTCAAAGGACCTCCCATTCTGCTACAGTTTTTATGACCTTTTATCAAAATACAGTAAAAGCCATGATACTTGTGTGTTTTGTAACAATGCCAATTTTAATCCGATTTCTTAAGATAATGTTTTAATGTCCTAAGGGTACAAAACGGAAATTATTGTTATTTTTGGCTGTATAAACACTTTGCCATTTTAAGTTTTGTAAAGAAAGTTCTTGCCATTTTCTGTTTTGTAAAGAAAGTTCTTGCCTTTTTTTTGTTTTGTAAAGAAAGTTCTTGACATTTTTTGTTGTGTAAAGAAAGTTCTTGCAATTTTCTGCTTTGTCAATAAAGTTCTTGCCATTTTCTGTTTTGTAAAGAAAGTTCTTGCCATTTTTTGTTTTGTTTTTTAAATCCCACACAATTTTCAAGCTGTAAAAACATAGTTAAAAGGTCAATATATCACTTTTTGTTGACACTTAATTTAATTCCAAAACGTCTGACAAACAAACAATTTTTGTTTGATTTAGTAAAATGATACGTCAACGTTCCGGATTTTCAAATTTATAGCGCGCTTTAAATCAATGTGCTCTTATTTATCCTATTTTATTTTAGATTGCCCTTCCCTACCCTACCCTACTCTACCCTTCCCTACCATACCCAACTTTACTCTACCATACCCTACCCTTCTCTACCCTACAATACCCTATCATATCCTGTTTGTCCCTATCCTGTTCTACCTAAAACTGTGTACTAATGTAAGCCTAAAGTTATCAAGTGCAAAGCCTAAGTCTGTCCTAAGCCTAAATTACATGCTGTTAAACCTAAAATTATTTCCTAAGCCTAGAATTACGTGCTGAACCAAAAAATTCTATGTTAAGCCTAAAAATTTGCTATACCACCCTTCCTTATCTTTATAAAGTGTATTTTTTTTTAAATTTTAATTTTTCTTTAGATTTTTCCATTTTATTACCTAAAAGTTGATGGCAAATTGTAATTTTATTACCTAAAACAATAATTTGACATCCAACTCTGACCTTTTAAAATTTTTTCCAACCAAACTTCGCGCCATTTTTGTTTACATTTCAATTCGAAAATATCCGCCGGCTTTTCGACCACCCACAACGCATCAGTCAGTCCGTTAAGCGGAAAACAACCCAGCCTTTTCAGGGACACAACTTGATGTATTCAAGACAACTTGTCATGTACAACGTCAAAATAAATAGAAAAAACGTATTGACTCGAAAATTTTGATAGAATTCAGTGTGAGAGAAGTGTTGTTTTTTTTATTACCTAAAATACAGAGGAAAATTTGGTTTTAGGCTGAAAAATTAGTTTTAGAGCGATTTTAGGTAACAAATTATTCGAAATGAGCCTGAAAAGCAAAAATGTATAAAAATTTGGAAAAAGGACTTGGAGCAACAAAAAAATTTAAGCCTAGCTCTATTATGTAAAGACGTTCTTCCAAACAACTATAAGATGTTCTCCTTATTGCCATGGATACCACCTTCACCACCTTTCAATCTTTATCTATCTAAAACATATTTTTTCAATTTTTTTATTTAAATTAACACTACCTCACCTAAAACCACTTCCTAAACGTACCACAAACTTGGCAAGCCATTTTTCCAAAAGCGACAGCTTTCATTTACGTTTTCTTCGTACAAGATGTTTCTTCGCGAGCTGCGACCCAAATTATGTTGCGATTTGGCCGAAAAAAGAAAAAAAGACAAAAAGAAACTTTATTTTACACTTTGTTTATCATTTTGTTTACTACTTTGATTAAAAGTTTAATAGGTTGACAGCTTTTACAGCTTTTGCTATTATTTTGAACAAATAAAACTTTTTAGCTCCAAATAATATTGTTTTAGATGGTTTAGAGGTTTGTTTTTGGTGTTAAGTTTTATTTTTTGATGCTACATTAATATGTTTTTGATATAATTGACGCGCGAGGATGTATTTTTATGTTTTCTGTGGTGTTTTATGAACCTTTCGATTAAATGTAATTGATAATATTGTTTTAGATGGCGCAGATAATGAATGGGGTGGATATGAACATGGTGAACGATGGAGTATGTTTTTCAAGTTTTGTTTTTAAATTTTAGGTTTTTTACAAGCTTGAAGGCGGAAAGGGAAGCCTAAATTAAATTTTAAATTTCCAAAACTTTATTTACAAACCAAAAATGGAAAGAACTTTCTTTCTAATTCAAAAAGTGGCAATAACTTTCTTTCCATAGTATATAATTTCAAAAACTTTGTTCACAAAGACAAGTTGTTTTTTAGTAACACTAAATTATATTGCAGTACAACGATTTCACTGAGATGCAGACGGATTTTGGGTATTCGAACATGGCCATGCCGATTGGATTCACGGAAATGGCTTGTATGAGCTTTGATCATAGAGAGAACTTGTTATGGATTGTTGATGCTAGTGTAGGTTGCGTTTTTATGTGTTTTTTCAATTTTAGGTATGTTTGAAGGAATTTATGGTTTATAAATGAGTAAGCGAAGGAGGTAATGGTTGATACCTAAATAAAATCTTTTGATGTTAAGCGTGGCTTTTATCAAAAACACTTTATTTATAATGTAGAAAAACGTTTTCTGTTTGTTGTCTTACAGAAATTGATGAAAAAACGTTGTTTGATGTAAAAAAGCTACTTTTTCGGAGTTAGCCATGGTTAATATGAAGAAAAACTAAGGATTTGATTGATTTCAGGGCCACGTAGTATCGTATTACCGGACAGCTTTACAACTGTACAGCCGGTTCTTTTGGCCATTAGATAAGCACGATACAGATGCTCATACTATCGTTCCAACAGCTGAACATGTTATTATAGTTGGTAAATCAACTGTTGCCGCGTTTACACGAGGCGGAGTGCCTGTTTATTTTTATAGGTAATATTATATTACAAGTTGTATGCTTTTGTGATTTTCAATTCTTTTTACTATAAAAAGTATTTGAATTTATGCTTACAAACTATTTTTAGGTCAGAAAACCTGTCAGACCTATGCTGCGCTCATTGGGACCCGTATACGAACTTATTGTTCTTAGGAGGACTTCAAGATACGATGATAGTGTTTGATATTGAAGTGCGATCAGAACGGAACATTATCAAGTTGAAAGAGCAATCATCTACGATTATTAGGACGACGGAACGATATCTTGTGTCCGCTAGCGATGATGGAAAGGTAAGTTTGCTTATGTTTTAGGTAACAAATATCACGAAAAGTCAAAAATTTTCTGGCAGTATTGATAATGGAAAAAACGTATTTTACAATGTTAAAAAAGACAAGAACTTTCTTTACAAGCTAATAAATGGCGATAATTTTTGCTATGTTAACAATATTGTTGTAGATAACAGTCCGATCCAAAGATCTCATGAAGTACAACTTGATCGCTCAAACTCAAGCACATTCAGGCAAGGTAATCGACTTTGATGTACATGGAACATATTTGGTTTGTTGTGGAATGTCACAGAAGTCCAATGGGTAAGACTTGGGTTTTTACTTGTATTTTAGGTAACAATGTGCATTTTTCAAAATTTTTATTAAAGTTATAGAATTTTGGCTAATTTTTTACATGTACCATTTTTTAGAACGCTAGTATACGACAACTTTTTAAAAGTGTACGACGTTCGAAACCTAACTCCACAAGTGCCTATACCATTCAATAGACACCCAAACATATGCAAATTTATTGGAATCGACTCGTTGAACGAGGAGAAAGTTGTGGTTACCTCTGGAGTAAGTTTATGTCTCAAAAAGAAATTTTTTTTGACGTTTTTTGTCTGTAATTGAAGTTTTTGCTATTTTGAAGTTTGTAAAGAAAGTTACTGCTATTATGAGTTTTGTAAAAAAGTTTTTGCCATTTTAATCTATAAGGAGACTTTTGTTTTAGGCAACATTATTCTTGGTAGACATCTTGGAAAACAAACTAAACTTCCTTGGTACATTACACATGCCAGCATCCCATCTCTGTGCGTCTGATTCACATCAAGCGATTGCTGTGGGAATCGGAGATTGTAAGTTGTTCATAGTTTGTGATGATTTTTTTAAGGAGAATAGCTGTTTAGGCTTGGATTTGTTATTTTTGGGCTTATCTTAGTTATTTTTTAGGCTTATTTTTGTTAAGTTTGACTTAAAATTGGGATTTCAGGTCCATCTATGGTACAACTGTTCTGGACAGATGACGAAGATCCTCCTTTTTCATTATGTGATATTGATCCGATTTTTCCTATTGAGGTAAGGATTAGGCAATAAAAAAGGGTAAATTTTATATGATTGGCAGCTTTAAAATTGAAAATTTTGAATTTAAAAAATTTTTTTTGATTTTAAAAAAAATATTTTTTTTGGATTTTTTAAATTTTTTTTTGATAAATTTCAATTTTTCAGGAAGATAAAGACATGCCAATACCATATGACGCCCCTACCCCGTTAGCAACATTCCCCTTGAGGTATTGTCCTGGAATGGACTATTGTTCGGATAGGTGGCCTGACGTGCTCATGAGGCGGAGATATTTGTAGGTTTTGATTTTTTAAAGTATTTTTTTTTATTTTTTGAAAAAGTCCCCCTCTTCGTCTATAAAACATAAAATCCGGTAAAATTGGAACAGGACTACCTAAAACAACAAAAATTTAAAAAAAAATTAATTTATTCAAAATATCAATCTAAACAAACTCTCGGTCCTTGACCATAACCTGACATTCGTCTTGGTTCATAAATCGACCAGACAACAATTTTGTCCGTCCTAATATAGGCACGGAATAGCGAGGGCTTTTCCCATCACGTTGTTGTTGCTCTTTTTGATTGAAAGACGAACGTTCCAGCGGTTTTTCCGGCAATTCACCGCAGATTTTGCAAAATTGAGTGATCTTTTGAAGAAATCCGTAGAGTTTCGGAAGTTTGCTTGATAATATACGCTGAAATTTTGATGTTTTAGATGGTATTTTTCTTTTTCGGATTAAAAAAATAGTTTTTGATGTTATTAATGGCTGTAAAATTAGATTTTGCTTACAAAAAGTATGCTTACCTGCAGATTCCTTCTAAAGTGAGCACTCCACATGCAAAACAAGAACAAATTCATAGTCTTGCCAGCAGCCACAAGCGAATTAGACAAAGTTGCGGCCAATTTAAACGCAGGATAGATACCAATATAAGGCCAACAAATCTCCACAATATGCACGAGAGCCGACGGCGTCTGTGAGATAGTAAAAGTACTAGCTATAATGAACACAATCAATGTGGCACGACGTTGATTCCGAGTGTGAGAGGTGCCGGTCGAGGATTTGTGTTCCACTTTCTTGTCTTTCGGGGTTTCTGGTACTGTTCGTTGTGTTTCTGGTTCCGCCTGGTACTCGTGGGCTGGGATTTGACGAGAGTTGTGTATTGTGACATAGTGCCGTTCGTCTGAAGGTTGATGTTGTACATGGCGTTCGGGCAGGGACATTGTGCAGTTAATGTCATCATGCTTTGGATGGACTGTTCCGTTTTTGTAGTGAACTGCGTTTGAAGTTGCTATACCATTGATCTTACTCTCGGTACTAGCTTTGTGCCTCAAAATGTCATCAACTTTGTTTACACCATTTGAGGTATTGTCAAGGTTACTTGGTAACCCATTGGTATTGTGAAAGTTGTTGGCAGTACCATTTGCAGCACATTGCGGATTATTTACAGCACCATCTGAATTTTTATGCCCATTACCTACAGTATGAACACTATTAGCTTTGTATACCGTTCCATTTTCCATAGTAGCTTTTCGGCTCGACACAACATTGTTTTCAATGTCAATAGAGCCATTATGATTCAAATTATTAGCCGTAGTAGTAGTTGTATTCACATTGTACTGACAGTTTCTCGAGTTCTTCCTGGATACTGACCCATGTCGATCTACAGAGCTGACACTGTGCATAGAATCAGCACTCTTTTTCGAGCGTACCTTCTCATACCCGTAGTTTAAGATCGTATTGTTTTGAGCACGAAGCGCACAAAAAACTAACGAATTTGTGACGATTACAATAACTACCGGCACAAACACTATAAACACAGCTGTAGCTATCGTAGAGATACGCCAGTACGACTCCATCTCGGGCCGTAGCATTGATCGTAGCACTTTACGTTGAACTACACGCACTGTGTCATTGTTTTCAAGGCGTACTGTGTTGTTGTTGGGATCAACTTGAGTGGAGGAGATGTTGGTAGGGTAGAAGGTTTCGTTTTTATGGTAGATTTTGACTTCATAAGTAATATGTGAGTGCATTGTGATGAAGAATGATGTGGTTATGAGAATTGTGACAAGAATTTTGAGGGTTTTGTACGTCCAAAATGAACGTGCACGTAGTGGAAACATTACTGCTGTCATTCGTTCAACACTTACTAGTACGATCGTCCTAAAGTTTTTATTACAATAAGTTTGAAAGTTGCATGATTAAGCTATTTTTAAAAAGTTTTGAATGATTTTGTCAACACTTTAAGCCAAATTTTGCAAGAAATTTTAAAAATATTATGGTACTTTTTAAAATTTTGAGTAAATTTTTGTGATTACTGACAGTACCAAGAAAAACCATACTTACCATGCGCTAATAAATGACAACATGTTTATGATACCGGAAATATGGGGTGAGGCGTAAACAAAGAAGCGCCTCAAATTCGCATAGTTTCGCATTAGATCCTGGTGGTAAATAAGCGAATGCACCATCATAAACACCAAGAAAAATATATCGGCCAAAGCCATAACTGACAACAGCGCATTGGTTTTTGATCTCATACGCCTGCAATTAAGGGTTATTAGGCTTGTATTGGAAGCTGCATATTAGGGTATGAGTCTTAAGCAACCACTACAACACTTGAGTCGACCACAACATGTCAAATCAACCCAAAGACAACTTACTTATCCAACAGCACCAAAAGATTGATCGCATTCCCCACCACACCGATAAAAAACAAGACCGGAAAGATGTAGACCATCAGTATAACATCCACCGACATGTTTCATGAATCTGAAATTAAAGACGGCACTTACAACACGGTCTGAGTATAATTATAATTTCACGATTCTTCAATATTTGAAACATGTGGCCGCGGGTTAATTGGCAAAAACGTGAAGCAAGCAAAACAGTCTGTCAATATGATATTAGAATGGTAATTCGTCATTATTTAACGCGCGCAAATGAAGTAAAAACAAATTTAACTAATCCAAACTGAACCCCCCACATCAACCTATAATACACGCCAAAAACAGTACGAAGTAAAATTTAATTATGCACACAATCCACTCAAATTGCCCAAGAATAATGCACGAATTAAAGTGTACTTCGTAATTCTTTGACCCATCGCGAAATTTTCTCCTCGTCTGAAACCAATAAGGTAATTAAGAATCGCCGTTTGTGGCCGTTTTTTCGAAACGTTGGCAGCTTTTTAGGCCGATGGCGGAAGTTAAAAATAGCCAAGCGTTTGTGTCATAGTTGTCGGTAACTTTTTATGGTAGACGTAGATGTAAAACAATGATAAAATAGGAAATTTTATACTTTGAGGATAAAAAAAGGGGAAAAGGCAGTATTTTGTTCATGATAATAGAGCACTACCGTAATCTCAAATACAAGCTAAGAAAAGATTTGTGTTTCAAATACTCAAACAGACAAAACTTGTACAAATTGTAATTTGTACTTAAAACGAAAAGCAACACTTTACACAAAGAAAAGTTTCAAAAAGACATATTACACTTGACACAGATTAAAATAGGTAACAATTTGCACCTAATATAAGATAAAAGCGTTTTTTGTGACAAAACCCCTCTTTACCCAACTTCTGAATTCACGCAAAAAGCCCGGCCGACCGTTTTTAATACTCAAAACGGTTTTTATTCGATTATAATGCATGATATGTCGCGGCAAACTCTTGATTTTTAATTGCATTGAAAAAAAAGTTTGCATACATGGTTTTGGTCGAAAAATCAATGGAAAATCCAACAGGTGAAATTGGGCTATTGCACAAAAGTTGTTTTGTTCTGATTTTTGGTATGAATTAGCTAGGAATTTAACAATATTAGCGACATATGAATCCAATTGGATTAACCTGTGCGTTATAGGCTAAAACATACTTCTTGTGACAAGTGAAAAATAATATGATTATGTGAAAGCTTGCAAAAATATGTTATGGTAGTGTTAGAAGTGCGTAAAAAAATTTAAACAAAACAATACGAGAATAGGCAATATTTCAATAGACAAGCTTATAATGAAAGATAAAATTATATTACAATACCCCATAGACAATTATTAAAGATACTACCGATACTTAAAACCACACATCACTGAAACATAAAATAAGCTACATAAGATAAATAATCACCTTACATTAAGAGGATGCTAAAGTACAAAACAAATTTAAAAAATGAAAACTTTATTTTTTACACACTGTTTCAATGCCGTTCGAAACTGTTTCAATGCCCCACGGCGTGTTTTGGTCTGTAATTTTGTTGATGAAATGTTTTTTGGAACGGTGGCCAAATTTCACGAGTCACTTAACTTTGGGGTGGAGAGATAATTCAAAAAGCACTTGGCATTTATAATCAAATAAGTTGCAGTGAAATGTAAAAAATTGAAATTCTTTTTAAATTCGCATTTTTTTGTCCGTAAAATCTGGGCTTTATTCTAATATGAGGGTCAATGCTGGCGATCACAATGATATCTATAAAGCAATTTTGAAAAATTCGGTATATTCAAACCTTAAACATAGCCAAACAACAACGTATAGTATGTTTGAAAGCTATTCATTAATTAATTACTCAAATACATGTGTCTAGACAAACATAAACAACCGTGAACCTGGGTCTTAATAACTGTGAACCCAATCTCGTTTATCGTTGTTTGTGTCGTAGAATTATGACGGCAACCCGAAACAAAGTTTGTCTTGTCATTATTAGCGAACGCCGGAAGTTGGCAATTTTGCGTCGTCAAAAAAAATTTGGGGAAGCGTGATTTTGCGTACAACTTTGGATTAGGCGGATTTTACTACTTCTTCAATTAGCCTAACGCGACGTCAAGGCTAAATCTAGCTTTGAAAAGGGGGAGGGCATGCAGGCTTTTAAGACTAGGCAAAGTTACAGTCACAATATGACAGACAAGGCAAGGTAATTAAAGCGTATAATATGAAAATAAATGTTTTAGTTGCTAGACAAAACATTTCTGCAGACAAGCGTCAAGTGCTTACAAAACAAAAATTGTAATAAAGCTAATAAGTCATTTTTAAAAACAAGCATTATTGAAAAATATGTAACACAAGTGCCAAATAATATACTATGTACTCTTCGTTATGAATATTAGTTTTTACGATGATATAGAAACTCCAAAACGCTTCTAGATGACATACAAAACCATAAAAACAAATAAGGTTACAGAACACTCATAAGATTACAAGATGACACTGAAAACTCAAAAAGTCAAATGACATAACAACAACCAAAACTTAAAAAATTGTTTATAATAATGAAAACGACTATCATAGTAGGGCTTCTATAACCGTCACGTTGTTAATTTACAGTCAAATGTTCTGACAATATTGCTCGGCAATTAGGAGTGTCGTAAAAACAAAATTAGTAAGTATTACACTATTTACATGCTTGGCAAAATGTAAATAAGCAATTATGACGGTAGAAATAGGTTCAAAGATAAAGTCAAATCTAATCAAAACGACGTTTGCCAAAGGGAAAATACAGATTTTGTGAAAAAGTGAAAGGAATTCCAGTCAAAGTGGGTCACTGTTAGAGTATGCAGAGTTTTGAGACAGTAAAAACCCAAAACACTAGACGCATGTGACATTTGATGCTAAAAACATGAACACAAAATACTCAGGAAATGAGTATGAACCTTAAAAACAATGAAAAAACACTGCGAAGCAAACAGCGCGTTTGTAAGAGATTAATCATGGGATTACAAAAAATATTTTGGTGCAATTATTAAAAAGGTTAATGACTTTAGTACAAGGGAACGTGATGTGCTTATTGCATCGACGTTGAAAACCAAATTAGCTTAATTTTTTTATTTCGAAAATGCAAAAAAAGCGTTCATTTAGTTAGGCCAAGTTTAAAACTTCCTTTTAATTATAAAACTTCCTTTTTGTTGCAAAGGTAAAAAAACTTTTTAAGTTGAGTAGAGTTAAAGAAATGTTTCCTGGTTAGACATATTGCCACCCCCTAAAATGCCAAAGTTCTAAAGAACAAGCGCTGATCCCAGCCAACCTTTAAACATCCCTCCTCACGTGTATTAGGACCTAATTTAGCTCGAATCTTGCCCAAGGAAAACAACATATCACAACCTAAAAAGATTGGTTATTTTTGCTCGCAAAAGTAACTTCTAATTCAATTTTAAAATCTCAAAAAACTCTTCATTGTTTACGAATTTCGAAAATGATATTCATATGTGGGGATATGTTTGGCACGAGCCTTGTTTTTATGAATATTTGCAAGAGAGATTAGGTGTTGATTTTCGATATTGTGTGACTGGAACATCAACTATGTTAATGTTGTACAGGAATAACTGTTTTTAGTGATTTGAGATTCGTGTTTTCAACTTGAGAGTTGTTTTTATAGGTATTATACTAGGACGAAGGAATTATGCGGTTTTGAAAGGACAAAGAGTTTACATATAGAAAAATTAGAGTTGCTGTGCTAGGCTGAAAATCAGAAATATTGTTTTAGGCTAAATTGAAAGGTACTTACTGAAAAATAGTGCAGAACCGGCTAAGAATGGAAAAACATGAAAGTTCAAATAAAAAATATAAAGAAAATTATAAGAAATGGCTATAAAAAATATGAGAACTAACGAGCACGTGCCAAAGAAACAGAATTCATTCTTAAATTAGCCATAATGATGTAATACGAATCAAGATGAAAAACAAGGAAGCATTTCTGTGCACCGTACAATTACATGTTTATAGCAATTCGGATAATCGCATAGATTGACCAAATTGCAAACAACAAACAACATAAAAGAACATGTCAGGAAATAATGTTAATAAGCACGTTCAAATGGCAGCAATATAATTTTGATTTTTAAAAAATCAAAAAATTGTGGATTGCCATTAGTAGTATCCTTATAACAATATAGATTAAATTTGAAACATTGATACATGTTTAATTGTCACTTCTTTCAGAAAAACCCCGTTAGACATAGAAACGGATAAAGCCCAATCAGGATACATAAAATCACCGTACGCACAGACACTTGTAGCTGGCTTCAATGTCTGGCAGTTCGATGACGATGAGGATCCGATAGTCAAAACCAAAGAAAAGCCAAAGGTCTTACAAGCAATTACTAATCTTGAGGACAAAAAGCAAGGTAAGTTTAGAAAAATTTTAATTTTTTTAATTCTGAAAATTTTAAAATTGAAAAATTTTTTTTGAAAAATTTAAACGTCTTCTCTCTTCTCCTGTGAATTTACAAAAAAATGGTTTGTGAAAAAAAGAAAAAAAAGTCAAAAAACGTCTGTAGTGGAATATCCGTCTATTACAACGTACAACAATACAACACTAATAACTGTGAGAAAAAAAATTTTAATTAGACCCCCAAACCAACACTATAAATTAGTCGATAGTTTTGTTTACCGCACATATTGTTTCTGAGTAAACTATATGAAAAACGCGAAGAAAAACAATATTTTCATTGCCGGAAAACCCACAATAAAAGTTCGCGGAAAAAGCGTTGAATGACAAACTTGGTGAAGTATGAAAAAACAACAAGAGTAAGAGAATATCTTCACAAATGTCAAAGTTCTTGAGACGTTTTTTTTTGGAAAAACTAACGGTTTTGGTTTTTAAAGGCCTTGAGGGAAAGATTTTTAAAATTTTTTCAAATATTTTTTAGTTTAAAAATTTTAAAAAAAATTTAAATTTAAATTTTTGAAAATCCACAAATTAAGCCCAAAAACTGCCCAAAGAGTGTTTACAGAAACCGTATGGCCATTCGAAGTATTGGCGATTAGATAAGTTTGATAGAACGTGAACGATCGAATATTGTTCACGTTAACAATGACATAAAACAAATGTGAAAGTCATAAAACGTCAGCGAAGATATGAAAATTTTATTTTTGAATGATCAGGGCTCTAAATCATGCTAGTACATGCTTATGATAATGAAAAGTAAACAAATTGTTTTTAAATTAAATTTTCGATACTGTGCTAATAGGGGTAGATTTAAAAATTTTTTGAAGTAAAAGGAATTTTAGTTTTAAAATATTTGAGTTTTAGTTATATTGGCGGGCTACTCATAAAATTAAATTAAAAATTGTTTGTTTTCTTCTGTATACCATCAAAATTTGCTAACATGATAAAGCAAACCCTGGCTGATTACTTGAAAATTAAATTTTCATATTTTTCAAAAAAAAAGCGCGAAGTCAAATTTCAATTTTTTTTGAAAAAAAATGCTCAAAAAGCCAAGCTTTTAAACGCAGAAACTAAAATACGTATAAATTGAACCAGTTTCGTACGAACTGAATAGAAAATTCCCTTGTTTAAGGTTAAGAATTAAAATTCTAATTATCTTTTTTTTTCTTTGCAAGAAATGTTATTTTTCGCCGTAAAAAGATTGATGACATTTTAAATCGGAATAACACTTGAACTTTTGAAAAAACAACAAAATGCGGCAGATTTAGGGGCAAAATTGTTAAATGCGGTAGAGACAACGAAAAAGTTAACAATAAAAACGAAAAATATAGAAAATATGCAAGAATGCAATACCTGGGTAATTTTCATGTCATATAAGACGTTGGCATATACGACATTTCTCTGCTATTAAAACAAGTTTTTGGAAGCGTAGCCAAAAATAGGGCAGTAGAAGAACTTTTTGATGTTATGTAAGTTATGTAGCCAAAAAGCAAAAATATCTGCTAGAAGGTTTAGTTTACTTGAAGTCTTAGTTTTAAGATCATATCTTACTAAACAAAATTATTGCCATATCTTACAAGATGTCCCAAAACTCACATAAGATTACCCCGATTAAGCAGGCCAGACGCACTTTGTCGCGAATTCAGATGACAAAGCACGGCTTTTGATACTTTATTAAAAATAAGGAACGCACTCAAACACAAACTCATATCATACGCAGACTTCTTGCGATACGAATGACAAACAAACTGGGACTATGTTTAGAACGGTTATGAGTACGAGGAAGTGAGAACGGCAAAACTGTGAACTTTTTGAAAAACTTAAAGGCTGCAATATATTATAGTACTTAGTGAGGTAAATTATTATTTTGTTTTGTGTGGGTTTGTCTAGGTTTATGTTAGTGATGAAGATAGTGAAAGGCAGTATTAAGGTTAAGCGTTAAAGATAGTGCAAGTCAGTGCTAAGATTGAGGTCGAAACATCTTTACTATAAAATACGAATTGACTTATACTGACACTACCAAAAAAACAACAAACCATTTACACTTACGTTAGGACAGTTAAACAGTGCGGTGTTAGCAGTGTATAACTGGCCTAATAGTTACAATATCAGTTGGACTTTAAACAAGCACTGATGATAAACTAACAGATACCTTTATTCTATTAGGACGGTAACAATGCAATGTTAGCAATGTCTAACTGTCCTAATGCCCTCATTGTGTTAAAATGATGACTTTCATTATTTTATATCTATAAAATAACAAAAGTCATCATTTTCAATGTAAAAGCTATTAAAAATTGCAAAAAATTGGACTCTGTTTCATTATCTTGTTCCTGGATCTTTGTCACATCCACTATATATCGAAACATAACAATTAGAAACGTCAAGACCAAAAAAACATTAACAACAATGGGTTCTATGAATACATTCAAAGTACTAGGGTTTACTATTAGAAATTACCGCGGGATTAACTGTGGTAGACGGGAGATGCTGTGCAGTAGTACAAATATCGTATAAAGGCTTAGATGTCGGTCGAACAAAAATTAATAGCTTATGACAAGGAAAGTATCGTCGTTTTTGCACTTGTGCTGTTACGACCTCGAACTGAGTGATGTATTACTGATTAGCGGGGTCATTTTGGTTTTATTGGGCTATTGTTTGGTGTTATTGCGATGTTTTTGGTATAGTAGGGCTATATTTAGTACTATTGGAGGCTTTTTTTGGTAGTAAGGCTATTCTTACTATTATAGCAATTTTTTGATAGTATGGAAAACGTTTAGTACTATGAGGCTATTTTTGAGTTTTTAGAGCTATTTTGGTGTTATACGCCGTTTATTACGTAAATCAAACTTATATATATTATCTTTTGCACTATGCTAAGGTCACGTTACTAGTTCCAAAAATAGTACTAAAATAAACCCAAAACTAAAAAAATTAAAAATTTGGTCCAAAATTCAACGCACGTATTAAACTTGTCGCATTTAAACTTTTAAAACAATATAATCGTATTCCAATGGTATCACAAACAAGACCTGAATAAACAAAAAAGTACAACGTTCCAAATACAAATGACGCTGACTTTAAAATCTAATATTAAAAACAATTTTCGGGGATATTGTGGACAAGCTATTTTTTGCATATTAACACAAGTTTTGGTATTTTGGAGCAATCTATGGTTAGCAAAGTTTCCTTGGCCAAATTTTAAATTTTGAAGCTTTTTGATCTAAATTGGAGATTTTCAGGACTTTTGATCCAAATTTGAAATTTTGATGCCATTGGCAGCAAATTTTTTTGAAAACTTGGGGTTAAGTTGAAAAAGAAAAGTTCGTTTTTTGGAAATCAGTGCAAAATTCGATCATGATAAAGGATAATATTCAATTTTCCTATATTAACTTAAGGATAAAAATCTTCTTTTTACCTGACATAAGCAACTTCCAACAAAGCACGTACAAATAAAACGGTATTCCAAGAAAAAAACGGCCGAAAAAGTGCCAAGCCGATTAAAATATTAATGAAAATTCCGTTTTTCTAGTCAGAAAAATTTGGTTGAAACGCACTTCAGAATAATTCAGAACGCCTGGCACGATCTTACCACATTTGTGTTTATTAAGCCCGAAACGCCGCGGGCGTTTTGTTTTCCTAATAATAGGAAAAGGAAAAACGGTTTCGAACTTTGCGGTCGATTTTGAGGGTTTGAAAATTAAAAAAAAGGAAATTTAAATTTTTTTTAAATTTAAGGTTTAGAAGTGACCTGTCGTGTAAATGTGTTGGGAGGCAAACAAGTTGTTGATAAATCTTTTGTTAGGTGTCTAATCCTATTGTAAACATATCCAGAAATTTTTTTTTGCATTGAAAGACCAAGGCTTTCACTTTAAAAAATTGATTTAAAAATGCCATTTTTAAATAATAAAGTTAATAAAACTCTCGAAAAATTTATAATTTACAGACCTCTTCCCCTGTCGCGACTACTCGATGATAATCGGCCCGATTGAAGCCGAAAAACCGATGGAAATGCAACAACTTTCTGTCCAATTCAACGCCACTTCAATCATGTCCCGTTTCCAAGATGCGCCCGAGTTCGTACCCGGCCGTTCTCTTCACACTTCACACGCGAACTTGGACGAACTTCGTCGACTAACTCCCGAACCTGAAAGCACTCAGAATCTGGCAAAGCCGGTCGAGAAGTCGGCTTCGAATAAAAGCTTGAACACGACCGAATCCAAGCCATCGGAACGATTGCCGGCTATGTCATTTGATCAACTGAGGATTATGGCGGCGGAGATGAGGAAACAGAAGGAAAAGAGTGAGGAAAAAGAGGAGAGTAAAGAAGAAAAGAGTGCGGAGAAGGATGAGGAGGTAGAAACAGAGAAGGAGGAAAAGGAAAATTAACATGTTTTTTGAAATTTGCATTAGCGACCTAAAATTTTTGAAAGATTTGTAGTGAAGGTCTGATGTTATTATGAGAATGTGTTCATAATGTATGTCAAGATCAGTATGAGTATGTCGTGCTGTATGGTACTAATATTAGGTCTTTTTATTTTAGAACTATGGGGTGTGGGTTTCTTTTTTTTTTTTTAATAATAATGCTTTTTTAAGATTATTTTTAAGTAAAAACTATTTATTATCTGATTTTTGACTTTGTTTTGGCCTGCGGCAACTTTTTTTGGAATTTGTGTTTTTGAGTGAAAAAGAATATTTTTGTTTTAAAAATGCATTTTAGTTTTGTAAACAAAGTTATCACGGCCAATCTGAGTCGAATCACAAGCGTCTGGTCTCCAATCTACCTTATTAATTTATACACTTATCATTGATGTACATACTTTTTAATTTTTTAAAACTTTTTTTACTTTTTTTGATTTTGTTTTACTTTCGCAGCATAAATATTGATAAAAAATGACATTTTTGGTCCTACAAAAATTTTTTAAAAAATTTTTTAAAAAATTTCAAGTTTTGAGTTGAAAAGTTGTGTTGCACTTTAACCATGCCCTTCAAAATAACGGTAATAATTTAATAGGCATTTTAACACATACATGCGACGTTATTGAGTGGAAGATACGATGAATTTCTAAATAGTGTTGTATAGAGTAAAATAGTACTAATTACGTTGAGAATAGTATTACAGTACTTGAAAATATTGTATACAGAGCCATAGTATCACAAACTTTATAAGAGTACTGTAGTACTCATATAGTACCACAACTACTATTTACAGTACGGTAGTACTGAAAATTTTGTATAAAGTACTAAGTACCATAAAGTTTTTATGACAGGACTATAGTACCATAATCTAGGACGACAAGTACTATATACAGTAGTATAGTACCATAAATCTTGTATTCAGCACAATAGTACTATAAAGCGTGTATAAAGTATGATAGTACCATAGATCTTTTACAAAGTACAGTAATACTATTAGAACGGTAAAACTTAAAATGATGGTATATTCTTAAAAACGGTGGTAATATACAGCAAGGTTAGCCAACAAGATCGGAATTGTGACAGTGCGAAAGGGTTCGTCAGTCGGTTCGTGATGGTACAGTCTCCAGTCCTATGTGAAGCAATTTGGTCTTGATTTACCGGCCCAACCCACCACCAGCCAACACGTCAAAGTGTTGTTGATAACGTTGTCGTTTGGAGGGTTTTGGGTACAATGGGAAGGTGTGGGCGTTCTGAAAAATGTAAGTTAGGATAGGTATACTATATTTTTGTATTGTGCAAAGATTGTTACTGTTTAGTACTATAAATCATTGTTTTAGTTTAAGTTTTTATAGCATATGGTAGTAAAAGTGGGTAAGATACGGTAGGGTAAGTTAAGGAATAATACGGTAGGAAACATCTGTACCGTATCCTACACTACTTTACTTTGCTCTACCTTGCCTTCCCCTACTCTGACCTATCTTACTCTACCCTACCCTACCTCATAATACCCTATTATTCCTTATCTTTCTCTACTTTACTCTACTCTGCCTTATCTACTCTAACCTACCTTAATTTACATTTTCATACCCTAGCTTACTTTATCTTACTATACTTTACCTTTCTCTACTATTCCCTGCCCTACTCTACCCTACCCTACCTTGTTCTGCCCTATTATACCCTACCCTTCTCTAATATACTCTGCCCTGGTTTCGTTTCCCTACCTTACACTACTGTACCATATCGTCCCCTACCCCCACCTCAATTTCCCATACCCACCCTCTTCTAAACTTACAATGCCCTGTTGATCCTTGTCCTTGATCGCGTCCCGAACCGCGGCCATAACTTGTTGATAGATGAATTTGCTGACGATGGGCTCCTTCTCGTTCTCGGCCGACTCAATGACGGGCTGTATTACCGGCTCGCCGACTGTCGAAAAGTATTGCTCTTTGAAGGGCGACAACAACAAATTGCGATGGCGGGGGAGGGCGAACTAGAAATTTTTTGAATATTAAATTAGTTGTTGCCATTTTTTGTTTTGTCAAGAAAGTTCTTGCCATTTTATGCTTTGTAAAGAAAATTCTTGCCATTTTATGCTTTGTAAAGAAAGTTCTTGCCATTTTTTGATTTGTAAAGAAAGTTATTGCCATTTTTTGTATTGTAAAGAAAGTTCTTGTAAGTTTAAAGTTTGTAAAAAAAGTTATTGCCATTTTTTGTGTTGTAAAGAAAGTTCTTGCCGTTTTCTGTCTTGTAAAGAAATTTTTTGCTATTTTTTGTTTTGTAAAGAAAGTTCTTGTAATTTTAAAGTTTGTAAAAAAAGTTCTTGCCATTTTTCGCATTTACTTTTGGTAATTCGCAGAAGTGTCATACTTTCGAAAGCCCTTGTACTTTTTATGTTGGATCATAAAGCGAAATTAAGCCTAATTGAGTTAAAAAAAGTAAAGTGTAAGCACGTTTTAGTACCAAAAATTAAACGCTTTTAATTAAATTTCGTATTTTAATTCTTTTTCAACTAATTTTATAAAGCTTTTGTCTAAACTGGAAATAAAGTTTTGGGTTCCTTGTAAAAGACTTTGAAAATACAGTATGCTACAGTTCACAGTACTAAAATTTTTAAAAAATTTTAAAGTTTGAGGTTACTGTAGGTTTACTGTACTTTAAGATATAGTACTATTGTATGTAAATCTTTTTAGTACTATGGTAGATCCATAGCAGTATCTAATACCGAGATTTTAAGGTTAGTACTGCAGTACTACTGTAACTTTTAAAATTTTTTGTTACGGTGGTACTACAGTAACTTTAAGGTTAGTACTAAAAAACTTCAATTTTGATTTGGCAACACTACAGTAACATATATATATAACAGGGTTTAAAATTTTTTTTTCGGGTTAATACTAGTACTATATAGTACTTCTAGTACGAGTATAGTACTAGTGCGATATAGTGCTTTTAATACTGTTATAGTACTAGTACTAGATAGTACTTTAAGTACAGGTATAGTACTAGTAATATATAGCACCTCTAGTACTGTACTAAATAGTCTTTAAAGTTCTGTCTTCTCCCCCCCCACTCTATAATATTCCACAGCCAAATTGAGTACAATCAAGTACAAAACAAGCACTTACCGCACTCCCAACGACCACAGTACTCAACAAGAGCAGGCAAACGGGTAGTCCGTGCATGATACTCGACATGAATTGAAACCGTTTAGTCAAAGAAGCGGGGGGTGGGCAGTAAATAAGTGCGGTTGAATATTAACCACGTTCATGACATGACTTTTAACCGGTTTTCAGCACTAAACTTAACCCTATTACCGCGCCCCTTTTTGGCCTACAGGGGGGAGGGGGGGGAAACGTAGAGGTTGGGGAAGGGTAAAGTTAAAAAAATGGGGGGGGGCGGACAGGGAGAGGGGAAGGGTTTTAAAAAATAAGGTTGAGGAGAGGGTAGGCTAGGGCAGAGTAAGACAGCTAGGGTACAGTGTGGTAAAGTAGGGTTTGGTAGGTTACGGTAGGATAGATTAGGGTAGGGTAGTTTAAGCTACTGTAGGGTAAGGTAGGGTAGAGTAGGGTAGGATAGAGTAGATTAGGGTAGGGTAGGGTAGGGTAGGGTAGGGTAGGGTAGGGTAGGGTAGGGTAGGGTAGGGTAGGGTAGGGTAGGGTAGGGTAGGGTACGATAGGGCAGGGTAGGGTAATGTACGATAGGGTAGGGTAGGGTTTGATTTGGTAGAACAGGGCAAGGTCTATAAAAAGCCCAAAAAACTATGACAAGCCTAAAAAAATCCTGTCCTGCCATAAATGTGTCTTAATTAAACCGATGGAATTTCAATTCCAATTTGCATGACGATTTTAAAACGTTGGCAACGTAAAGCAAATGCAAATTCAACCGTGACAAAACTAAACTTGTACTATGCTGAGCACGAACAATACTGTAGTAAAACGTATGATGTGTGATTTAAAGGCAGTGGTTACGGTGGGATGAGGAAAGCAGTATAGTGAGGCTGGGGAGAGTAGGGTTGGGTTGTATAGGGGCGAGAGCTAGGGGGTTAGAGCTGGGCTAGGGTAATGGTTAGCGCTAGGGCTGTGGCTTTCCATTTAAAACTGCAGATAAGTCTTGGGTTTAGAGTACTGTAACCAAACGTACGATTTGTTATTTGAACTGAGAGAATTACTGTAGAATAAGAAAGACCGTTGAACTAGGCCTAATAAAGAGTGACCTTAGGGCTATGTTCAAAAGAAGGAAAACAAAATTGGTTAGGGTTTGAACTAAGGCTAAGACTAAGTTTAAGCCTAGGGCGGCTAAGGCTAAGACTATGACTATTACTCGGACTAAGGCTAGGTCTTAAACTGAAGTTAAAACTAGGGCTAGTGCTACGACTTGAACTAGGGCTAAGACTAATGCTAGGTCTAACGCAAGAGCTAAGACTAAGGTAAGGGCTAGATATAGGACTAGGGCTAGATCTAGGGTTAGGGCTAAGGCCGAGGCCAGGTCCAAAGACATGGCTAGGCCTTGCTTTCGGTTAAATGCTAAGGTATGTTCTTTTACTTCTGAGTATTTTTATTAGTGACTAAGTTGATTGTCATTTTAGAAAACCTTTGTTATTGACCAACTGAATAACTATACAGCTCTATATTTACAATTAATATGCAAATTAAAACTCTACTACGCAACCAGAAAAGCACTTTGTTTACACTTGTTTGCTTTTCCAGACTCTACTTTATATATTTATATACATATAGTATAAGTAGTGTCAATATTGTTATAAATACACACAAATCCTTGAAGTAGCCTTATTTATCTACAGACTTATGATGACACATTTACTGTGACATACGTAGTTTAGTGTCAAAAATAAATGATACTTTATTGTTCAGATGACTTTATGTACTATAGTCGACCTAAAAATAGGATTATAGTTTTTCTATTATAGTACGATATAATGGTAATCGTAGTATGTTTTGAGAAGTAAAATACGTTACGTAATTGTAAGAAATATTGAATTATGTCTTCAACTACATTACCACAACTTACTATACATAGAATTGGGTCTTTACGGTAATTGGTTTACTGTTTTTTACATGACGTAGCAATAACTTTCTTTACAAAACAACAAATGGCAAGAACTTTTTTTATAAAAAAAAAGTGGCAATAACTTTCTTTACAAAACTCCAAATAGTTTAAAACTTTCTTTACAAAGCTAAAACCAATATTCATCGTATAACTTGTCAACCGCAAGCTGCAGCAGATCAAATTTTATAGTTTTACAAAGAAAATGACATAAATTTTTTTCCCAACTTAAAAAATGGCAAGAACTTTCTTTACAAAACATAAAATAACATAAACTTTCTTTAAAAACTTCAAAATGGCAAGAACTTTATTTCAATTGTAATTTACAATGTCATGGCGATAAAATGTGTACATAGTTAGAAATCTCATGAATGTGTTATGTTATAGTAACTGTCATAGTTAAAAAAAAGGAAGATATAACCATTTACACGTATGTTACAGTATCTTTCAAAGTTATTACAGTATATCTCAGTTATAAACTACTTGGTTTGATCCATCATTTTGTGCAGAATCTCATCGTATGGCACCTTCTCCACCCACATTAACAATGACTTGGTTAGGGTTTGGTAATCGGTTAGTTGAACATCATTGGCAAAGGAGTTGAAGCATTCGTCCAGGAAGGTTTTAAGCTAAAATACAGAGAATAGTACTGAAAAATGATGTCGCTTGCTTTTCCTTTACCTCACCTTACCCTACAGTACTTTACATACCTTGCCATACTCCTATTCTAACCTATCTTACCCTACCCTACCATACCATACCCTGCCTTACCCCACCGTACATTACCCTACCCTACCCACATTAGTTTTCTCACCGCCCTAATGTGACCTTACCATGCCCTACCCTAAAATTGTTTAGCCTTCACCTAAGTCTACTCTAGTTATACCGTACCCTACCAAACCGTACCTTACCCTATGCTACCCAACCTCACCCTACCGTATATTAACTCTGATCTAGCCATGCAGTATCACCCTAACCTTTACTACCCAAACTAGCTCTGCCGTACCATAACATATACTTACTCAACCAGCTACCTTACCTATGCCTGTTATAGTCTACCTACCACTAAATCTAACATAAGCTTACCGTAATTAATCTTATTAGGTCGTTCACTTAATTTTGCGCCCCTCAAATATCATATGTCAAACTTATTACTTGCCCTATGGACAAAAATATCAAATTTTAAAATCCACCCCCAAATTTTTAATTTACCAAGCCAGCCTTTTAAGTAAAATACAAACCCAACAATACCAAAAAAACCTTACAATTTGGATTTGCATGGCCTGAGGCTTGTCCGCGCCCATGTTCTCGTACTGCTGAATGATCATACACATGGCGGCTTGTTGGGATGACAAACCATTGAGTTGTTTCTCTTTTTCCACAATCTCTTCATCAAGTTGTTTTACATAGTCGGCCGCTCTGAACAATATCGACGCATTCGTGGTTTTACAGCCGGCGAACGAGGTTGAGGCTGGCAGAAGCTCTTTTAGGTCACTGTAGCCACTCTGAAGTTCGAAGAAAGTTAAATTTTCAAGATTTTTTTCATTTTGCTACCTAATTTTTAATTTTTACAGGTCAAAAAGTTCATAGAAACTCCAAAAAATGACCAAAATTGAACATAGCAAGCTCATAAAAAGTCCTGTCGCTCTTTACCACTAGTTCCAATACAAATCAGCGCCAAAACTTCTGTTCAACCCAGGTCTTAAACTGAAGTTAAAACTAGGGCTAGTGCTTATAAACGCCAATTCTACGCACTTTTGGACCAGAACTAAAAGTAAAAAAAAAAATAAAAAAGTAAATATTACATTAATAGCTTCACGTCGTTGTCGTTCACAGCGCAAATGAGTTTGTTTCTTCCGTTCACTCGAGTCCATTATATTGTTACTTAAAATAATATATTTTAATTAATATAAGATTATTTTAATCTAAAATATTGTTTTTTATTTTAAATTACATTATGATAGCTTAAAGTATATTATTTTAGTCTAAAATGATCTTTTGTTGCCTAAAATATATTATTTATATTGTTTTAGGTAATAAAACGCTAAATTTTTAAAAATAATAAAGGTAAAATTAAAAACGCTTCATAAACGTTTGGAACAGGATAATTTTAGCCATTCTTTGCGCTGTAAAGAAAGTTATTGCCGTTTTTTGTTCTGTAAAGAAAGTTCTTGCTATTTTCTGTCCTGTAAACAAAGTTTTAGCCATTTAAAGCTTTTTAATAAAAGTTCTAGCCGTTTTAAGCTTTGTAAAGAAAGTTCTAACCATTTTAAAATTAAAAAACAAACTTCTCCACATTCTTCCATAATTTACGTCAAAAAAACCTCAAAAACTTACGTTATATTACCTAAAACAACAATAAAACTCAAGAAAAATAGGCAATAAACAAGAAAAATTACAATAACTATAATACAAGTCGAATATACAAGGCAAAATGTCAATGAATTAGAGAAACACCGACAATCAGCTTCTGGTTAATATTTTGGAGAGAATTGGGTCTATTCTCCCCTTTCTCTCACGTGTTTCAAGCCAAAAAATGAGGAGAGAGCAGGGAGAAAGAGAGAACAACGCTATCAGGAGGGAGAAAAAAGATAAAACTACGTCAGTAGTGTAAGTGCTTTCATGTTCTACCATATATGGTGATATTGTGTTGTTATTAAATTAAATTTTTGATGATTAGAAATATTTTAGGTAACATTTCGTTAATTATTAAAATAAATTTAAAAAAAAATTATTTTATGTGATTTTTTTAAATTTTGTTTTATTTTCTTTTTTTATTTAATTTTACTTAATTTAAATCTATTTTATTCTATTTTAATTTTATTTCATTTCATTTTATTTTAGGTAACATCTGATAAAAAACATCAAGCTAGGGCAGCCCGTCAGGGTAGGGCAAGACAAGATATGGTATAGTATGGTAGGCTAATGTAGGATAATTTAGGGTAGGGTAAGGTCGATAATTATAAAAACAAAAAGATCACATAAAGGCGATAACAATATAAAACAATTCAAAAACTGTGTCACGTACCCAATAACACAAAACTAGATTTATATTTGATAAACAGATTCAGAATATTGTTTTCTGTAGCTAGAATGAGAAGTGAAGTGCCTTGGGAACCACTGAAGTTATTAGGTGTAGTACTGTTTAGTATCTTCAGTGCTTCGGCCAATTGGGCAGCTTTGGCTTATATTCATGATTATGTGGATCTGTAGGTTTATATTGAACGTTTTTTATAGTTTTAGGCTTAACTTTAAAGCTTGTAGGTCTTAATGTAACCTTTAGGCTTAACTTGTGAAATCTTAGGCTTAAATTTTTAAGTTTAGGCTTAAAAAATTTCTTTAGGCTTAGCTTAGGTGTAAGTCAACTGTAAAAATTTTGGCTTAATTTACACTGTTAGGCTTGCGTTTATAAGTTTTAAAGTCGCCATTAAAGTTTAGGCTTAACATAAAGCCTTTAAGCCTAAAACCTTTTTCAAAAAGCACAAAAAGCTACAGTAACCTTTCAGAAACCCAATCGAAGACACACTATCCAACCTCATACCACAACAATCATGGACCGCCTACTACGGCGATTTAGCGGCCCTACTATGTACCATAGCCATGTTGATTATGATCATCCTGCACCAACATCGACTGGTCATATTTCGGCGAGTCGTTTACATATCATCTTGGTTGTACATGATGAGAGCGATTACCATGGTTGTGACACGACTACCACCCCCGTATAATGACGATCAAGTGAAGTGTCGGGCGCAGTTGAGGAATATGACAGAGCTGACATTTGATGTATATTATGATAGGTTTATGGAGCTGGCAAAGAACGTGGGATTTCAGGTGGGTGAGAAAAGGAATGGCAGGTTTTGGGTTACTGTAGCCATGGGTAATAGCCGACTCTACCCTACCCCACCCTACCGTGCCGTATTCTACTCTACCGTACCGTATTCTGACCTACGCTACCCTACCGTCTTTAAAAATAAACCACAGTAACTTAAGTTACAGTAACCTAACTTATTGTAGGACAGAACCAAGCCAATACTATGTGGCGACCTCTTGTTCTCGGGCCATACCCTGTTGATGGTAGTCAGTGCACTAGCCATTCGAGAATATATACCAACCAAACATTACGCATGGAGCTATGTCAGTTCGTGTGTTAGTGTAATTGGGGTATTGTGTATGCTGGTGAGTAGAACCAACTACTCTGTTGATGTTATTCTAGCCTACTGGTTGGCTAGTTTTGTTTTTACGTAGGTTTTTTAAAGAGTGGGGTAGTTTACGGTAAAGCATGGTATGGTAGGGTAGCGTAAGTTACGGTAGAGCATGGTACGGTAGGGTAGGGTAAGATTGAGTAGGGTACGGTAGATCATGGTATAGTAGGGTAGCGTAGGTTACGGTAGAGAGCGGTATGATAGGGTAGCGTAGGTTACGGTAGAGCATGGTATGGTAGGGTAAGGTAAGATAAAGTAGGGGACGGTAGATCATGGTATGGTAGGGTAGGTTACGGTAGAGTATGGTATGGTAGGGTAGCGTAGGTTACGATAGAGTAGTAGAGTACGGAACGTTATACTGTAACACAAATTTTTTACATTACAGACTGTACCACTCGGTGATAGAAGTGGACAAGTCCATACGCTTCGAAGGCGTTTCATATTGGCTATGGTTCGCTCAAATCACAGAATGGCTGGAGCGAAATGTTCACCATGATTGCTTCGAAAACCGATTCGAATTCCTCTTCGATCTTCGTGCCAAACCCACGCCACATGAAATGTGGGAGTTGGAGAGGGACAGAGAAGCCAGAGAACAAGCCGTACTCGACGCTGAACGGCGAAAAGCCAAGTTCAGAAGCGAAGTCGACCCGGAAATCGATATTTGAATAATTATTTTTGAGTTTTAATAAAAATATTAACACAGTTAAATCTGACAATGCAAACGGCAACAACTTTCTTTACAAAAATTAAAATTGCAAGAACTTTCTTTACAAAACAAAAAATGGCAAGAACTTTCTTTACAAAACAAAAAATGGCAAAAACTTTTTTTACAAAACAAAAAATGGCAAGAACTTTCTTTACAAAAATTAAAATTGCAAGAACTTTCTTTACAAAACAAAAAATGGCAAGAACTTTCTTTACAAAACAAAAAATGGCAAAAACTTTTTTTACAAAACAAAAAATGGCAAGAACTTTCTTTACAAAACATAAAATGGCAAGAATTTTCTTTACAAATCAAAAAATGGCAAGAACTTTCTTTACAAAACGAAAAATGGCAAAGACTTTCTTTACAAAAGCCAAAGCACAATATGTTACAAAGTTTTATTTGAAACTGTCATAATTAATTACATTTGGTAATCAAAGTCGTCGAAGCGAGGTATTTCAACCTCGGTTAAGGTTTCTTGCTTTCCGGACCTGGTCGAGACTTCTTCCTTCACCAAGAGAGATCGCCCAGCCTCGTCCTCGTCCTTGTTTCCTTCAGCCGGTGATAGATGGCGCTGGTCATAGCCGATCTTCTTGGGCGGTGGGGCTAGCTGAGACTTGGATGACTTGTCTTGTCCCGATTTGTCCTTGCTTTTGTCCTTGGATGACTTGTCCTTGTCATTCTTCTCTTTGCCCGACCTTTCTTTGCCCGATTTGTCCTTACTTTTGTCCCGGCCTGACTTTTCTTTTCCTGTTTTGTCAGCATTGTCTGGCTTTTTCTTGCCCGACTTGTCTTTGCCCGAGCTGTCCTTGCCCGACTTGTCTTTGCCCGATTTGTCCTTGTCCGCTTTGCCCGAATTGTCCTTGCCCGATTTGCCCGAATTGTCCTTTCTTGCTTTGCCCGACTTGTCTTTGTCTGAATTATCTTTGCCCGCTTTGCCAGAATTGTCTTTGCCCGAATTGTCCTTATCTTTGCCATTCTTTCCCTCCTTGTCCTTACTCGACGTGTCCACCGTGCGCTGCGTTGAAATGCTACCGCTAATCGAATTCGACTCATCCATCATGACCCAACCTTTGTCGTCAGTCGTTCCTTCTAGACGATCGTTCACAATCTCCACCTTCTTCTGTCTCCCCTTAACACACACTTTCCAAATGACAAAGCAACCGACAACCACAAACAGAAGAAATCCACCCACGGCCGAGATCAGGAAGATGGTGCTGGAACAGTGCTCGTCAGAAATTTAGATTTGAACAATATAAAATGGCAAGAACTTTCTTTACAAAACAGAAAATAACAAGAACTTTCTTTACACAACAAAAAATGGCAAAAACTTTCTTTACAAAACAAACCATGGCAAGAACTTCCTTTACAAAGCAAAAAGTGGCAAGAACTTTCTTTACAAAACAAAAAATAGCAAAAATTTTAAAAAATTAAAAAATTTTTTAAAAAAGTTCAAAATTTTTTTTTAATTTAAAAAAATCAAAATTTATAACCCACTTATCCTCTGTGCCACTACTAGTAGTGTTCGCAGTGGCATTAACCAAAAATGGCAGCAAGATCAAGGCGGTTAACTTCGAGAATAGGGCCGAAAAATTGGTCATGACCAACTTCTGGGCCGGTGAACTTATAAAATGACAGATTTGGACCGTTTTCAGCGCACAAAGGGTTTAAAGTCAAAATATTAAAACTTGAAAAAATTTTTTTTAATTTTGGTTTTTTTAAATTCGAAAATTAAAATTTATTTTTTTAAATGATTTTTTCAGGCTCTCAGCCGTTTTTTGCTAAAACTTTCTTTACAAAAGAAAAAATGGCAAGAACTTTCTTTACAAAAAAAATGGCAAAAACTTTCTTAAAAAAACAAAAAATGGCAAAAACTTCCTTTAAAAAACATAAAATGGCAAGAACTTTCTTTACAAAACATAAAACGGCAAGAACTTTCTTTACAAAATAAAAAACTGCTTTCTATCGTATAACTTGTCACCTGCTGGCTGCAGAACATCATCTTCAGTTATTTTTAAGAGGAATTGCAAGAACTTTCTTTACAAGACGTAAAACGGCAAAAACTTTTTTTACAAAACAAAAAATGGCAAGAACTTTCTTTACAAGCAAAAATATGCTAATACTACATTAACAGCTACCAAAACTTATACTTTATTTACAACAATAAAAATGGCAAAAATTTTGTTCACAAACTTTCTTCACTTAACAGACACCTGGTCGTGACAGCTGAGATGACTGGGTTCCCGCCTACTGTCCAGTTGTGTCAATTCCGAGATCTGGGACATGAGTGTGCCTGCAGTCGATTGGCTAGCGGAACTGTTGGTGCCTTTGGTATTATCCTCCGTGTGTGACGTGCCTTCTGAGTTGGTCGTGCCATCCTTCCTGCGCCTGCCTTCAGCCGTGGTTCCCTCCGAATTCGGAGCCTCATCGTTGGTCTTCTCGACATTCTCGAGCTTGGTCGGTGGTGATTTTTTGAAAAACTTGGCAATCTGCTTTCGTTTTATGCAACAAATTGCACACGCAACGACGAGAAAGATAAGCGGGCTCAGGTATCCCACCACCATTAACGTATTTTCAATGGTAGAGTAGCTAAATATTAGGTAATAAATTAAGTTAAAGAGCTTAAAATTGATAACAAAATAAGAAAATTTACTATTACCAGTGCCGGGCAGGGGCTTTTGGTCTGGAGCGGAGGTCGAAAAAACCGTGCTATCTTTTTTCAAAAATCCACAGGGAGGACCAAGTTCAACTTTTTTCGAAAATTTTTTTCTGGGGAGGCACTTCTGTTTGATAAAAAAAGTTCTTGCTATTTTTGTTTTGTAAAGTTTTTGCAATTGCAGGTTTTGGAAAGAAAGTTTTTGCCATTTTATCTTTTGTAAAGAAAGTTATTGCCATTTTTAGTCTTGGAAAGAAAGCTTTTGCCATTTTATCTTTTGTAAAGAAAGTTCTTCCCATTTTTTAAAGGTTCCCCCCCCCCCTCCAGCACCCGGCTCTGACTATTACGTAAGCTTAGGTTTCACTGTAAATCCAAAGATATCACTTTTTCAACCTTAAATTTCAAAAAAAAAATTTAACCTAAAAACCGCCAAAAAAATTCAAAAATAAAAAAAAATCAAAAAACCCAAGCATTTTTCAAAACCCAACATCAACCTTACGTGTAGGGTATAACGATACTAGCTTCGGTACTAGTTTCGTTAGCGGCCATCGTTGAGCGTGAATAATTTGTCGAACGACCGGTCGGTCTTGTCTGAATTCAAAAAGAGTTTCAAATGAAAATGTAAAATTTAGGCACTGATAGAACTGACGAAACTTTGGGAAGTTGAAAAAATGTTTTGAATAAAAAAACATTATTTTTTAGATAGCATCTACAAAAAAAAATTTTTTTATTTTAAAAAATTTTTATATAATCCATGACGCCGTATCATCATTGATACCATCGACGAAAAGACTTAAATATGAGTTTTTAAAATTATCATAATAACGTTCTTATTCAAATTCAGAAACTTATTTTTTATTTTACAAGGAAAGTACCCACTTGTCCCGCTCTGATTGACCCCTCGCAGAACACTACTTCGGACACCCTGTACATATCCTCGGTAAATGCCAATAAAGTTTTATTAATCTTAAAGTTACAATTCATTGTCACACAAGAGCAACTTGAACGTAACTTTCTATCAAAGCTGTATTGTAGCCTCGTGTGATTCTAAAGTAGCCGTTCTCGCCCCATCTATTAGTCCAGCTGTTTTTGACGATCCAATATGGCGTTCCGTTTTCTTCACCCCACCCGACGATGTTTACAGAATGGTTGATTTGATTTGATCTTCCTGATGGTGAAAAGATGCCTCTTGAGTAGTATTGAAGGTCTTCTGCGTCCATACCTAAAGATAGTAGTGGTTATGTTGTAGTAGATTCAACTCTCAGTCAAGAGTGCCTTACTCTACTTTACCCTACCCTACCCTACCGTATCCTACCGTACCCTACCGTTCCCTACCCTATCCTACCGTATCCTACCGTACCGTACTCTACCGTAACCCCACCGTACCTTATCGTACCCTACCGTACCCTACCCTAACTCACCCTACCCTACCCTATCGTATTCTACCGTACCGTACCGTACTCTACCGTACCCCCATCGTACCTTATCTTACTCTACCCCCCTCTCCTACCCTACCCGACGCTATTCTACTCTACCTTTACTAAAACTTATACCTACCAACAACCAGTGTTCCATAATTGTATAGTGCTTCCTTCATGTCCTCTTCTTCTCCTCTAACATGGCTAAACCCGGTACTGTAATTTTCCCGATTTTCATTTTGGCATGTACCAGCATAACCATCAGAACTAGTAAATGGATAGTCACTATCTCTAGCAACACCGTACTTGGCTACAAACTGTAGCACGTCTTCAGTATTACCACCATTACATTGACTGTGGGGTACTGCGTCTTGGTAGCAAGATAAGATTTGTTCGACTGATAAGCGAACTCTAGTACGGTACTTCTTAGCATAAGCGCCTTGAATACCTTCTAGTGAGGCGAAAATAAAGCAACAACCACATTGACCTTGGTCACGAACTCCGGTAATGAGGTTTTCATCTCTCATATCATAACTGTATGGCAAGTACGAGCGCTTTGATCTGGTCCTGTTAGTACTGTCAAAATCATTACCACCAGCTGTAGTACTACGTGCCCGAGTTTCAGTACCAAAGTTTATGTAAGTTCGCGCTTCTGAAGCCTTTTCAGGCATTCTAGAGCCAGCGTGCCGTTCCAAAAACTCTTCTGGAGTCAGATCAGCAAACTGATTCAATTCGAATTGAGCATTTCCTTTGTGTTCTTGGTTAAGTTGTTCAACACGAGATATAGCACTGGCAAAGCGTTGGTAACGAGAATATAATTCGGTCTGGTTATCGTAGTTTTTCTTGAATCTGTAAAGAAAGTTTTTGCTTTTTTGTATTGAAAATTAATAATGCAGTTTTTTGTCTACTAAACCCAAGCCTAAGCATACTAAAGCTAAGCTTACTAAATCTGAGCCTGCTAAGGTTAAGCCTAATAAATTTAAGATAACTAAGCCTACGTCTGCGTATTCTGAACTTGCTAGTTTGAAGCCTAATAAGAATAAGGGTAGGCCTACTCCTTAAGCTCATAAATATTATACTTAGCGTTATAAATCGTAATTTAAAATCCTTATTAATAAAAAAATGTAAAAAAATTGCGTCATTACGCAATTTCGCTGATATAACTAGATAGCCTTAGAGAAATTGTCAGAAATGGTGTTGCGCAACTTTTTCTTATGTAATATTGATTACTTTTGCAATATTTGCCTCGATGTAAAACGACCCAACAAATGACTGCGAGTGCTGGGATCTGGCTCTATGTTACTGCGAGACTTTTTACCCGTTGTATTTTATGTTATGCTTCCTAAAAACCTCATTTTAAAACTAAAGCCTACGCTTGCAAATGCTAAGCCTACTAAGCCAAAGCCTAAGCTTAAGCCAAAGCCTAAGCTTAAGCCAAAGCCTAAGCTTAAGCCTAAGCCTAAGCCTAAGCCTAAGCCTAAGTCTAAGCCTAAGCCTAAGCTTAAGCCTAAGCCCAAGCCTAAGCCTACTAAGCCGAAAAAACAAATTTTAAAAAGTGGCAAACCGTACCTAGCAATGAATCCAAAAAACTGTCCAAAACTCTCCTTCTTTTCATTATCAACGTTGATCCTGGCTGCCATTTGTAGTGTTTTCATCGTATGACTTGGCACTTCGTTCATAACACTAATTCGACTCAGTAATGACAACTTATTGTCATAAATTTCCGTACCACTTTCAGGCAAATTGTCCTCAACATCTTCAGCAACAACTTTGTTTACAGCCAGAAACAATAATACAAGTAATGACGCTTTGATACTAATAAGTACCATTTTCAAAATTTAAAAAAAAGGTTTTAAAATTTTTGAAAAATGAAATAGTGATTCATTTTGCAAGTTTGGAGCTTATATAGGCTCTAAATTGACAAATATTTGGCCGGTTTTAGAAGAAGAGTTTAAACCACAATTAGTAATCTGTTTAGCAACCCACAGCTGTATATACTATGAATGTGCGTGGTCGTGCTTTGCAAATTGAAATTTTTTTTTAATTTAAAATTTGGAAGTTGTGACAACCCAACTTCAAGATATTTTATATTTATTGAACAAACAGAGGACAAACTACAACTTTTAATCTATCACATTAATTAGCGGTACGGTATATTGCAAGGTTGGGTAAGATAATAGAGGATAAGGCAAATGAAGACTGTACTGAAGGTATAAAGCTTAAAACATTTAAGGCGTCGACTTAAACCGAGGATTAGGTTTAGGCTTAGCGTTAGGCTTAGGATTGGGCTTGGACCAGCATTCGGAGTTGGGCTTAGCTTTAGCTTAACCTTAGTCTTAGCCTTGGCCTTGGCCTTAGCCTTGGCCTTAGCCTTAGCCTTAACCTAGCCCAGAAACCTATCTGAAAGCCCAGAGTGAACGACCCTAGCCCATAGCCCTAGCTTTAGCCCTTAAAGTTAACCTCATCTTAGGCTTAGATTAGGCATAGCGTAACTTCTAATTTAAAGCAGAAGGAGGGACAAAGCGTACACCTATAACAATAAGAATCCAATTGCCCTCAAGACCTACTAACCAAACTAAAAAGCAAAACAATATCAGAATAAAGCTTTTGATCTGTTTTACGTTATTCTTCAATGTAATCAGCAATGTCCAACAATATTCCTGTTGAACCGTTAAAATTAATATTTGTGATAATTTTTTTCATCGTTTCTATCGCGTCTAACTGGGCTGCTTTGGCTTATATTCATGATTATGTCAAATTGTAAGTTATTTTTAGCGTTCTCAAAATTTTCAATAATATTTTTCTTAAATTTTAGAAAGTTTCACCATTTAAAACAAAAAAAAACATTTTAGGTAACAAACGGTTTTTAAAATAATTTTTTACTTTTTTATGCATTTTAAGATCAAAAAAATTAATTTTAGGTCTTTTCTCAAACTAACAAAATAAAAAAAACATTATTACAAATTTACACACCCTAAAACTGCATAAAATGTCCAAAATTTACCGTTTATTTCATCCAAAACTACCCAAACGCGCCCTTATTTCCTTTCGCCCGCGAAAGAGTGTGAAAAGAAGAGAGAGCTTGCGCGAACGGCCAAATGGCGGTCAGAAGAGAGAAAGAAATTATTATAAATACGCGTGCCAAAACAGAACTCCTTTTTAAAGCGCGTAACCCAGTCGAAAAACAAGTGAACAGATTAAGGCATGGAGGAAGTTGAGTTCACTCCTCGGTTTATTAACCCAAGTTGAAGGTTAGCTCATGTTTCGGCTCTGAATCTTCAGTGGCTGAACAACGAGAAATTTTGGAAAGCTCTGCTAGTTGTGGGGCGTATGTAATAAATAAATAATAAATCAGAAAAAATTAATATTTTGTAACCAGTGTTTACCCGGGCCGGTTTGGGGCGTTTTTCACCGCTCTGGCGATTTTTGGGTCCGGTCCAAACTTCACATTTTTAGGTCCGGTCCGGCAAAACGCAGTTTGTAACAGCTTGACTATTGACTGGTATTTTAGTTTATGAAAGGCGGGTTATAGAAAATTGTTTCATTGTTATAGATAGGGGAGGATAAACAGATGTGTAGAAGGATTTGAATTAAAATTAGAAATAACTTTCTTTATAAGCCGAAAACAGTACGACCTTCCATTAAAAGAATAAAAAAGCAAAAACTTTCTTTACAAAACATAAAATAGCAAGAACTTTCTTTACTAAACAAAAAATGGCAAGAACTTTCCTTACAAAAAAAATAGCAAAATCTTTTTTTACAAAACTATAAAAATTTCAATATGCCATGTTAAGCCTAAAAACTTCATTTTAAAACTAAAATTTCCAGAAAACCCCTCCAAGACGTGAGTTATGTCATTTCCCAAAACATGACAATTGCCCTTCTTGGTGACATTATTGGTGGATTTCTCTCATTTACAATGCTATTTATTTGCCTCTTACATCAACATAATACCGTGGTAATACAGCGAGTATTCTATGTTAGTGCTTGGTTATATGCGATGAGAGCAATTACAATTAGTTTGACTCATATACCGCCGGCATATGTTGATGATAGGATACGATGTCAACTACAAGTCAAGAACAGCAGTTTTCGGTCGTTTGATCTGTACTTTGACCGGTGGTTGACTTTGGCCAAAGGATTTGGTACACAGGTAGGGTTGCTAGGGTACGGTAGGGTACGGTAGAGTACGGTAGGGTACGGTAGGGTAGGGTAAGGTTTGGTGAGGTATGGTGAGGTATGGTAGGGTACGGTGGAGTACGGTAAGGTAAAGTACGGTTAAGTACGGTAAGCTACGGTTGTTTAGGTACGATAGAGTTAAGCATTTTACTTTGTAAAGTTATTGCCATTGCAGGACATAGAAAAGCCAATGTTATGTGGAGACCTCCTCTTCTCCGGTCATACCTTGGCCATGGTTATTAGTGCAATGACGATTCGATATTATATTCCAAAAAGGATTAAACATCTTAGATATGTAACATCAGGTTTGGCACTAATTGGCATGTTCTGTATGGTACTGAGTCGAGCACATTACTCGGCCGATGTGCTCATCGCTTATTGGCTGGCTACTTTTGGGTTTAGGTAATCCTTTAGGCTTAGAAGTGAGATTTTTGGTTTAGAAATGAAATTTAGGCTTAGAAACGAAGTTTAGGCTTAAAAATCAAAGTTAGGCTTAAAACGGAAATTTAGGCTTAATAATAAAACATTAGGCTTAAAATGAAATCTTAGGCTTAAAAATTTAAAGTTAAACTAAAAAAATAACAATTACAGTATTTACCACGCTTACGTAGAAACCCTACCCTATATTCGAGACGATTCAACGGCCAGCAAATTGTGGATGATAAAGATTGGCAGTTGGCTGGAAGATAGAGTCGATAATGATGAATTCGAAAACAAATTGAAAATTCCGTTTATTGAATATTATTTTTAATATTTTTAATAATAATTTTATTATTTATAAATAATTTATATGACTCATTTTACGTATTTTTTTGTCATTAACCGTTTGCGTATAAAATGTCTCTGCAGTTCGCAAAACTCGTAAACAACGCTTCACTGAACATTCGCGTCCGGCGTTTCTTTTCCGAATATTTTTTATTTTTTTCTGTGCAAACCAGCTTTACCTTTTTTTGTGCATAAGCAGTGGTTTTCGAATATTTTGTGGCTTTTTATTAATTTTTACTGTATTCACTTTATTTGTAGGACATTTGACGTTGGTTTTATCTTGCTTTACACTAGCTTCATTTCTAATTTTGACGTTTTCAGACTTTGGTTCATAACTTATTAGTCTCTAAAACATGAGCTCAAGCGAAGAGGACAATGTTGAAGTTAAACAAGCTTTGAGTTCTGACGATGAAGCTTCTGACGACGAGAAACCTTCTCCATCTTCACCAGTTCCAGCTAGAAAAAGAAAAGTAAGTTTTTGATTTCCTTTTGTTGTTTTAGGTATTAAAGTTCGATCGAGAAGATGTAGGAGATACAGATAATGTTTTTCTTAGCAGAAAGAAGGTTACGAAAGGGTTTTTCTTGTAATATTGATTGATTTATGTTGACATAGAGGTTTGGGTATAGCTTTGAGAAAAAAGGTTTTTCGATTTAAAATGTGCTTTAATTTGGACACGTGGTTTGAAATTGTTAATAAATACTACATCTTTTAGAAATTTGTGTTTGAGCATGGCGTGGTTTACACAAAAAAACTTAGTTTTTTAGATAAATAACTGTTTTACTTACTGTAACACCTATTTAGATCGACAGCGACGACGATGAAGACAGTGATGCCAGCGAGGAAAACAAAAACGATGGAGAAGAAGAAGACGAAGCTCCTCGAAAGAAATCAAAGTTTGTGAAGGATTCAGACGACAGTGATGAAGAAGAAGAGGAGGAAGAGGACGACGAAGATGAGGAGGAGGAAGAAGAACGCCCAAAACTTTCGAAAAAGAAAAGAAGAAAGCGCAGAACTGTACACGATTTCATTCAAGATGATGTTGAGGTCGATGACGACGAAGAAGAAGAGGAGGTTCAGTATTCTGATGAAGATATTAACTTTGATCCGAGTGAAAGAAGGCTGGCCGAGAAGGCGCTACGAGAACAGGAGGCAATGGAAAGGAGGAAGAATGATCAGAGGAACAAGCTTGCGTAAGTTTTATTTTTTTTAATGTTTAATGTTTAGGAAAGTCTGATTGTATTGTTATATTGGACAAAAGCTATATTACACTAAAAGAAAATGGTCAATCATTGACATTTTTTGATAAGATTTAGCTGAAAATGACAATTTTTACCTAAAAAACAAAATTTTTAGTAACATGAGTGAAGAAGAAATGGCAAAGTACTTCGAGGAGAAACATGCTATGGAAAGAGCCACCAATTACACTAGAGACCATGACACTTACGATGAGATATCACAGAACTCGTTGTTGCCTACAACACGAGATCCAAACTTGTGGATTGTTAAAGTCACTAGGATTGGGGAAGAGAAGATGGTCGTGCTTCAGATGCTGAGAAAGTGTATTGCTATGGAGAATTCGGGAAATGTAAGATATTTTAGGTTTAAGCTTGATTTTTAGGCTTAAAACTAAAGTTGGAGTTTGATAATAAGCTTTAGGCTTACATTTTTGAGATTAAAATTTGTAAATGACAGAAGTTTAGTGTTTTAGGTATAAACGTTATGTTTTAGGCTTATTATTTTGTTTTAGCCACTTCACATCTCATCGATCATTGCTAAAGAAGGCTTGAAAGGCATGTTGTATGTGGAAGCCCACAAAAAAGCTAATGTAGCTAGGCTAATTGAAGGTGTTTCTGCCGTAAATCAATATGATATTAAGGTAAGGGATATATTTTATTAACAATATTTATTGAGTTACACTACTTTTTACTACCAATGTTATAGTAAATAGCTTAATAATGTTATTTCTTACTTTTTTTGTTGTTTTGTCAACGTTTTTCAAGTTTTCCGAATTTTCAGATGGTACCAATAGAAGAAATGGTGGACACATTGAAGGTAGTGAAGAATATACCGCAGCTAAGAGTCAACGATTACTGTCGACTCAAGAAAACAATGTATAAAGGCGATTTGGCACAAGTGGACTGGGTCGATGTGGCACAGAACAAAATTTGTTTGAGATTGTTACCTAGAATTGACTACAGAAAGAAGAGAGGGGCTTTGAGGGTATGTTTAATCTTTTTTGTTTTTAAATTTTTTGAAAAGGATTTTTTGAAATTTTAAAAATTTTGGGTTTTTTTTGTAAAATTTTTGAAATTCCAGTCGATTCTAACAGTAATATTGTAGGATATGGACGACGATGAAGACGATGACGAAGTCTTTTCTTACCGTAATGCTCTTTCCAAGAAATCAGCCAAAAATCGACCACCAGCCAAGCCTTTCGACGTGGAAAAGATCAAATCATTGGGAGCAGAAATCTCCCACGACGGTGACTTCACAATCTGCGAAGGCCAGCGATTCAGAAGGTTCTTACTCTACAAAGTCTTCCCTCTAACCTCGGTCACCACTGAGAATCTGAATCCATCGGTCGAGGAACTAAAGTACTTCCAAGACAAATTATCGACCGATCCAGACTTTCTACGAGAAATTTCAAGAGCCAAGATCAACGATGTTCTATACACTTTTGGACCGGGAGACTGGGTGGAAGTGTGTGAAGGAGAATTGATCAATTTGAGAGGAAAAGTGGTTTCAGTCGATAAGGATGAAGTTGTCATAACACCCGACCACAAGGACTTAAAACAAAATTTGAAGTTCAATGTGAATGAGTTGAAGAAGTTCTTCAAGGCCGGTGATCACGTCAGAGTATTGGGTGGTCAGCATCAAGGACTAACTGGTACTGTGGTCAAAGTGGACGAGAATGCAGTGGTGGTACTATCGGATCTTAACCTAGATGAAATGAAAGTTCGACCTCACAATCTGAAGCTAGATTCACAAGTCTTCAGTGGAGTAGATCAAATGGGTCAATTCCAATTCCATGATTTGGTCAATTTGGATGCAGCGACAGTTGGAGTGATCTTAAGGCTAGAGAAGGACTTTGCTGACGTATTGTCGATGAATAACACAGTACAGAGGGTTAAAAGTGTCAGTATTCAGCCGAGAAAGTTCGCCGACAAAGGACGATGCATGGACAGTTTGGGGAACGCGGTACAGAAGGGGGATCTGGTCAGAGTTAGCGAAACAGCTAGGATTGTGAGTTTGAAATTTAATTTTGAGGTGGAGTGGGCGGTTTTTTGATTAAAATCTAGTTTTTCGAAGGAAAAGTTTTTTTTGGAATTAAAACATAAAAAATGTAGAATATACTAGTAGAATCATATACTAATGCTGTTTTATTTTTAGCCCGGCTTCAAAGAAGGCGACGAAATCATTGGTGAAGTCAAATACGTCTTCAGAGCCTACCTCTTCCTAACCTCTCGGAAATACAAAGAAAATTCTGGTATCTTCGTGGTTCGAAAAAATCTGGTCACTTTACTCGGAGCCAAGAACAACTCATCAATGGGACCACCAATGGGCGGCTCAATCAACCCCGACCTCCTAAAATCACCCCGCCACAACGCCCAAGCCACAATGTCCAACGGTGGCCAAACTCCATCAGTCCATTCCAGCCAAATGTCAAGCCGAAATGGCGGCCAAACCCCAAGACAACAATCCTTTGTCAGGAATCATCAACCACGAAGAGATAACACGATTGTAGGCAAAACCGTCAGAGTAATTAAAGGCCCAATGAAAGGCTACTTTGGCATAGTAAAAGACGCCACCGAACACCAAGTACGACTCGAATTACACGCTCAACCAAAGGTAATCAATGTCGACCGAACAAGAATTGCGATTGTCAACTCGACCGGTAGCATCATCGACCCATCCTTGGCATCCGGAGGCTTCACCACTCCCTCAGCCAGAACCCCAATGGTTTCGGGCGGCAAAACTCCGATCTATGGCGCAGGAGCTCAAACTCCATTGTATGGAGCTGGTTCACAAACACCAATGCACGACAGTGTGGGTGGAAGAACTCCCCACTATGGAGCGGCTACACCAGCCTACGGCGACGGCGGAAAAACACCGAATCACTCGGCTTGGGACCCATCCAACGTCACAGCGACTCCAGCTCATACGGCATTTGAAGAGGATTTGGGCGACAAAAACGACTTTTACAGCGCTGCTCATACACCGGCTTACAGTCATAGTGGATGTAAGTGTTTTTAGGCTTAGGAATGGGGGTTTAGGCTTAAAAATTGAATTATAGGCTTAGAAAATGAATTGTACGCTTAAAAATGAATTTTATGCTTAGAAAATTAGTCTTAGGCTTAAAAATGAACTTTAGGCTTAATAAATGAATTTTAGTTTTGTGAAATGAATTTTAGGTTTAGAAATGAATTTTAGGCTTAGAAATGAATTGTAAGGTTATAAAATGAATGTTAAGTTTAGAAAATGAACTTCAGGCTTAGAACTGAATATTAGGCTTATAAAATGAATAGTAGGCTTCAAGATAAATTTTAGGCTAAAAAATTAACTTTAGGCTTAGAAAACAAGTTTAATGCCAAAAAATTAACTTTAGGCTTAAGAATTTTATACTTGTCTGCCTTTTGTCTGTTCACAAATCTCTTGTCATAGCCGTTTTGGCAATATTTTCACATGGTCGACCAATATAAACGTTTATCGAAAGACGTTTTTTTGCAAATACTTTTTGGTCGAGTAGCAAAGAAACACCAAAAACGGAAATGAAAAGAACAGAAAAGCTTAAAAATGTGATGTTAGAGTGCAGTAGGTTAAATATAAGGGAAGGAGGTGGCTTTCTGCTTACTATGTGATCATATTATTGGAGGAGTTGGGGGTGTATTTTTAGGTGTTGAGGGAGGAGCGGGGGGGTTGTTTTTCAAACAACACCAGGTCTATGAGTGTCATATTTATTATATTTTATTTTGTTTTTAAAACTGAAAATTCGACAAAATTGTCACTTCAGCTCATACGTACGGTAACGCATCGACACCAGCAAGAGAATCGAAGATGTATTCAGAATTCTCGGCCACATCGCCATACCCACGCAGCAATTACGATGTTTATTCGGAACGATCAGTAGGAACGGCTGGAGCGGCACCGACAAAAATTTGTAGGTTTTTTTTTGTTTTAAGAGTGAAGTCTTAGGCTTAAAAATGAATTTTAGGCTTAAAAATGAATTTTAGGCTCAAAAATGAATTTTAGGCTTAAAAATGAAGTCTTAGGCTTAAAAATGAATTTTAGGCTCAAAAATGAAGTCTTAGGCTTAAAAATGAATTTTAGGCTTAAAAAGTGAAGTCTTAGGCTTAAAAATGAATTTTAGGCTTAAAAATGAATTTTAGGCTTAAAAATGAATTTTAGGCTTAAAAATGAAGTCTTAGGCTTAAAAATGAATTTTAGGCTCAAAAATGAAGTCTTAGGCTTAAAAATGAATTTTAGGCTTAAAAATAAATTTTTGGCTTAAAAATGAATTTTAGACTTAATTACGTTAATTCTTTAATTTTCAGCCGAAGCCGTTTTATTCAAAGGTGACTGGTGTCAGCCCGACCTAATGGTCAAAGTAAGAGATACGTATGAAGATGATGAAGTAAAAGAGCAAATCGGAACGATTACAAGAAGATTCGACGGAGAGTGTCAATGCTACTTTGAGGAATTGGAGTTTACGTCTGGATCGGCCGACAGAAACATTCCATTTAGGTTTTTGGAGCCAGTCCCACCTAATAAGGGAGATAAGGTAGGGTATTTTTTTAGGTAACAGTTTGTGATTTTTAGAAACATTTCAGAGCTAAAATAGGGATTTAGGCTTAAAAATTGCTTAAAATATATTTATGTTTCAGAAATTGAATTTTAGGCTTAAAAATTAAAAAAAAATTTAGTATTTTATTAATTTTTCAATTTTAGACAAAAATCATCTACGGTGACGGAAGCGGCAAATCCGGTGTTCTGGTATCGGAAGACGGCGACGACAAGGTGGTGCGACTGGACGACACCGCCATTAAACTCACATACGCGGAGAACCTATGCAAACTGGCCTAGAGCAGTGGTGTTCATGGTTAATAAATTATTTGGGATTTCATTAATAAATCATAATACTATTTGAATTGGCACACTGTAATATGTTTTATACTGTGCTTAATACTTTATGGTTTGGTACGGTTTTTCCGGTACTGTGTTTTGTAAATTTTTACTTTATGAGTCATAGCTTTTGTAATGTTCACGATACTGTGATTTAGCATTATGGTCTTATCTTTTTTTTATCAAATTTAAATACAATGTCTAATTTCGGTAAAAATTTATTAGAATTTCGAAAAAATTGGAAAAATTTGTACAGTTTTGGTAGTTTAAAACTAAACACGACGGTTCATTCTGGACAACATTAAACGTTCCTGTTGTTCATCATGAGCGTTCTCACGCTCAGAACGTTTCACTTCAGTTTCGGAGCTTTTGATCTCCTTCAAGGTGCCTAAAAATGAAAAATTTTGTTAGAAAACGCTTTTTTGGCAAACTTCGACTTTTTAATTAAAACTTTTTTAAATTTAAATTGTAAAATAAAAAATTCTAGTTGACATTATTGTGCCAGGTTATATAGTATGTCTTTTAGCAATTTTTTAAAATTTTTTATTATGTGGTCAAAAAGTTATGGCATTTTTTCAATCATCAATCTCCAATTTTTCCTTCCGGCCAAAATTGAAATTTTTTTTGCAACATTTTGAGCTTTTTTAGAGAACAAAACCCATTTTAAACCGTTTAAAAACAACAGTTCTTTTTGTTGTTACACTGCTCGGTAAAAGTTCAAACTCGTGGTCAATCATCGGGCGTTCGTTTTGTAGTAACATCAGTAGTAACATCTGTTTTTGGAGACACAATATTAAGGTCATATGAGAAATTTGTAAAAGATGGCTTATAGACTTTGGAAAAATGGGGAACAATCAGATAGAAATGACATTTCAAAGCTATTTGGCTAAAAAATATCAAAAAAAAATTTTTTAATTTTAAAACATTTTGAAAAAAAATTTTGGTCGTAAAAAATGTGTTAAAATGACATCTTTAGGCATTTTAGGGCATATTAAACCATTCTTACTTTCAATTTCCTCCATTTGTTTAGGAATTCCACTTCTCAGTTTGGTCAGTTCTTGAGGGGACAATCGCTCGAAAATCGTGTAAAAACGGTCGACTTCTCGTTCGGTTGGGGTTACAAATCCAACTTTGATCATCTTTAAATATTTTTACATATCTTAGCTTTCTTTTGATTACTAGTTTTGTATTTTAAAATTACTTTGTAGGGCTGGTAATTTGAGTTAAAGTTGATCAGCCCTTCTTTTTTGGGAAAAATATTGAAAAATCAAGGTTTTTTGCTAAAAACGTCATTTTTAACCGCTTTAAAGCTTCTGAAATTTCTTGATTTTGTATTCAAAAGATTCAGAAGAATCTAGAGATTCATTTACCGGGTAAAATTTAACACTGTAAGACCGAACAAAGAGTAACTTACACTTTGAATGACCTCGCTCAAGGCTGCGGAAAGACCACCTTCGCGGAACACTTCGTCTTGTAATTGTAAATACAGGCCAAGGTTGGAAGCGATTAATTGATCCGATTCCTCTTCGGTTTTGGGCACCAAAACCTCGTACTCGGGTTTGGCGTCTAATTTGCGTTGGAGGAGGGCTGAATTTTTAAATTTAAAATTTTTTTTAATTTTGGGTTTTGACAATATTTTTTGATTATAATGACAGAAATTTGCTTAACTAGCATCTTAGGACAGTATAAATACAGAGAAGTCAAAAATTGCTGATAATCTACCTTGAAACACAATGCTAAATTTTGGCGGAAAACTTAAAATTTGAATTTTTTGATAAAAATTAGTGAAAAATAGATCTAAAACAATCTATTTTTATCCGAAATGGCTTTTTAATACTAAATCTAATACAGACCATTGTAAATACCGTCCTAAAACACAGTGCCAAAGTTGGCGCCAAAACCAAAATTCAAAAAAATAAAAAAAAAACTTTAAAATTGGTACAAATTTTTAAAAAATGACCCTACCATCATAGTTAGGCACCAAATGGCGTATCAACGTCTCACTTTGGCGTGATTCCTCCTGAGCGGCAGCTAATGATAACAACAACAACAACACTTTGCTAGCCATGTTTTTATAAAATAATGATAAAAAGCGGTGGGTCGAACCTTTAAAATCGACTGTTTTGTTTTGACAAAACTTAAAAAACAAACTTTGGTATTACTTTCAATTTTTGTTAAATTAAAGGGGCGTGGCTTGGCGATGGAACGGGGAACAAGAGGAAATCGAGCGGGGGAGGGGGAGGGGGGGGAGATGGCTAGAGGTAAAGCTCAGTGTAGGGTATAGTAGGGTAGGCCATGGTAGAGTACGGTAGGGCACAGTAGAATAAGGCGCAGTAGGGTAGAGCAGGCCAGGACAAGGCCAGGGCAGGGTCAGGGCAAGAACAGGGCAAGGCCAAGCAAGACAGGCTATATAGACATGAGCAACGGGCCGGGCCTGACCAATTTAGATTAGGCTGAACCTAAAATCATGGCCCGGGCTCGGCCCATTCTCACGTAAAAAAATTTAGGCTAAGCCAGGCCGGGCCTCAACAAAATTTTGATCGGGCCGGACTTGTAAATTGGGCTCGGCTTGGCCCGTTCCTCATGTCTAAGGCCAGGTTGTGGGCAAGACAGACTAGGACAGAAAACTATTTAAAAAATTTTTTTCTAGTTTTGATTTTATGACATTAACGACAATAATTTTTGTTGTTTGAAACCTTTATGTATTACATTAAACATGACGGAAGTAATATTATACCTTACCAACAGTTTACCTGTTTCGCTACAGGTTTAATTTTCTTTGTTCTCGAATCGTCATCGAAAAAATAACTGTCAGCCCCGCCCATTTAATTTAGCGTAATGTCTGAAGAAATGGGAACGGCTAAATAATAACTTTGGAAATAAAGGTTTTACAGAGCATTTTAAATTACATTTAAAAAAAAATTCAAAAAATTGTGAAAAAATTTAAGTGGTCGATAAATAATGTCGCAGAAATTATTTTTGTAAAGTGGTGCCTAAGCTTTGGTCCTAATTTGAAACATAGCTCTACTTCTAGCTCCGCCCTACTCTAGGCTTTAGGCTATGACTGGAAATTGGTCCTGGCTCTGGCCCTGGCTTTTTCTCTGGCTCTTACACTGGCTTTGGCTCTGGCTCTAGCCCTGGCGGCTTATTTCCTCTGACATTGGTCCTGGTCCTGATCCTGGTCCTGCTCCTAGTCCTAGTCCTGGTCTTGGTCCTGGTCCTGGTCCTGGTCCTGGTCTTGGTCCTGGTTTTAGTCTGTACCTTAGTCTAAGCTCTAGTCTAAGCTTTAGCCTAAGCTCTAGTCTAGGCCTTAGCCTAAGCCCTTGCTTAAGCTCCAGCGTTAGCTCTAACTTAAGCCCTAGCCTAAGCCATAGCTTAAGCCCTAGCCTAAGCTCTAGTCTAAGCCCTAGCCTAAGCCCTAGCCTAAGCCCTAGCCTAAGCCCTCGCCTAAGCCCTAGCCTAAGCCCTAGCCTAAGCCCTAGCCTAAGCCCTAGCCTAAGCTCTAGCCTAAGCCCTAGCCTAAGCCCTAGCCTAAGCCCTAGCATACTAGCTTTGTCTCTGCCATTGGTATTGGCCTTAGCATAAGCAATAGTGTTGGCTCTGGCCTTGAATCTGGAACTTGCTCTAGACCGTCTTAGTTTTGACTCTAGCCCCAGCCTTAGCTCTATTTTTTCCTTATTGTTAACTATTGTCAAATAAAAAAATAAAAAGTTTTGGTAGTAAATAAAATGCTGTAAACAAGCGTCGAATATTGCTGGACAAGGTCGATGGTTGATTGAAAACGATTCGAAATTTCGAATTCTCAAGTGTTTTTTGTTTACAAATCTGGGTTAATTTGATCGAACATGGTTTGCTTGGTCAAATTGTAATGTCATCGTTAAGACGAACTTATTTACAAGGTTTAACGTGGCTCTAAAGCCTTTTTTAAGGCTCTTGCTTAAATATTAGGCTTATACAAAGGCTTAAATAAAGACTTACAAAGTTTGTTAAATTTAGGCTTAAAAAATGCTTAAAAGCATAAGTTTAGGCTTAAAATGCACAAAAATAGAAGCTTAGGCTTAAAAATGCTTAAAAGCATAAGTTTGGGCTTAAAAGTGCTTAAAAGCGCAAGCTTAGGCTTAAAAACGCTTGAAATCATAAGTTTAGGCTTAAAAATACCTAAAAGCATAAGTTTAGGCTTAAAAGTGCTTAAAATGAAAGCTTAGGCTTAAAAATGCTTAAAAGCATAAGCTTAGGCTTAAAAATTAAGTTTGGGCTTAAAATTCTTAAAAAATGTAAGCTCAGGCTTAAAAATGCTTAAAAGCATAAGTTTATTCTTAAAGTGCTTAAAAGCATAAGTTTAGGCTTAAAAGTGCTTAAAATGAAAGCTTAGGCTTAAAAATGCTTAAAAGCATAAGCTTAGGCTTAAAAATTAAGTTTGGGCTTAAAATTCTTAAAAAATGTAAGCTCAGGCTTAAAAATGCTTAAAAGCATAAGTTTATTCTTAAAGTGCTTAAAAGCATAAGCTTAGGTTTAAAAATGCTTAAAAGCATAAGCTTAGGCTTAAAAATTAAGTTTGGGCTTAAAATTCTTAAAAAATGTAAGCTCAGGCTTAAAAATGCTTAAAAGCATAAGTTTATTCTTAAAGTGCTTAAAAGCATAAGTTTAGGCTTAAAAGTGCTTAAAATGAAAGCTTAGGCTTAAAAATGCTTAAAAGCATAAGCTTAGGCTTAAAAATTAAGTTTGGGCTTAAAATTCTTAAAAAATGTAAGCTCAGGCTTAAAAATGCTTAAAAGCATAAGTTTATTCTTAAAGTGCTTAAAAGCATAAGCTTAGGCTTAAAAATGCTTAAAAATGGAAGCATAACCCAAAAAATGCTTAAAAACTTAAAAAAACTAAAAATTCGTAAGCCTAAAAATAATTAATCTCTAAAATTAAGTGTCCGGAACAACGTAACAAGTATAAAACATCAAAAATTCTAGCGAAGCCAATTTGGGCTAAAATTGTCGGCCGAAAGGAATGAGCTAGATTACGGCCGATGCTTGGCCAAGTGCTTGTAAATGCAGTGTTCAGCTATTAAGTATCAGTTCTTTATGTTTTAGGATTTTGTTGTTAAGCCTAAAAATTTGTTTTTTATTTAAAATTTATTTTTTAAGCTTAAAGTTTGTTTGTAAGCCTAAAATTTATTTTTTAAGTTTAAAATTTAATTTTGAGGCTAAAATTAATTTTTTAAGCCTAAAATTTATTTTTAAGCCTAAAATTAATTTTTTAAGCCTAAAATTTGTTTTAAGCCTAGAATTAATTTTTTAAGCCTAAAGTTTGTTTTTAAGTCTAAAGGTAATTTTTCAAGCCTAATATTCATTCTTTAAGCCTAAGGATTGACTTCTGTGCTTATTTTACATTATTTAAGCTTAAAAGCCACCTCTTAAGCCCAAGCTTCAGTTTGTAAGCCTAAAATTTTTTTAAGCCTAAAATTGATTTTTTAAACCTAAAGTTTGTTTTTAAGCCTAATATTCATTTTAGGCCTAAAATTTATTTTTAGCCTTAATGCTATTTTTCTAATTCAAAATTTAATATGTTAAGCTTAAAAGTTTAATATGGTATTACATGTCCAAGCTAGCACAGTAATGTCCTGGTCATTGCGCATTGCGTAATGTGGAAATGGACCATGTATTATATTGTGGCAGCTAGTAATTATCTCGAATTAATCCCTTCTCACTTCGTTTGGCCTTAATGGACGTTGGGCAGACACCTGTCGCTTTTGTTTCGACCAGTACAAACCGCTGTTTGTCAATTCCTTTTTTTTGTATTTAGCGGTGTGGGGGGGGGGGGGGAATTTCATTTTAGGCTTATGTTAATTTCTTTTTAAATTTAAAAATATTTTTTTTTGGATTTAAAAACAAAAATAGGTTTAAAAAACAAATTTTAGGCTTATAAGACAAAATTTAGGCTTAATTGTGCTTAAAAATGAAATTTATTCATATAAAGCTCATTATAGCCTTAATAATTATATTTAGGCTTAAAACATAATTTTAGGCTTATAAAATGAATTGTAGACTAAAAATGAATTTTAGGCTTATAAAATGAACTTTAGGCTTACAAATAAATTTTGGGCTTAAAAATGAATTTTAGACTTGTAAGCTGAAATTTAAGCTTAAGAATAATTTTTAGCCTTATAAAATGAACTTTAGGCTTATAAAGCCGTAAAAATTATATATAGGCTTAAGAATTGATTTTAGGCTTAAAACTTCAATTTTAGGCTAAAGAATTAAGCGTAGGCTTAAAAAACAAAGTTTAGGCTTAAAAAGTTAATTTTAGCCTCAAAATTAAATTTTAAACTTAAAAAATAAATTTTAGGCTTACAAACAAACTTTAAGCTTAAGAAGTGAATTTTGGGCTTATAAATGAACCTTAAGCTTAAGAACTTAATTTTAGGCTTACAAAATAAACTTTAGGCTTGAAAATGAATTTTAGGCTTATAAAAAGAATTTTAGGCTTAAAAATAAATTTTAAGCTTCAAATTTTTTGAGCAAGTCCAATTAATCCAGAATTTCCCGTAAGCCTGTCAAAGTGCAAATGAGAGTCGTCAGTTTAGTCAAGTGGAATGTAATCGTGTCCACCATATGTTTTTTAAGCTCCGTATAATCATCAATATATATCTGGGTCATTTGTAATTTATTTTTGTGAGGTTTTGTGAACAAGTTAGGCCTAAATTTATTTTCGAGCCTAAAATTAATTTTTTATTTAATTTGAAATTTAATTTTTAAGCCTAAACTACATGCTATAAGCTTAATATTTGTTTTATAAGACTAAAGCTTAGTTTGTAAGCCTAAAGTTTATTTATAAGCCTAAAATTGAGTTTATATGCCTAATTTCCAGTTCTAAGACTAAAATTCATTTTATAAGCCTAAATCTTTTTTAAGTTAAAAATTCATTTTAAAAGTCTAAACCACATGTTATAAGTTTAAAATTTTTTTTATAAGCCTAAAATTCATTTTGTAAGCCTAAAATTTATTCTTAAATCTTAAGTTTATTTTATAAGCTTAAAGTTTAATTTACAAGTTTAAAATTCATTTTATAAGCCTTAAT